GTCGGTTTATGTCAAAAGTGCGAAAGTTCCCAATGCAAAGTAGTTTTTTTGAAAAGTAATTTGTTAATGATCAGAGTAGGCTAGGGCACTTATTGTAGAGGATGTTTATCGGAACAAATACTGTACATTTATAAATAGATCTATAATAATGAATAGAATAGCCGTGTTTGTGATACATAAAACATTACCAAGACGCCAAACTTTCAATTCTGTTAATTTTAGTCTCAGACAAACTAACCAAGAGATAACGTTTGATACTAATGTACGATGACCTTGAAACATTTACTTTTAGGAATAATTTTAATTGAGAACAAATGGTATTTGAAGCATTGCAAAACGAAAATACAATAACATATTGCTAAGTCATGACTCTCTCTTCTTTTTACTTCAAAAAGGAATAATATTTAAAATTATTCACAGATTAATTCACAGGTGAAAGTCGTGAAGTTTTCTTCAAAACGTCTTTGTCTTAAGAAGAAGGTTGCCTTTTGTAAGGTTCTTTGATTTTCTTCAATAAATGTGAATCGAACTCCGTCCAATAAGTTGCTCTTCCTTCTCGATCGTCGTATGTGTTGTTTTGTTAGTTATTATATGTCGTAGCATGGTTTTGTGTTGTTATGTCAGTTATTATTTCTCGACCGTAGGTGGTTAACTCGTACTTGTATATGCTTCATGTTTACTTTAAAACAATCTGCTGGAATCTTTAATAACCATGGTAGTGCTTAACAGAAAGAGAGTGCAAATATGTCCACTTTCATACCCAAAACTGTAGCAATACGATTATTGAGTTCGCTTTTGTGTGTAATACCTTTGGTTTTGCGTGAAATTATACTAACAATCGGTTTTCAGTCAGTCATTTGCACGTTCAAAGCTGCATTCGTAAATTGTCGCTATACAAATGCAATATATGCTGATGATTTTGCGAGGAAATGTTGGGTCTTTACAACTAATACATACATCAATGAAGATAACTAAATATCGAGATATAGATTAGAGGTCTAAATTATTTAATCATAACTAAATTGTACATACAGATCTGAAAACAACTCTTAGTGTTGTGAAAATGCGATAGCATTCTGCTGTTTCTGCGCGCTTTCTTCAATGTTTTTGCACCTCTGGAAAGATAGCGGAAAACGTCTTGAAAGGAAAACTTGACCTATGTAATCGGGTTTTATTCTTATTTAACTCGTATAAGTGCAACTTTCATCATTAACAAACTGGCTGGAATGTTTTTAGTATTCAACTGCCCTTAGTACAATTAAAATGCTCAAATTTGAAATAAACCTTTGTACATCCGAAGTTTGCAAGTACGTAAATTCAAAATATTTTGAGAATGCACTAGCACCGGCTGCATCGCCACTGTTTTGACTTATGAAAGCCACGAGATGAAGAATTTGCTCTTGGCAAAAGCGGGTTGCAGACCGACTTTTAGCCATTGGATAATGAAGGAGCAACAAAATTTAGTACCTAAATTTTAATAAAACTTTTCATTGCCAATGATCGCGCAGGGCGTGGAAGACTTATCATAAATATTTAAATATAACTTTCGGCGAAACAGTTCGTTCCGACATCAACTGTACTAAAAACTTATAATGCTATCGTGGCGTCACATACTCACATTTTCATTACAGTTGCTTGAATTAAACTAGCAGGCTTTAAAGGAGTGTTATAAAGAGAATAAGTCGAATTCTAAGCGCAATTTGTTAGAATAGATAGTTTGATAAAATAGATGCGATCTAAGAAGCAAAAATAGGAATCATGAACTCGGTTATACTATAAGTAGAAGTGAGTTTTAGCCTCAGCTGACTCACTTTGGAATTGTCTACAGACTACAATAAAAGGAAAAATTCATGAGCTTCAACAAATTTAAACGTATTGTTGACTGCACTCTACTAATAAATATCAGCAATTCTGTAAATTAGATTGATTATTTGATTTGAATTTGTATTTTACAAACAAACTGGTAGTATTTAAAAGTTCTAACCCGCATGCATTCATAATAAAGCATGTAACAAGGCATTAATTTAATGAAATTTGTAAATATAATAATCAAACGGCCTTTTGAAAAACAGGTGCCTATGAGCCCTGAAGGGCTACAGTTTTTAAATATTTTCAAACAATAATAATAAATATACAGCGGAACGGAAGTTCCCGTTCACGTGTCCGTATGATTTGTCCGTACGATGCGCTTATCAAACCAAACTCTACGCGCGTACGATTCTCTTTAACTTTGTCAATGTCTGTCTCAAAAATGTATTTCTACATTATTAAACAACGAAAACTTGAATGTACTTTATTTTTCATAATAACCGCTCTCGCAGCTGAATGGAACACCTCATTCACACCATGAAGTGTCAACGAGGAGCATTCGTGAAATGCCGCTGCTCCAATATCCTTTGCCAGTTTTTGTTCTTGCTCTGTAGTAACGGGCTTCTGGCCTTGTTTTTTAGGTCTTTTATGATTTGCAGATCATCACGTAAATGTTTCTTTAAGCTTACACATTTAATACATACACTAAGCCTTGTTGATTCATTTTTTTGTGATGTGGGAGACTGGGAGTCACCCTTTTGAAAAATTTACAGTGTGCCAGATCAATGAGGAAGGTTTACAGTGAGGCACAACGAATGGTAAATAACTCCAAGAAATTCCATCTCATGAAAAACTTTTTGATGAATTGTTTTCTGGCTTTTAACACAGCCATGGGATGATATGAGTGACTTATGAATTTCAATTACACATTTGCAAAATATTACATACCTACAAGCACTATTGGTACACCAAGGCAAAATTGCTTAATCTCCGCTGTCCAAATTTTACTGACGTTTTCATAACTAGCTGGCGAATCAACAGAGTAACAAATAAGTACCACATCACTTTTGGGATAGGAAAGCGGTCTGAGGCTGTCATAGTCTTCTTGGCCTGCAGTATCGTATACTTCAAGTTCAATTTGTTGTTCGTCAACTGTGAGTGTTTTGATGTAATTCCCGATAATCTGCGGGACATATTTTGAAGGAAATGCACCTTGGCAAAATGCCATCAATAGACAGGTTTTTCCACATTCCCTATCGCCTACAGCATCCAGTTTTTTTCTTGTATACAACATTGGTTCTCTTTTTCAATCAAAAAAGTAACTATTATAAAGTGAAAAAAATACATAGGAGAAAAATGAACAAAAACTCGCGGGAAACTTTAGAAGAATAAAAACTCACATTATTTTTCTGCTTAATATTGAGAAGACTGGCCTTGAGTAGCAAATCGATCATCAGTTTGGCAATATATAATTCTAAAACAAAATAAAATGCCCTCGTAACTTTCATTCATGCAAAGCGACAGAGTACAGATATCTGTCAAGTCTGTGAATTTTAGTCTAAGGCAAGCTAGCCAAGAGACATCGTATGATACTATTGTACAATGAGCTTAAAGTACTCATATTACATATATTTCCCACACCCTTTTTTAGTACCTAAAGTAAAAGAATAGCTTTCGGGCATTTCTGCAATTATAATTTAAATCTTATTTCCAGAAGTGAGTTTATGAACGTTCAAAGTTGCGATTTTCAGCCATAATTTTGCAAACTTTTTATTCGTTATGTTAATGAGTTGTGACGTAGATAGTTAAATCATAGATATACAAGACATAGATAGCTGACGCACCCTGTGTGCGAGTGACACTATAAAGAGTAGTCGAAGATGGCGTCGTAACCGGTCAAAAACATTAGGAATTGTATTACTGATTTCATGTTTTTCAAACATTACGCCGATTGCTTATAAATATTCTCCAATCGATTTATTTTGACAAAACACGTTCATTGCCTCTCTTTTGAGCGAATAACAGACTGTTTGGATGGAATATTCATGAAAATATTCAATTCTGAAGTTTACCATGAAATATGGCAATTGGTCACTTCGCCTGTTTCTAAAATTCTAGTCAATTATATTGTGAAAACTTCTTAACAAAGTTACGTTTGGACTACAAAAATTTATGTTTCTTTAAAGAAAACAAATTCAGAGCATTTAATCGTAGCATGTAGTCCAGCATAAGTTGACCAAACCACTTAGATTAACAGATCACTAATTTTGAGTATTGGAACTATTTATTTTTTGTATCTATTTATTAACAAATTGCAATAATGAGTTTTACTATTTTATTTAACAGTCCAAAGCAATATTTTTTGCTTTCTAGCAATTTGAATGGCTGCCTGAGTTGGCAGCTTTTTACGATACCTGCCCACGGGCAGATGTGATGTTTTTTTCGCAATGTACGTGTTTGTTTACGAAGTGAAATGTAATTTTTTAAGAATGATTTAAAAGCGATGTAAATTGTTGGACGAGTAAGCAAAGTGTATTCAGATGAAAGTTGTCATAGCAAGAGTGAATTTTACCATCCAGAGGAAAAGAAATTTGTAGGAAACAGTCCAATTTTAGTCTCAACATCAAGTCACAGTATAAGAAATATACAGTAGGTCCACTTCGTGTGCAACTGGCTGCTGTATATTTAATTAGATTACTGGCTGGCGTTAGTCATTTCATCATTTAGTAAATAGAGTATTTCATCAAAAAGTAAATAGATTATTTGATTTATATGCAATGTTCGTCACGTACGCGATCTCGCGTGACTTGCACGTATGTATGGTTTTAAAGGTCTTACACTTTGGCAAATCTCATCACAAAATACCGACCGTTAACACACGTTTTCTTTTATTTACAAACAAACGGCGTAATCTTTGAAAAACATGAAACTTGTAATACAATTCCTAATGTTTTGCCCGGGTACGGCGCCATCTTGGATTAGTCTGTATCTATGAGTTGACTAGCTGAACCATTGATTGAACAAAGTTGAACACATCTAATCAGCATGGCGTATTTTACTAGTAATCTATACAAAAAACGCGACGGAAAACGTTGTGTTGTTAGGCCTACCTAATCAATTTAGTTGCACCATGCAATCACTGAAAAGATGAAAGGAATATCAATTCATATCAATTCATATCTACAAGTAAATCAATGCAAGCAAACAATGCTTTGCTGCGGTCAGCAGCCTTTACTCATTCTGACATAGCATATTTGCAATATGTTTTATAAATAATTAGTACCAATTAGTGCAATTGAAATTGATTGGACCATAAATACTTCTCTCAGTGCCAGTCTACAAAACTATATTTTACACTCAAAAAATATATTCCGTTTCTACAGTATTGAACAGCGACGTTTACTCGAGGCCATAATGGCCGCCCTTGCCGCTGAATTAAACACCTCATGTACACCGTCACGTTTTAACGCGGAGCACTCTAAAAAGGCCGCTGCTTTGACTGTGTTTGCCAGTTTTCGTCCTTGTTTGGTGCTCACAGGTTGCTGACCTTTTTCTTTAAGGTATTCAATCGTCTTTGTGTCGTCACGTAAATCTTTCTTCAAACCTACAAAATATAAAACATTCTACTTCATTTATTTGTCAGCGGCTTAGAACGATGGAAACTGACAGCTTAGTAAAACTGTTCGAAGTTCGCTCGTTTAAAAGATTGATCCGGGAGTAGCTACTTATTTATATTTGTTATGTGGCAAGCGTCACCTCTGGCAAAATAGTGCGGTTCTTTGATTGGTTCAAAAAAAGTTTGGACGGTCCAATATTTTCCCGTAATGGAGGACGGTCCAATACGCATAATTTTATAATATGTAAAAAAACTTCCTCAGGCAAACAGAAAACAGCAAAACGAGAGAAAAAAACGAAACAAAAAACCATGTGTTAATGTGAGTCGAAAGAAAACCACTTAAAAAGTGAGTTTCGTTATCCATACAATACAACTTCAAACGATTTACTTTTTACTGACAAAAACTGTGAAAGCCAACTCGTACAAAACAGCGATGACAAGAAGAAAAGAAAGCTTCGTTTCAATTCAAATAATACCATATAATAAACCTTTTATCGACTTTGCTTTCTCGGTTTTAACTGAGAAATATCGGACTTCTGTCTTTTAACAAACATTGCCTATGGGCTCGGTCTGTACGAAAAAACTTTGGTCCGATATTTCTCCGTAAAGATCTCGAGCTTGGTTAATAATTGCTTAATAAAAGTAGCTACAGAGCAAATCTTTGGTATTTTTTTGTTATAAAATAATCTTTTAAAAACACGGTGGTGACTAGTCGAATGCTCAAAAAACTGTGTTTGTATAGTTCTATAATCCACAAGAACTTCAATCTTGCAAGAATCTTGCAGGTTTCTTGGTTTATGCAGAAATTTTAACGCGAAAATGTTAAAAACTTGTCATTTTAAAGAAGCTCGTTTTCAATTAAACTGATACAGTCATCGCTTTACAAATTGAAACTGCAACTGAAGCAGCCTTTGCTTTATAAATTTATCTTTCAAATATTGTTTTTGAATGGCTATTTTATGAAGGAAATACAAAATATATTTACTTGTTTTTTTTTAGTCGTGAAAACATTTGTGAAAGTTTAGGAGAGACTCAAAGTTGCTTGAAAACACTTGCACTTCGTGCTCGTATTTGCCACGCAAAGGAAAATATTTTTTATTTCTTGAATTTTACATACCCACTAGCACAATAGGTAAACCAGAGCAATATCGCTCAATTTCCGGTATCCATTTTTCTTTGACGTTCTCAAAACTATCTGGCGAATCAATAGAGTAACATACGAGTATCACGTGACTTCCCGAATATGAAAGAGTTCTGACCCTGTCGTGTTCCTTTAGTCCAGCAGTATCGAGTAGTTTGAGTTCAATATCTCGCCTTTGAACTGCGAGATGTTTGGAGTAAGAATCGGAAACCGTCGGAACGTACTCTGATGGAAATATTTTACTGCAAAATACCATCAACAGACAGGATTTTCCACATTTCGTATCGCCGATGGCAACCAGTTGTAGTGTTATGGTCGACATTATTCTTCTTTCTTAAATAAAAGTGGTCAATATCAAGGTCAAAAAAATTAGTTTGGAATTATTTAGAACAAAAACGAGAGGCGTACCGTGCTTTGACGTAAATGGGAGCTGTACTCCAATTTATTTATCGCCCTTTTAGAAGAAATAACTTTTAATAGCATATCCCAGAAAATCGTCCGTGGAACATTACTGAATAAAAGTCGTGAACAGTTACACTAAAGTACACCAGTAAACGAGTAATGCTGTTTAAATGTCCACAATCCGTATTCTAATTTCTAAACAGGGGTGCACTTTCAAAAAAAAACTGGGAGAGTTGTTTTTCCTAATGTGATTGGGACTGACTTTTTTAGTATAAATATTTAATAAAAAAGATCCCGCAAGTTTACCTTCACCAACTTTCGTCTTATATCTGTATATGGACTGTAGTTCTAGATAAATTTTATAAATGATGGAGATGAGTGTTCATATCACAATTTGATTCCCTGAAGATGCAAACTAGACCAAACATGCACATATGTGACTCTTGTCAAGATACGCCAGCCCAACGCAATAACATGATAATTTTATTACAAAATGAAAAAATTCGCTAATCAGCAAACATTTTCTGATTAAATGCTGGTTAATGTACAAATATATTTTATTTGTAGTTAAGTTTATATTTTTTTAAAATCTGTTCTAAAATTTTTTGATTTTAGAGATGCAAAGTCGGTAGCAGTAAATATAGGTCTTCTGCCTCTTGTCTCTCAACGGTGTTGAATGTCTAGTCGCACCACGTCACTTCCATCAGAGAGATGATTTTCAACGGACGCTTGACAGGCGTTCTTGTTTTTGTCGAAAATTTTTCTGTTGCTTGTTTTTTCACATCACGTGATCTCCATTAGAGAGATAATTTTCAGTGGACGCTTGACAGGCGTTCTTGTTTTTGTCGAAAATTTTTCTGTTGCTTGTTTTTTCACATCACGTGATCTCCATTCGAGAAATGATTTCAGTGGACGCTTGGCAGGCGTTCTTGTTTTTGTCGAAAATTTGTCTGTAGCTTGTTTTTTCACATCACGTGATCTACATTCGAGAGATGATTTCAGTGGACGCTTGGCAGGCGTTCTTGTTTTGTCGAAAATTTGTCTGTAGCTTGTTTTTTCACCTCACGTGATCTCCATTCGAGAAATGATTTCAGTGGACGCTTGGCAGGCGTTCTTGTTTTTGTCGAAAATTTGTCTGTAGCTTGTTTTTTCACCTCACGTGATCTCCATTCGAGACATGATTTCAGTAAGTGAAAACTTGACAGGCGTTCTTGTTTATGTCAGAAAGTTTAGACAAAAACAAGAACGCCTTTCAAGCGTCCACTCGGGCTCCTCGAGAAATGAACTTGTCATATGTGAGGCTCACGCGTTAAATGATACGAGAAAGATTTTGATTGGTTAAAGAGCTACGTGTCAGTCACGCGTGATTCGTGCAATCTTGCGACGGGATAAATGCATTTTCCACGACTCCACGTCATTTTACTCGTCATTGCAGAGGTTGCACAAATCCCGCATGATTTATGCAGTCTGTGCAATGACAGAAAAAACGCATTTTTAGCTCATTACGCATAGTGTTCATGAACGATATATTTTTATAAAATAAAGACAATGAAACGCGTTCGCTGATTGGTCTAGAGCTGTGCTTGGATTAGCCTGTGCAAAACACGTCTGAGCTCAACAAATCAAATCAATCAAAACAATCAATCAGTCAAAGAGAAATTTGCAAATCGATCATGAATACATTATAGAGGAAAAATTAAAATGTTTGTCTTTTTCGCATTATTGTCATTTTATAAAATAAAAGATGTTTTTCGTGTTTGCACTGGCTTATGCAAAACTCGGAGACGTTTGTGAGAACTCTCGAGCATGTGCAACACTTGACCTTAGGTCTCGGGCTTACACTGATGTGCTCGAGAGTTCTCACAAACGTTCCGAAGTTTGCATAAGCCTGTGCAAACACAGTAAACATCTTTTATTTCTTAAAGAAAAACGGTAAGACTGACTCAGAGATATCGAATGAAAGTTCTTATAAACTTTACAAGGTTTGGGAGAGACTCCTGGACTACTAACAATCCAATTGCAACAAGCGTATGACGTCACCATTATTAGGAATTTCATATCCTTGATTCCTTTCCCGAGGATAGACGCGCTTTTTTAGCTTGTCTCTTTTCTTCATACTATGCCGAGTGCGTCAAAGCTCTTATATTAGTAAATTCGTTTTGGTTACAATAAATGAGTTATCATTGGAACATTATACGAAGAACTTAACTCAAATTTTTTAAAGTGTGTTTTAAACTTCATTTGAATTAAGAACAAAAAGCCTTTGTTGTAAATGAATCTTTGTTCGGATTCTTGGTGCAATGCTTGGCTGTCAGCATAAAATGTAGAGCACAACATATAGTTTTCGAAAAGCAATAAGCGGTCTGAAGATGCCTCGGGTGAAAAGGAAACATCACATGCTTTCTTTAGATAACTATTATAACATCAAACCACTTATGGCTTTTTTGAAAACTGTCTCTAATTTTTATATCGAGAATTTGATCCTAACAGGCACCTTGTCGCTGACAACAATGCTTCCTCGCCAAAGTAAAATAAAAAAAAAACATACTACTGACTCATAATTCTTTGTACATTTTCTTCAATAATGAACAACATTCCAAATAATTTACATTTAACAGACGGTCATTGGAATGTTGCTATGACTCAACTTTGTCGTTAAATTTTCGTATAATTTCGACAATCGAAGAAGGTTACCTTGGCTAAGAATCTGATTTTCTTCAATGAGATGTGAATTGAACTCTGTCAAATAAACTTCTCTTTCTTGTCAATCGTTGTACAGCAAGTTCTTGTGTTGTTATGTTTGTGAACATTTCTCCGCGGTAGGAGGTTAACTCGTACTCTTATGAATGTATTGTATTTTATGCAAACGCGCGGTAATCTTTAAAGATCATTGTTAAACCAGGTTCTTTAATACAAAATAGTTTGAGAGGGCAAAGTTATCACTCTTTGTCTTTTGCCAAACTTTAGAGAATGATAACTGAGTGTTCGACTTAACTCGCCGTTCGTTTTTAATTTGTCAAATTATGATTGTAGTGGATTTCAATCGGTCATCTGCATGCTCAGCATTTCTTATCTTAACTCAACCATGCCGTGTACGTAAATCGTGGCCATACAAATGCTAACTATGCTGATGATTTTGTTCTAAATGTTGGATCTTTTTCATGACTCCAAATCATCTTATCTATCTAATCATCAAGTAAAGGATTGGAGTTCAAAATGAATATTCTATTACAGCTAGAAGATTCCTGGTGTTTGGCATAGGTTTTATGATAATACATAAAACATACTACATTTACAGTAAATTTAAAAATTTTTAATTTTGACATTTTTGTATACCAACTTTGAAATCGGACACGGACATCAATTTAGCTGAGCGAAGTTCAACCGCTGGTTATAAAATTGAAAAAGTTTCAGGGCAAAAGGAAAACGTTCCCCGAATAGCCCATACACAGTGGAGAAAGGAAGAGAGATGTTATTGCTTCCTAGTTCCGTGTATCTGCATAAAAGTGACTGAATAAGAGACGAGTACAGTCAGCACACTTATTTTGAATTCGAACAAGAACAGTCATTGCTTTATTAAAGCCTTTACAAAGAAAATGCTGACTTTGTCACCATTTTGTCTTGTGAATGAGACGTATATAAGAGAGAGGATGTTTATTGGAGTGGGCGTTCATTTAATTTAATGTGTTCATTAGCATAAGTACGGCACTTTATATCTAACGTTATTAATCAAAAACGTCTTGTGTATAATGCCTAAAGCACTATCTCCATGTCAAAATGTTAGTTTCTTTAGCAGGTTACTCAAGCTTTATTATAAAAATTTTTGCGATAGTAACTTTGTATTTCATATCTACGAGTGAATTGACCCAAGCAAATAACGCTTTGATAGAGTTTGTGTTTTTTCACCACCTCACAATGGGACAATGCTGCAGACTGGTCGATGATCACTGTAATTGCACAACTCGACCGTGGGCTTATAATAACAGTCAGCAGCCTTTTCCCACCGTGACGTAGTTAAAAATATTTCGTGAATAGTTAGTACCAATTAGTGAAATTCAAGATGTTTGAATAATAAAAATATTGTCGATGCTCGACTCTTTTAGAATCAAAATCATACTCCGTTTTTAAAGAATCAAACAACGTGAACTCGAATCTGATTTACTCAAATCCACTTTACTCAAATCCACTTTCTTTTTCCTAACAGCCGCTCTTACAACGGCATGGAACACCTCTTCTACACCGTCTCGTTTCAATGCTGAACATTCTAGAAATGCCGCTGCTTGGATTTCGTTCGCAAGATTTTGTCCCTGCTCGATGCTTACAGGCGCCTGGCCTTGTTTTTTCAGGTATTCAATCGTCTTCGTGTCGTCACGTAAATCTTTTTTCAAACCTACACAAAATCGGTTAGCACTATTTTCCACCCAGCAAACCGCCCTTTACTTTACACAATCGGAAATAAATTAAAGATGGCGGCTAATGGGAAAGAACCAAAAGCTAAAAGGAAACCATGCATGCACTGGTGCTAGGTCGTTTTGAGATGGCGAGTAATTTTATCTTTTTATAATACAGTTTTTAATATCAACATATGAAAATATTTAGAGATAAATGTTGCAGTATAAATTTTCATGCAACCACCTTAAGTTATAAACTTATAATCCAGGCTGGAAAATGTCGTTTTTTCGACGATTGTGTAAAATATTATATAAAATATTATATTGTGTAAAATATTAGATTGCGTAAAATATTATATTGTGTAAAATATTATATTTCAAAGTAAAGGGCGGTTTGCTGGGTGGAAAATAGTGCTAACCCACAAAATCATACAAAGAAAACGTCATCGGTTTGTTTGTCAGCGGTCTAGCGGACAGGTTAAAAAAATAGTGCGGCACAACAATTGGTAAATCACTCTCCCTTTGGTTAAGAAAACAGCGATAAGATGTTTTGACATGTGAATTTAAAGTTGACTCTGAAAAAATTTGCTCTGGAAGTAAATACTTTTGTTCGTACAATATGCTACATACCCACAAGCACTATAGGTACAGCATGGTAAAAGTGTTCAACTTCCGGTATCCATCTTTCCTAACGTTTTCGTAGCTATTTGGCGAATCAACAGAGTAACAGACGAGGATGACATCACTTTTGGGATATGAAAGCGGTCTGAGCCTGTCGTATTCCTCTTGGCCTGCGGTGTTACATATTTGAAGTTCGAAGTCATGCTCGTCAACCGTTAGTTCTTTCACGTAGTTTTTGAAAACTTTCGGAACATATTTGGGTGGGAATTTGTTATTGCAATACATCATCAACAGACAGGTTTTTCCACATACAATATCGCCGATGACGACCACTTTTAGTTTTATAGTCGACATTATTTCTTTTTTCTTAAATTTAAAGAAAAAGGTGAAAGAATACATTGATAAAGTTGAACACAAATTAGAGATTAGAGCATTCTCGATAATTCATAATCAACAATCGTAAACACAATGTTTGAATTAATGCTATTCAAAAAATTCATGGACCAGAAAATTATTTTTAGCTTAATATTGAGGGAACTGGCTTTGAATACCAAATACAATCAGCTTTGTGAACGAAACATAAAATTCTCTTACTAAAATAAAATACGCACATTTAGCCTTTTAGCGTTTGTACACGTGACACTGCTAAGTAACAGCTATTCAACTTATGGTCGGATAATTTTGTCTGGAGGATTTCAGTCGCAGACTAGCTAGCCAAGAATAAAGACTATAATGAGTTTTTTCAACTGCATTTGAATCAAGTACAACTGCAATTAGAGCATTGTTTGAATTATTGGTGCACTATTCGATTGTCTATAATACATTATATTGCTATAAAGTAAATGGTTTGAACCCGGGAGTATCGTTACATGTTTGTGGATGTAAATCGTCCAGTTTAGTAGAGTCCTGAGATTGCAGTTGATGTTGACTGACGTTTCGACAACCTTAGCGGTAGTCATGCTCAGAGTAGTCATCTTATAACGGTAGTCATCTTATAACGGTAGTCATCTTATAACGGTAGTCATCTTATAACGGTAGTCATCTTATAACGGTAGTCATCTTATAAAGGTAGTCATCTTATAACGGTAGTCATCTTATAAAGGTAGTCATCTTATAACGGTAGTCATCTTATAACGGTAGTCATCTTTTGACTTTGAAGAGACTACCGCTTAGGTGGTCGAAACGTCAGTCAGCATCCACTGCAACAGTCCTTCTCATGACTGAACTAATCTGGACGATCTACATCCACAAACATGTAACATTATTGCTTCAAAAATGAACAACATTCCACAATATTACGCCGGTGATGGTCGATCATGTTGCAAACTCAAGACATTCTCGTTAAATTTTCGTATAAAAAAATTCGACTCATGAAGTCTGTTACCTAAGCGACCCGCAAACTTCTTCAATGAGTGTGAACTCCTTCCAATAAATCAGCCTTCCTGCTCAATCGTCGTTTAGAAAGTTGTTGTGCTGTTATGCCGGCGAAAGTTCTCCTCCACGGTAGGCGGTTGACTATTGGTCTTTTACGAATTTATTTTATTATTTTATTTCATGCAAACGTGCGGGAATCCTTAATAACCATGGTAATGCATTGGGAAATGCAAATAGGTCGTGAGCACACTACAATCATCTCGCATTTGCTCGCATTGGTGATTTGTGTGTAGTAGCAATCGTTGATTTTGTGTCAAATTATGCCGGCTCACTGGACTTGGTTTTTAGTTGGTCACGTTCACGGTCGACGCTGCGTTCTTAAATTGTTGCTGACCGAATTGTTGGGTGCAATATTTCAAAAATTTCAGGCAAAAAAAGGAAAAAAATTTACAGGTAATACGCAGATGACGTTTACACCTTTTCGCTGCTTATACAGTGTGTACAAAAAACAATGAATTGTAGAAAAAAGATGAGTTCTTTAGGTTACCATATGTCGGTAACCTATCACGGCCATTACATATTTTTATAAAATGAAAAAGATATCATTGGAAAGCTAAAGAGTTCATCTATTTTGCTGTATAGAAATATAAGCGTAAAATACAATATCAAATGCAACGATGTAAAAGTTCGGATTCAAACTGCATATTTAGTTCTGAAGTAGATATGTTTGCTACGGTGTAAATCACTCTTCACTCAACCACATGCATTAACTCGTTCCGAAAATAAACCCAGATTACCAACGTTTATTACTAACGTTAGATTAAAACATATTATGAAATATAAAAGGTATGGCATTCACAAATTTGTATTCTGGTAGGCATGTGTCAACAAACTACTGCACTGATTATGGCACGCGATACTAACAGTTACAGCGCCAAATTAATGCTGTCAACAAGGAACTAGTTTGAAAGTTTTCGTGCTCTGCGAGAACCGATTTATCAGTGCCAAGGAAGTGTGAATTTTTTTCTTGTGCATCAATGTATAAAATAGAATGATATTCTATGATTAAGGTAGATTTACCATGAGAATGGATGCCTGTTTGCACGGTGCACGAAAGTGGAGCAAAATTACGTCTAGAAACGTCTATTGTACGCTGTCGACTTTTCAAAATGTAACATTGCAAGTGTAAATGTGAAAATCAGACAGGGTTTTTTGACATCGTTCGCCAATTTACTAACTTTTGAGCTGGCCTTCCGATCCTGTTCATAAGGTATGGAAATAATTCCAAAGTTGTGGTGATCTATGTCTGTTGAAATGAAAAATCGATAAACTAATAGAAGCCTGTAAGGACTCTAACTTAGTGCGTACTTAGTGATTCCCACGCTTAGAAATATAGACCGGCCTCCATGTGTCTTCTATATTATACAAACAATTTTGATGATTTTGATCTCAACGTGGTTTTGGTTGGCATTAGCTTACAGATTAACAACACTTGTTTGTTGCAGTTCTACTTCTACCAATTGGTTAATGTCACACTCAGACACACTTACGATGATTTCGCATGATATTTCGTTGAACAATTTGCACTAATTTTAATAAAAATACATAATAGCTACATCCTAAACAATAAAACTAACAAATACCGTACAATAGATTGAAAGAACTTGAGATTAAGAAAATCACAGAATTTACGTTAGTGCGTCATTAGACCATAACAAGTATTCCGTATTTCACATTTGCACCAAAGTGTACTAACGAGGGGTTCTTAATGTTAAGATGCCATAACGAACGTAATATTCTTTTATCAATATGCTGGTTCTTAAAAGAACCGGTTTTGTTTTTTCTGTGGTCGGTAACGGCTGACATTTACTTGCTGCTTGTGTACTTCGTTACGGCTTTTGTTCCTTCGCTGACTGCGTGCTTTGCTAACTCTCCGGGTAGAAGCAAGCGGACGGCTGTTTGGATTTCCCTCGAGGAAATGGTCGATTTCTTGTTATAATGTGCCAAACGGGAAGATTCTCCTGCTATCCTCTCAAAGATGTCGTTGACGAACGAGTTCATGATGCCCATGGCTTTGCTGGAGATGCCAGTGTCAGGATGAACTTGCTTCAAGACTTTGTAGATGTAGATCGCATAAGATTCTTTACGTTTAGGTCTTCTCTTCTTGTCCCCACCGACTCCTGCTTTCTTGCCAGCTTTTTCCACCTTTCGAAGCGATTCCGGGTTTGACAGGCATCGTAACATATATTCTGCACGCTGATTCTCTTAAGCGAACGATAGTAAAATGCGTATAGCACTACCCGATTACGCGTCGCGTCTTGTTTATATTTTGAAGGACATGGGTAATTTATGCAATGAGGATCATAAATGCAGTGATTTGATTGGTAGATATTTAGTCGGACCTTTGGGGAGAATATTTGTAAACTATGTATTATGTAACGTGTATTCAGTCGGTGAATCCGTGCTTAATTTTGATTGATTAACACAAACGCACAATTGCATAAATTGCACAAATACACAACATAAAATTAAACAGATATCTTTATTTTCCTTATGCATTATAAATTTGGATTCAGGATTTTCGACCGAATTTGTGAATTGTGCGTGTCTGGCGTATTCGTGAATACAACGAGATATTTTTGTCTGCAACACCTCGTTGGTAAAATGCAAGCCCAGTGGATTACCCGGTACGATGATGTACAAAAAGATACTTTTTAAAGAGGAAGCCTGCTTATACTCATATCTATCAATCAATAATTTTGATGTAAATTATCTTCTTATCTGCTTGAGAGTCGAGAAAATGCAAGCGCTTTGCTGCTGCGCTGTTTATATAAACGATCAGGATCTTCGGCATTGCTTCAATTGCCTTCGTTCTATTGTAACTTGTCGGAAATTTAAGAAAACTCGTGAATCACTATTGAATTGTTTGCAAAATGGAAACGGCGCGATCTAGGAGGGTAAAGGTGATGCTTTTCTATGTCGATGAATATTGTCTGAAATTTATTGAAAATATAGCCTCCATATTCTTACTTATGTTGAAGTCAATTGTAACTTTTTTCTAATTTTCATCCATCACCTATCCATAATGCTTTATGAAGAGAATGACTTGCCTTGTTCACGTTTTGCTGGCAGTCAGATTTAGTCGAGTGATCAAAACAACACTAACAACAATGGTTAACCTCTCTTAGGATTAATTAGCCAGCCAGAAAAATATAAACAAGGCAATTTACCGATAAATTAAGGTTAAATATATAAGCTAAGGTTCAATATATAAGGAGAAATGTATAATACAAAAGAAGGAACTGAGAATGTGAGGAGAAATGGAATTTGATTGCCCCACCCCCCAACCCCTTCACACACCCGCTAGTAACATTATCAAGACTATGGTCTTCATTCGGAGCCACTGGAAAGAACATGGGTATACGTATATTTGGGTATTGACTGAGGATTAGTTGTTGTGCATGAAACACTGTAGATAGTGTACAAATGTAGAGCACTCTGTTGTTTTAGTATTGTAATTTTTATATGATTATATATAATTAAGGGTGCAAATCATGGGGAAGGGGCATGCTTTCCCTAATTTTCAGAATACCAGTGATTTCAAGTTGCAAAAAAATTAGGAAAACCACTACGTACTACACCATAAGATATCCCCCCACCACACTTTTAAAAACAAATTTGTGCTTTTTAATATAATAACAACATGGGTCATCTTTATCGAGCCAGCTATCATGGTGAAAGTTTCTTTTCTTAATATATCCATAGAATCCGAGACATAGATTCTATAGGTAAAAGAATTGATTTATTTCAAGAAATATTGTGAGACTTTACTCTATAGAAAGAGAAATCTTACTAAAAACTGCTGTGAAAATTGTATTTAACAATTGCAAAAACAAACGAATATGTATAGCATCTTCATTCACACATTCTTATTTGATTGTCACATACTGACTCACTGCAAATAGTAGATGAAGAAATGCATAATGATAGTGTGCTGAAGTTTTGCTTAGCTGGACTGGGCTGCAGAAATTTGGTGGAATTTGGGGGGAAAGCTTCCCTTCTTCCAGCTAGGAATGTTGAGCTTCCCTTGTACTTCAGAAATTGATAATTTATTAATTGCAGTTTTTAAACTTTTAATCTGGCAATTAATCCTTGTACCATATAGCGTGATATGACTGTGTAAAGTCAATTCCAAAGTTAAAGTTACTATTCATATGTTGATTATGATTTACAATACTCATAAATTATGATCAATTATTTATCAGTCATCGCAGTTATGCTGCAGTATGGTGAATGTACAGTAGAGCTACTTCATTGAATTTTTGGTGCCAAGCACATATTATTACGGATTTTATTACCTTAGAGGTAGCCAGTCAATTGACCAAAAGGAATAACGAAATGGCCAACGAAAACCCGTAATCTAATTAAATATACAGTAGCTAGTTGCACACAGTTCTATATTCCCTATACTGTGGTTATGCGTTGTCGAAATCTTTGACGTCATACGATGACGTTACGTCTAATGATTTCACTGCATCACCCTCATTAAAAGCATCCCATCCCCTCCCACTCCAAGAGAATTAGTTCGAAGCACAGAGCTGGACTATAACTTGCAGGCTGGCTATGTCCCCTGACAAGGTTAATTGGTTTGTCCAAAAAGTTTTGAGCTGTTTTTGTTTTTTCCATTTCCCTGTTCCAGGCGCGAAGCCGGAACGATAATTGGAGGAGGGGACATATTCATGTATACATGATATGGCTTATTAATTTCTTTTGAAATCCATTATTTTTTACGGATTATAAATTGAATATATGAATATGGGCCTCCCAATTATCCTTCTGGCTACGTGCTTGCCCTGTTCATTTTTCTGCTAATGATTTCTTATATATTTTATGTAAAAAAATCATTTATTTCCTCGTTTTAGGTTGAACACGAGGTGGTGAAGTTGCTGAATGTTACCATAGTTCGTGCAACATGTGTTGAAACTTGTTTTGATAAAATAAAATGTACGTCGATTTTTCGATCTTTATTCTTGCTTCAAAACCAGGGGCCGGTTGATGACACATAAGACCTATATGACACATAAGACTTATACAGATTGTCCGCGCGAGGCTCCATCATAAGTAATAATTTCACGAGAGTCGTCATTTTTAAAAGTGTCCATTTCTCAATATTAATTCCAGTGAGGTGCCAGGGCGGAATGGAATTCTTAATATAAAAATTAAAAATTGTTTTAAAAATAGCAAATACCATGGTGAAGAATGGTAAAATTATAACGTACTAGTTCTTAAAAGAACTGTTTAATACCAGAACACTGACCCAATAGTTCTAAAAGAACTGTTTTTTTAAAAATTGGCTCAGTGTTCTGGTTTTAAACAGCTCTTTTAAGAACTCTTACGTTATCATTTTGAAAGTGTCTGTAATGTGACACCACAGCTCGTTTTAGAGCTATTACGTTTATTATTTTTACCATTCGTCATGGTGTTGACCCTTTTTGTTTGAAACAATTTTTAATTTGTCACGTCGACAAAATCTCTTTTTTACTATAAAAATCAATGTCCAACTCCAATAGGTAGTTTTTGAAAAAGCAATAAGCGATTGTATAATATTTATTAAAGAGAGCAATTCAAAACAAAACATAACTTGCTTTCATTAATAAATGTTAAACAGTCAAACCGCTTTTTTGTATCTGTTGGGCTCCAGTGCTGTAGAACTAAATTTATCAGATGGGGGGCTCTCTTGACAAAGCTGAAGCCATGAAATTGTGAAAAATGCGTGACGTCGTCGTATGACATTATCATGGATGTTCACAACGTTTAACTGAAATGACTCATAGATGGCAGATCATTAACCCTTAAGTCTAACAAGTAACGACCACTACTTTGATAAATGTTTGAAATAGACTTACACTCAGTCATACTACACTATGCTTGACAGAGCTCGTTAGATAAAAAGTTAAAACCCTGCGAAAAAATGAGTCATAGATCATTTGCATTCTACAACAGCTTATTTTTTCATTATCAACCGATAAAACGTCGGCTTATAATCTGAACCAATTTAATCATCTCTTATCTTCCCTGAGTTGAGTAGAGTTATGTCAAAAATTCGTCTTAAACTCAAAAAGGTAAAATAGAATACAGATTCAGAAAACGCTCATGCTGCACAACACTAATACTAAAAAAGAAATTTCGTTAAAAAACTTTATATTTGTGAAAAAAGGAAAATGTTTGTCTTAACTCAAGTCATAGTCTATATCAATATACATTATTGTTCGTGAATAAATTACAATGCCAGTCTATGATTTGACTCCTCGACTTTTTGTTCGTGCTCTTGAGTAAAATCAGCACGATTTTACTTGACAAAAAATTGTTGTAAAGGTGTGAGCTCTGCTTCTTTTTTCAGCTTCTTTTTTCTAGTTTGATTATTTTCAGCAGACTTGTGGTGTTCCAGCCATTGCTGCACAGCTGAACTTGCCTCCCAGAATTGTGCTGGCGCACCATTGATGCTTATGAACATCAAGGAGGATAAATGAGAAACAGACATGCTAGAGCGTGACTTCAAACATATTAAGTTCATTTGTGGAAATCCCCTCTCTGCCCCTGCATTGCTTTTTGGCACAATTTGAAGCAATCCTTTTAGTAGCCGTTCCTCAATAAGCGATGGGGTGTTTCAAGGATCACTGAAAAATTCTCGATATGATGCAATCATGCCTGTCGTATCGATTTTAAATCTTTCACAAAGTGACATGATATGTTGCTCCCCTTTTAGCCATGGAACCTTCTCCCCCCTTGGCCATTTTTACGGATAGACAGATTCAATTTGCTTTAATAATATCTTCTCAGATGAATCAATCATCCTTTTTTGGAGGTTATCAATCAAACCCTGCAAAAATTGCTTTCGATTAAATGATTTGTATCCAGTTCGAGACTGAAATGACTTTAACTCCACGCCTTTAAACTCCACTGAAGAATTGTAATTGTTCCTAATTATATTTTGTTTCCAAAGAATCGTTTATCTTGTCCAGCGCGTTTATTGTCCATTGCAAATAGTCAGTTGCTTTAAGAAGAATGGTGCAGTCCTGTAGTGATTCAGACAAAATTGAAAGCTTTCATAATGGCTACGTCTTCAACAAACTCTATCGTCTCCATTCGTTTTGCTAATCCAGCATAGGTTGCTTTGTGCTTGTCTTGAGAATGTGAAAGTGTGTAGAAATGCTTATACACAGCTGATAATTTCTCCAAAACGATTCCACTGCACGAGACGAGGATGCAACCCATCTAGTTGTCAAAATTTTGTCGACTTTGCGCAGTTGAATATCCAGTTCTGCAGCAATAATTTTCAGCTCTCTCTGAAATTTAGCAGACTGAGGAATAAATTGCATAAATCTTACCAAAGAAATCTTCAATAGGTTGGGTACCATCAACAGCTGTTACTGTGTCTGATACTGCTAATTCTAATCTGTGGTTGAGACAATGCCACAAAACAATTTGTGGATACCTTGACTTAAGTAATGTTGCGACTCTTGGTTGCCCCCATCATCACTGATGCGCCATCACTGGTAAATGCAATAAATTTTTTGCCAAGTATTCGTCATTAATTCCGTTACTTTTCAGTGAATTTAAAAGTGATTCACAAATTGAATTCGAGTCTTGACCCCCCAGTTTAATAATACTTAGAAAAATGTTAACAGCAAATGTTTATTATGGACCTCACACGACCAAGCAGGATTCTTTTGCATTTGAGGTAGCTTCGTCAATTATAATGGAAATCTTTTTGTTATGTTTGGTAATTTCTTTAATAAGATTCTCACGCATTATTGAGGCAATTGTATCAGTCATTTCTGTGCAAGACCACCTTGAGTGTAGAGTAACCCCAAGATTTATTCCATTTTTCTGCTGAAGCTTTATCAGATTCTCATAGTCCGAGTATGGTCTGTTTTCTTTAGCAACATAGCAGTTCTGAGGCATTTTTCAGTTGTTGATTGATGTTGTGCAACAGATAAGCCAGTTGAGCTCTGGACTTTTCTCTTTTCCCCTTCATTGAGAATTTTGGTTGCAGTTACGTGTGCACTGCTTTTTGCATGCTTGGCAATTTTTTTCTTAGGTATTTTTGCGCTGCTGTCGTTTCGAGACTCTTCGTTTTGCATGGAAAAACAGTACATTCTATCATTCTTTACTCATGTGGTTTCGTTGTTTAGCATGCAGTCGAAGATTGTTAACGTTTCTACAATCCCGACAGTCAAGTTTTCCATTTGAAATTATAATCCATGGGTATGCAAAGGTAAAGTAATCTTGTTGCTTAACAGACCAACATGGAGGGGCGATGGAATGAATAGATGGAGATAAATGTTCACTAGAGTTTGGAAATTCATTGAAGGCATTGTTTACCGTAGGTTCCTGTGTGTTTTCATCAAACTTCCTCAGCTCAGTACCTTTTTCGGAGCTGTTGCTGTCGTTGATTTCAACCATTGCCATATGCTTGCATCTTCCTCCGGCTCCAGCTTCTGAAGCATGGAAAACATCGTAATTTATTTCATTGTGCTTGTTGGAACTGTTGTGTTTTTGCGAGATACAAGTTTCAGCTTGCACATCTATGTCTTCATTTAAATCTTCAAATGGGTTTTCTTTCCTTTTCTTCGCCTTTGCCACGAAAGTACAACAGAGATGCATGTTTTACTTTTTTAGACATATTCACGGTGTTGATTTAAGCAGTCATTATTTTTGTAGTAAATATTTGTTGTTTACCTGCGCCCACGCAACTCAAAGCAGCCATAATCAGTCCTTCGTGTAAGTTTTAACGTAAGTTATTCTGTTTGAAACCTACACAATGTAAATGGACGATAGCGGCATGATCATGTGAAACAATAAGACAAGAAAAATTATCGACTTATCTCAAGAACGTGATTTTGATAATTTTGATTGTACTTTATGAAATTATAGTCAAGTTTTTGTCAATAGTGCCCTTTTAAAATTACCCATTTCAAAGGTAGAAGGTGGGCTCCTCCCCCAAGCACCCCCCAACGTTTACAGCACTGTTGGGCTCTAATTTTTATATTGAGAACTCCTCATTGTATAACAGCAATCCCAACTACTTTGCTTCAGGTTTTCGCCATTCCCTTTGCCCTGGTGGCTGTTTCTGGTCGCAGAAAATCTCCATGTCTCCAGATCCATATGTCACTCTCAGGGTGCGTACGAGTCCTAATGGTAAACAGCAAACGAGCGTAAAGCAGGGCAATTCGAATCCGGAGTGGAATGAAATGTTCAACTTCTATCTAAATCCTGAAAAGGAAAATATTCTAGGTACCTTTTGATGCTTGAGTGATCGTGTAAAATGGCGGGACTTGTTGGTCTGGGGGTGAGGTTGTGTTTTAGCGAAATTGGTCTTTTCAGGGTTCACTATACTATATACAGGTCGAAAAACAAAACAGCAAGCTCTCTCGCTATCGTTTGATTCATAGTTTTAAATCCTTATGGGTATTTTAAAAACTCGTTTGAGAAAGTCTGTTATTTACGGTCAAACTAAATGAGGATATCGAAGTTTTAACATCTGAAGTAGCTGTACATTTCTACCGTTTAATAAAGTTGAATTGGCGCTTATCACATGGTAGATAGAGAAATATAAGCTTTGTGGTGTCATTTTACAGAATTGACATTGGTTGATGACGAATTTTGTTCTCCTGAGGAACTCGACACTAGGACAATTCTGCTGGACAAGCTGCCTGTGGATGTGGTAACTCGTCAACAATTGAAGTTTGGTGAGGTATTGAACTTATTCTCTGAAGAGAAGGGATATGGCGTTAGTTGGCATGACTACCAATTGATTGTGGAGATAGATTTTCCAGGCGGGAAACACATAATCGTATTATGAACATTAATGCCCAGCTTAATCCAATGATATGATTTTCTATTGTAATTAACATTGTAACTAACATAAATTTGTCTCCTAAAAGGGAAACGACCGACCTTTTGCGAAGTAAAGTGAAATCTTCGGTCGTTTGCCCAAATGTATGCATGCGAAAAAATCAATTCGTTTCAAATTAAGTGATTCAGTTGCTAATATCTTTCTTTACGTTTTTTATCTTTAGAGAACCTTGTTGGATGTCGTTTTACATGTGGTAAACAAGTAAGTGCGAATAGTAGATATTTTCATTGAAGTTGATATTATACCTTTGGTTGCATTTTGATGTCAATAGACTCGAGAGTTTTTTTGTTAGAATTTAGAAATTCAGGTATTTTCACGCCTTCGGTTCTGCAATCTCCGTGAGGTGGGAATGTCTAAGGACCCCCCTCGTTATTTCTTCTGCTAAATACTAAGTTTGACCCAGTGAACCCTAAAGGCTCTTTTCCACTTATCGCAAAATGCTCTCGCTGCGAGCTTGCGAGTATGTTCGCGCGATCAACAAATTTTGTTCAAATAATTTAACTATGCAGCGAGCTTGCGAGTACGTTTTGCGATGAGTGGAAAAGAGCCTTAATATCTGTTGATAGTACAGTTCACTGGTTTCACCTGATGAATTAACCACAATGCATTGCGGGATGCAATATTTTTACTAAGGTTAATTTCGCTGTACTGTATTATAGTGAAAGGGTAGACCTGCGCATCGGCTATGATTCTTGTGAAAATGAAAAAGAGTTTCTTACAAAAAGACGAGAGGTGGTCTTAAAGAAGATGGCTGCTATGTTTGACGACGAGAAACGGCCTGGTTCTATTGACGAGGTCAGCTGGCAGTAAACTATCAATTAAAGAAAGTATGTCAACCAAGATGCATTGCGCGCCTTTGTTTATGTTTACATCGTTGCTTTTTGAGCTTGCGGCACGCAGAATGCAATTTCGTCACTAAGTCGTCTAATTTATCTGAAAAACTTAGCATAAAAACCTTGATTAAAAACTCTATTTTACACGAATTATTATAGTTTGACTACAATAACAAAATCCGCCATTTTCTTGACCCACAAAATGGCCACCACGTTGTGATTTATGTGCAATGCATCTTGCTTGACACAATTTCTTTAATGGCTAATTTGATGAGACCAATTTGGTAGGTTAGGATTTTGATAGATAGATCTCTGTCAGTATGTGTTTGGTTTTTATTGCAGTGATACAGTAGCGATCGATTTTTTTGATGCGGTAAACCATATTTTTTGGAAGTGTGGGTTCTTGATTTTTGTAATTGTTGATTTTTATTTGTCAAATCAACCTGCTTGTCGTTGCCTTCAAACAGGCAATGAACAAATAGCAAAGTTTGGTAGAAAAAATCTTCAATCATACGAAACATGTAAAAATAATTGTACTATATACTTTATTTTGTGGAAATGTGGTAGCTCAACTGTGCTAGATTGATTTGTTAACTAGAATGCGATCTGCAGGTCCCGGTGATTGCGATCATGGGCTCGGGAGGTGGTTACAGGGCAGCTTGTGGCTTGTCAGGAGCATTCAGTGCTCTTCAAGAAGCTGGTATTTTGGACTGCGCTACATATGTATCTGGACTATCAGGATCATCGTGGTATGCAGAATGAAAATTCAATTCTCTTAGTTGTAGTTTCTTTTAGTTTGCGTTGGCAACATAATGCCTGCGGCGCAAACTCAACCATTATTGTTATGCACATAATATTGACGTAAAAACTTTTTTTGATTTCGAATGCCAGGTACATAGCAACTTTGTATGAAAATGAGAAATGGCCCGAGCTGCCTGCGTGTGATGAAGTTGCTGTTTTCCTTCGAGAACGGTTCCGCACCAGTATTCTTACGCATTTTCACAGTCAGTTTGGCCACAGAGTCAAACAGAAAGAAGAGAAAGGCCAGCCTGTCTCTTTTACTGACATCTTTGGCATGGCCATCGGGGATGCTTTATTAACGGTGAGGTTTTAATAGTTAACGCTTCAATGCAAGTCTGCTCTAGTGCTAGACCTTAAGTTTTTGTGAGGAGTAATGTCAAAAGACCGAAGGCTTGAGCCTTTCTTGGTGGGAGTGGGGTGGACAAATCTAGAGTCCCAAGGTTCGCCGTGCTTATGAGGTGTACGTTTGCATGATTCCTTTTGTAACGTAGGTAGTTAACTAGTTATCGCCACTCTCTCCTGAGTACATCTTTACACGAGGGTAGTTCTTCAGGCGATATTTTATCGTGAGAAGGGGACTAATTCGCAAGCTACGCCACTAGTATTTTATATTAAAGTATTGTGGTAATAATAAACCTGTTCGTTCTTGCACATTTACTTCTACGGTAGGTTGAGATACGTCAAAATATTACTGTGGCATATTTTGGCATATATTTACAATTCTAAACAGGTTGGAGGCAAATCCACTGGTGAAATTGTATTCTTTTGAAATTTAAAACCAATAGTATTATAGTGTTTCTTTGAAAGGACTTTGAATGTCATATTGAGGGGCTAAAATTTAATTTGATGAACGCTGGACCTGCTACTTGCACGTATGTGTCATTCATTTGCTCCGTGATCTTTACAGCATTCTCACGATACATTCACTGCATTTTGGAAACAAGGTTTAAGATCATCGTAACGTAGATGCATGTGCAGGGCTCCAGGCATTTCATTTGTCTTGTAAATTGTAATTATATATTGAATTCCTTATACTTGTTTCTGTACATTGATTTCATTAGGAATAATTGAATGTTGAAACTTCATTTCTTATACACCCCACTCTAGTGTCTTCACCAGGAGTGATCTGATGTTTAAACATAAGTCCTTATGTACTCCAGTCTAGTGTCTTCGTCAGGAGTGATCTGATTTAAAACATGAGTTCTTATATACTCCAGTCTAGTGTCTTATTCAGGAGTGATCTGATGTTGAAACTTGAGTCTTTACGTACTCCAGTCTAGTGCCTTCATCGGGAATGATCTGATGTTGAAACTTTACTCCTTATATCCTCTCGTCTATAGTGTATTCATCTGGAGTGATCTTTGTTGAATCTCAAATCTTTATATTTTCTAATAAAATGTCCTTTTCTTTTTGATGGTTTCTTTCAATTTAGGACCCAGAAAGTAAACTGAGTCATCAAGTTTATAAAGTCTGTGATGGTCAATCACCTCTCCCAATCATGACGGGAATTCGAGTTCAATCTAGCACGCCCGCAGACGTTTGCAGCGGTATTTTTCTTAATCGATTATCTTCATTTTGCCGTACATTATTCAACAATGATTTTACGAATTCCCAATTTTATTTTACGACTTTTTCTTGGAATAGAATGGATGGAATTCACGCCTTACGAGTTCGGTTTTCCATTGTTGAGTGTATTTGGAAAGATATCCGAGTTCGGATCAAAGTTTTACAAGGGAAGATTGGTGCGCAAGTTCGAGGAGTATCCTTTGAATTATTTTCTCGGTGAGTAAGGTGAAACGCTGAATGTTTGAGGACAAGTATGTCGGATTGAACATGGGTTAGGCCCATTGATGGTTAGGCACAAGGCAAGGGATATTTTAAGGATTTTACAGTGGGAGGCCGTTTTCCTCAAAAGGACCTTCGAAACCTGAGCCATATGGCAGAAGGTCCTGAAATGCCCTTCCCTAGTGAAATTTTAAAAAATTGAAATTTCGTTAAGGCTATTCTATGCATTTATAGAGCAATACAACGTAACAGACGTGTTATGAAAGAAGCATTCTTACTACAAGCGAGTGATATATTATCAGCAATGAATTATTTGAAATAGCAATTACATAAAACGCAAAAAGGCCTTTAAAGGGGAGCAATTTTCTTTCAGTGTGGGGCCGCTAGAGGACCTGGGAGGGCAAATGCTAATGGTATATATTTTAAAATATGCCTTTGTTAAGCATCCATTATGGCCTGCACAAAGTTTAACGATCAAACGAGTTTCGTTGCTGTGTACCACATGCAGGATAGAGTTAGTTATATTGTGCTCGCCTTCGCGTGAAAAACCACGTGTGCGCGCGTGTGTTTATAGTGGGTTGAGTATGTATCTTTCTGAAACTGCAGGGATCTGGGGAAGTGCGTTCACCATTCTTTTGAATCGCGTTGTCGACGTGGAAAATGAAACCGATAATTGGTGTGAATTGATGAGACGAGAACTAGGTAAGATATATGCGAATGCTAGAACTGAAGTCGTTCGTAGTGTGAATTGAGTGCAAAATTTGCCTTTCTTGATATAGTAATGTGATATAAGTTTGCAGATGTAGATCGTCTATGTTAGAAGAGTTCTTAAAAGGACTGTTGGTGTTGATGTTGAGTGACGTTTCGACAACCTTAGCGGTAATCATCGTCATAGTCAAGTGAGGAGTAAACGTGCCTCTGAACATTACTAACGCTGAGATGGCTCTGAAGATGACTACCGCTAAGGTTGTCAAAACGTCAGTCAACATCAACACTAAAAGTCCTTCTCAGGACTGCACTAACCTTGACGATCTACATCTAAGAACCCTTGACATATTCCCGGCTTCAAACCATTGTGGTTTTGTGTGGAAAAAAGATATCTTTTTTGAAGACATCTTTAATCATGTACTAAGTATGCAATATGACAAATTAGTAGCGTATATCTATCTCATGGAATATTTACAATTTTGCGCCGCTGTTTTCTCATTTTTTGTCAGAAGAAGATGTTTTATCCGGTTGTAATCGGGAAATTTTTTTTTCAAAACAAGCAAAAACATCCGAATTATTCATAGCCAATACCATCTTCTTGTCCACATTTAGAATGTTTACTTAAAATTGAATCGAAAGATGATGATGTCCCAAGCGATGATGACGAGCTTCCGGAAGATCAAATAAACAGTAAGTCATGAAGGGGTGGGAAAAAATACTTATTCTTTCTTCGATTGAAAAGAAAAAAGTTTCTGCTGCTTATTAAGAAACTAACAATACAATGGATTAAAAATTACGAGTCAACAAATGTCCAATTTGATTCTTGAATGGAAATCACAACGTTTGTTTTAAGTTTCGCATTATTGTTATTTTATAAAAGAATTAAAAGATGGTTTACGGTGTATGCACAGGCTTATGCGAATCGAGCTTGTGCAACCCTCGACCTTCGGTCTCGGGCTTGCAATTATCTGCTCTCTAGTTCTCCCAAAGGTCTCCTCGGTTTGCATAAGCCTGTGCAAACACGGTAAATTATCTTTTATTTCTTAATTCAATAATTGCAAATTTGCGTGCCACGAGTTAGCTATTTTTTTTACACTTTCGGTCACCTGTAGTATAGTACAGCTGTTAATGACAAAATTCTTCACTTGAATGGTACAAGGGTAAAATTTTCTTATAGTCTTACCATGCCTCAAAAGACAAAATTTTGATAAAGGGCCAGCCCATATTTTACATTTACAACGCGTTCTGCGCATGTCGTGTTTGATGACGTTTTCAGTAGTAAAAAAAACAAAAGTTCGGTGTCATCGCAATTTCTCTGTATATTCTTATACAACAGCTAAAGATGATAGAAAAACTATATTACAACTTTTGCTTTTGAGCAATACATTCTGAAATATTCTACATTAAAAGTGTTTCAAAAGTGCTGACTCAGTACTTTTGTTTAGTGTTATTGCTCTTTCTTAAATACATTGGAAAAGCGCCTAACCAAGAATAGTAATATTAAAATGATTTTAATGCCATCATGTTATTGACAATAACGCCCACTATTACACAAACGAGTACAAACTAAGTGTGCTTTGACGCATTTACAACGAATCAAATAAATCTACTTCTCTACTCTCACCATTTTCATGAACTGTTGGATGCTGCACGAGCGAAATTGCTGTACCGTGGAAACAGTCTTGTGCACTTGTGGAGCTGGGATTATGATATATGTTGTCAACTGCTGCAGTTTTAAACAATCTTTTCCGTAACTTCGACGGACAAACAACGTCATCACTCTCGTACCTTGCTATTACCTTATTAGCAATGTCGGAAGAAACAGATAAAAGCTGATCGTACGAGATGCACAATCCCAACTTGAAAAAAGCGTCGATAAGTTATTTATCTCTCGTGTCTTTTTGACAAATTATGCATAGTTTCCAGTCCATGAGTTATATAATATTCTACGAGGGAAGCAGTTATTGACACTACATGTGCATGCTTTGTTGTGTTTACATCTTGATCAAAGAAAGAATCTTTTAGATTAAATTGAACACGCAAAATATGCGCACGTCATTACAATCTTAAAGCAAAGTTTTACAACAAGAACAAGTAAGGATATAATAATAGATTACTTCATGGTTGGTCAGTGCGTACGATTTTCATGCACGAGTTGAGAATCAATTAGGTGATTGTTTTGAAACGTTTCAAAACATTAAAGTGACAAAAAGTGCTAAAAACCTGAAATGTTAAAGATAGAATGAGTAAGTATTCTGAATGCTAACACAAGTAAGGTAATGAATCTTAAAGAAACTTAATTGAATGTTCTTCATTGTTTCAATACGATTTATCATTGCACTATGGTGAAAGCCGGGAGGGCACATTGTTATACACTTTATATATAATATAAATATAAAAGTGCTGAGTCAGCACTTTTAAGAATATTCCATGCACAATATTTAGGAATGTATTGCCCAAAAGAAAAAGTTGTAATATACTTTTTCTATCATCTTTAGCGGTTGTTTAAGAATATACAGAGAAATTGCAGATTTCTCTGAACTTTACTTTTTTTTACTACCGATGACGTCATCAAACACGACATTCGCAGAACTCGTTTTAAATGTAAAATATGGGCTGGCCCTATATCAAAATTTTGTGTTTCTAGGAATAGCAAGAATGTGAGAAAGTTTCATACTTGTATCATCAAAGTGAAGGGTTAGGTGATTTTTTGTCATTAACAGCTGCACTACGCCGCCCGATTCATTTTCCTCCTCTTAGTTTTTTCTACCAAAAATCTTTCCAAAACCATCGTAATTTCAAAAAGAAATTACGTAACTACTGCGTGCCGTCAGTGCATTCTTGATCAAATGTGAACCCTTGAAATGTTACTGATTGGCTTATAGCGGAGTTTGCATTAGCCTGTACAAATTGAGCTACAAAAATCAATTAAATCAATGTAAGATATAATTTGCTAATCAATCATGAATCTATGATAAGAAAAATTTTTCTTTTAAATTTATCTGCTTCGCATTATTGTGATTTTATAAAAGAAATACAAGATGTTTTTCGTATTTGCACTTGCATATGTCTAGCATTAATAAACATGTGAAACACAGTAAACATCTATTAATTCTCATAAGTAATATGAAAGAATGCCTAGGTGAAAGCATGTGTGTCTCGTTTTCCACTTATTTCCTCCTTATTGCGAAAACTAAAAATGCGCTGACGTTCCGAAATACATTGCAGGCTCAATTGATCATCTCGAAAAGAATTTAAATTACCTACATACCATGGAGCAGGAATTTTAGTTGAAGCTCTCACATTTAACTTAACCGTCTGCATCCTAAGGACTTGAGTTATATTTATAATCCAAAGTAGTTTTTAGAGAAACATTTCATGTCTAGTTTCTAGTTCCATTCATTGTTTTTTCATTTCAGTTGGGAGGAACTGGTTTGCCGAAATGTTAAGTCCGTCGAATCTCTTCGTGAATCGTCGAGGGAAGGCCGCTGAAACGTTTAATGTTTGTCGTGGGCTCCAAATCAAGCCAGAAAATGGTAATGTGCCGTGGTTTCTAACAACCTTTTCTAGCCGACAGTTAAAAGAAGTGTTAGATAAAACATCTTCCAGAAAACACCAATCTTGTCGCTTTTAAATCTTCTCTCGGGCATGGCGCCAAATTTATCATTGAGGGGCTTTTTTATGTATTCATACTTTATGTATTCCACAATCACAATTGATTTCAGCAGAAACTAATACAGTACACCATTCATATATAAATATTACCCCAATTAATAATCTTCCACCACATTGCGATTGTTTCAAAATGAAATACTTTTCATTTAGAAGAAGAAGACTATCTTAAGAATTTTGGAAAAGGGAAAATGATGTGTGTTGTGGACAGCGGAATTGCGTTCAACTCTCCTTTCCCTCCCATACTGAGGAGTGATCGTGGAGTCGAGTTGATTTTGTCCTTTGATTTCAGTCAGAAAGAGGGCGATGACGATCCACCTTTTGTCGTAAGTACTATAGTAGGGGTTAGGGTTAGGGTTGTGCTGTCGCCAGGAAGAAACCCTCTCCCCCAAAAAAACAAAAACCGGGGAGGTCTATGCTATTCTGGGAGCGACTTTTTAAAGTCTATTTGTTTGAAAAACCAATAACGACTTCTTTCGCCCTCTATCAGTTGCCACACCGACCTTCTATACATAGTTTTCCGAAATTGGGCAGTGTTTTACCCATCGCTAAAGTGTGCTCCCGGTTATTGTACGTAGTTGAATCAACAGCGCCTTGAGAAACCGTTCTTCACGACAAAGGCGGGAACAACTTTCGATGTTTTTAAAAATTGAAAAGGCCTTGCGTCTTGTCTGTTTGACTTAGAAAGTTTTAAATAAGTGTGATCATAAGGCGCTATTATATGCTTAAATACATAATAAAATATCATGTGCTGCTTGTTTTGAGCATGAATGGAAGAAACGTAAAAGTTGATCCTTTTTTTAGCAACTATTGAAAGCAGAGAGTTGGGCTCGAGATAAAGGTCTACCCTTTCCTAAAATCCAAGGAAATCCTCTCACCGAAGATCGTAATTTAAGGGAGTGCTATGTTTTCGAAGATCCAGATAACGTCAATTGTCCAACTATATTGCATTTCCCTCTCGTGAATAGAAAGTTCAAGGACTTTCTAACACCAGGTATTTCCAGTATTTCTTGTTCTGTTTGGGGGTGGGGAGAGGCAGTAAGAACTTGGATTGTTGACGTCATTGTGATGTTGGTTTGCTCAGCGGCGAGCTGGAACGTCAACAAAAAACAACAAATGGGCAGTGTTTAAGTGGCCCGATTGCAGGATCTAAACAAAAACAAACTTGGCGTACTTCGTATGCAATTCTTCATGAGAAATTGCTTTAATAAACTGTAGTGCATTTAATTTTTTTAACTTTTATAATTTTTATTTATCATGTAAGGGGCCGTGGAAGATCGATATGAGGGGAGGGAAATTAAATTCTTATATGAATGATATGTGGTGATAAATTCCATTGAAATCCATTGTTTTCAACGAATTATAACATGCATATCGATCATCGTACGCCCAAGTAAGAGGCCCATAAAGCCAGAGGCTCACAACGAGTTCTCGTTGTCTCGTCCTTTCCAAGCATGCCCCAGGATTTACTACGTCTCGTGGTCTATTGTCGGGACTACTTTTTACGTACGGTCGAACCTGTTATTAAGCGGTCATGTGGCATTGTCATGAAGTTTTTGTTGTTATATTAATACTATACTTAAGTTACCTTTATTGAACGTTCACCTCTATTAAGCGGATGCGGTCACCTATTCCAAGGTCCCATACTCAATTTTTCATCATTTTTAAAACTATTTAACGGTCGGTTGAAATAACAACTGCCCATAATACTTTGTTCGAGAACTGTCTATTGCCGAGCGTAACCACTTAATACAGGTTCGACCGTATTATATGTCAGGATGCGACAACAAATACAGTCAACAAACCTGTAAATTCTATTGGCAAGAAACTAGAAGCGATGTCTACTTACTGAGCTGTTCGCAAGAAGAGACTAGAGGTTCGACTGTATTTCATTTATGTTAATAATTTTTGTAAATTTCAATACATTTAATTTAGGAGAACCACGATTGACCAAGGAAGACAAAGATTTTGCTAACTTTGATATCTTCAATGATCCCAATGATACCTATTCATCATTTACATTCCAGTACAACAGCAAGACATTCAATCGTCTTCATGAGTTGATGAAATTCAACACAAGGTTAAATATTGATCTCATTAAGGACAAAGTTACTGGTTACATCGATCGTCGAAAGAATGACCCAATTTATGTAGCCAGATAATTGCCAAACCATAGAAAGGTTAAGCATGAAGAAAAATGAAATTCATCTACATAATCTGGTTGCCTTATTGGCAACGAAGGAAATTTTTACTTCACTCATAAAATGACTATGATATTTCTAGAAGCTGATAGGAAGTTGCCCGGATGGGTGTAATCTGCATAAGTTTAATTCACTCTCATAAAGTGACCATTGGTAAGTTGCCTTGAAGCAATGTACTTGACTTCACTTCACAACGGTAATATAACTTAGACACTTTTAAAATGTATGTAACATTGAAGCTTTTGCTATCAATTATAATTGAATCCATGATTAAGGCAATCCAATTAAGTGGCTCTTAACTAGGTCAAACAAGAAATGGTTCTTTTGTATGTATAATGGCATGGGGTGAGATACAAATGCATCTTTGTTTTTAAAAAGCAAATCTACTCAAATCTGTGTTAGCCTGTCCCATTATAGAAAACTGACCATAACGTTTGAATTATTGTACAGAAGCTTTTGTTCATTACCTATTTTGGTTTGCTCACTTTGTGAAGTCAATTGTATGTATTCTTGCATCAGTACTTTTAAATAGTTGCATCATTTGCTATGACTTATCATGAAATATAAAGTTAGCACAAATACATAGTAATAGAATAGTGAATGAATTATAGTAAATCAGCTTCCTAAACATTGGTTCCAAATCTCCTTGTCTGTACCAGTATATCTGAAAGAAATCAGTTTAAAAAAGTGATAGGAAAAAAGCATACATGAAAATATCTGAATTCAACATTCAGAATACCAAATTAACTGCCGCTTAAGACTTTCAAAAAGATATTTTAGAACAAACATAGCTTACTTTACATGTGCTTAACGTAAAAGAAAATTTATGCCATAACACTTATGTTAACCATGCAGTTTTATCAAATGGGTGAATTTCTTACACTGCATAACAATGAAAACAAGTGTTCTATAAATACAACACAACGAGAAATGCTTACCAGCAGAAGGTCAGAACAACACACCATAACAATCACAATAGCTAGGAAAACATGAAGAGCTTTTGTTGGTCTTGGGAACAAAAATGCACTTATGAAGGTCTCCTAAAAAGTACAACAAAAAGTCAAATTTAATTATCGGTTGCCATTTAAAGAAATCAGGGGGACCTGGAGTTCATCTATGCTGTGATCCCTAGCCAAATTTTACAACTTTCTTTTCAATCTCACTTGTTTCCTTTTTTCACACACTCCAGCCCCCCTTCCCCAATGAGGCAAGGACCAGATGAAAATTGGACCCTGCTTCTCTGTATTTAGTAAACATACCAGAACTAAAAGGCTTGTTACCAGTCCAACAGTGTAATTAAGATAACGAACCTGAAAATGAAGGAAAAACATGGATAAAATGAAATATCTGGGGGCATGAAAAGAGGCATACTTTTAGAATTCCTGTCTTAAGGACTGCCATCAATAATCAGGCAAGGATGTCATTAGGATTAAGTTTTGGGTGAAGCATGCAGGTAAATGAGTATCTGGTTGGGTTATTCTAAAACTATTCCCAATAAGAATCATAAATGGTGCTCGAAAATCTTTCAAACTCTTCTATTAAAAGCAAACCAATCGTAAAAATGATGCATTTGCCATTTTCAAGTTGCTTTTTATTCACCTTAGGTCTTTCTTCTCCAAATAACGGTCTATCAGCCTCGTTTGTATACATCTTTTCATGCAGCGAGGAGTTCTCTAAATTGCTAACGTATGACTTCAGTTACTGATGGCTGAACTTCACTTTAGCATTTACGCCTTCGGAAGAAAATTTATATGCAAAAATGTAAAACAAACAGTACGCTCACGAATGTCGACGATGAATGAAATTCGCTGACAGGGGTACCAATTTCTTTGAGTTTTCATCCATAAAATTTGAGTAGTTTTTTAATACCCAACTTTTTATAACCACAACATAGTACTCTTGCTGGTGTAGACTTTCAAATTAGAATCAAAAGTTTCTGATTTCTAAACATAAACAAAAGCAATAACAATTAAAAATCTCGTGATCTTTTTCGAGGGATCGCGTGGAGTTTTGAGTGTTTCAGTGGGAGTGCATCTAGGAGTAATTAAGAACAATTTATGGGAATATGCTGCTTTTCTTATAATACGCAATAATACCCAGCGATATACCCATTGAGCTCTATAAGACCTGGAGGGGCAAAGGGGCCTGGACCCCGTGGTCAAAAACATTGCGGTAATGGCGGATTTTGGTTGTCAAAACTTCCACTTTGAGAAAAATTTTTAACATTCGCTCCCTCCCGAAACGGATCTCTATTACTGCTCATAGTAATGACAACCAGCGAAAACAACCACGATACCGTAAGCATAAAATATTGAAAATAATGCTTCAGGTTTTTGTGAAATAGACACACATTTAAATGAGGTAAATCTACTGTAAAATAACGTATATTTTTTCAAGTAATGCTTTAGCTATATAAGAAATAAATATCAAACTGCAATCTTTACACTGTCAATGTGTTGTTAAGCTTTAATGCATAATCCCATGCGCATTACTTGTGTTTTTGACTGTTTGTGAACAGCTTGGTGCAACTGTCTTTCTTGAATAGATGGGTAAATCTTAGTTAAAATGTCCAAAAGGAGTTTGAAAAGTTAGCTTACCTACGACTTAAGTCGACTGGAAATATATTATTAGTAGGTATGCAATTTTTTGAGTTTTTTTTGGTAGGATTGATTCTGGATGTCTTATAAAGTATTATGATATTCTGTTAAATCTACTGAGAACTTATGAGGAAAATATCTTGAACTAGGAGAGCAAAGAACGAAATTCAGAAATTCTATAATCATGTTGCTGGTTCTGTTTTGAGCCAAGATATTAGAAACTGGATTGTTATTGACAACCATGGATCTACTACTGAACAGAACTACATTAATTTCCCATTGAAAATACTATTTCTTAAATCAAAGTGCATTGGTTTCTCTGACATAACACTTTTCTTAATGGTGCATGAAGGCAAACCTGTTTAAATATTATAATGTAGGTGAAGATATTTAGCATGTTGTATAATTGTTATTATACAGACATTATTTATAATATTATGGCCTTGTGTAATGTATGTCAAGAACTTATTAATTCTCAAAATGCTAACCTTCTTGCACTACTTTTCTTTTGTGTCCTTACAAATTACAGTTACCTATACTAATTTTTCTAGATTCAAACAACTTGACAAATTTTTGAATTTTACATTATGACTTTGAATTTTCTTTTTGTCTTTTGGTAAAAATATCAGTGAATGACTTAAAATCAAGTTTATCTAAAATAGTATTTTGTACAAAGTAACTATACATAATTGGAAAAGTCTCATGTTGAAGGCAGATGTGGCTTCTTTTACTAGATTGCAACTCTTATTCTTTTAAATGATATCGTAATTCTTCAAAAGACATAAAAAGTTCTTTGCCATCAATTTTGCTTCTTCCACATTCAACTTCATTGCAACCAATGCATCTTATGTGAATTTTAATCACCTGGAATTGAAAAATATGCATTTTGTCAGATGATGCAGTACTGTATTTAATGTTTCATGCATGTCATGATAAGCTTTTCTTGAGCAAATATTTCAAGGTAGGAGCAAAATTTGGCACATTATTGAAAAAAGTAGTTTTTATCTTGATTTTGATGTACTAACCTGTTTACTACACTGTGTAACAAACAATTCATTTACAGAAACACCAGATGGCATTTATAAAACTTTTAGCATAAAGCAAACCTTTACACACCATCATCATGCTTGTCCAAATCTGTCAAATTGTCCAGGCTAGCTGTTTAATACAGGTAATTTTTATTGTACGACATGTACCAAAGAGCTCATTAATTAATCCTGCTCTGCATTTGATTTCAATACAGCTCTGTCCTTAATATTTGCTTCATATTTTCAGAAAAATATCATGAAAAAATCCTCCATTTCAACTCAGTTGAAACAAGGAGTTTTAAGATATGCATATCTCGATAAGAACTGGTTGCTTTGCCTCGTCTAGCAATCGATTAAGTAAAGAACAAATAAGAATGGATAAACATAACTTAAATTATAACTTAGGAGTAAAAACATTCACAAAATATATGCCATCACACTTCAAGTATTGACTTAAAACAAAACACTGAACACTTTAAATAGTAAACAATCTTACGTTGCTTACCGGTGTCATGAAATGTTTCCTTTTCTGGCATTACTTCAGCATCCGTATACCAAACAAGTTTGCAGCATGTTTTAAAGATAAAATTTCTAAAAGTTTTTGTGTTTGGCATTGATATTTTATATAATCGCAATTGTGGTTGTCAAATCCGGGTGGGCGAAAAAAATTTCATTTTATGAGCCCGCGTCTTTCCGCTGACTTTGACAACCAAAATCCGCCATGTTTTTGACCACGCGGCCGCGCGCTGATAATTTATAGTAATTTGGTTGACGTTTCCCCTCCAGGTCTTATAGAACTCAATGGATATACCATAATCAGTCAAAATGGCGGCGTTTTGGGGAAGAATGTCGAATGTTTGGCTTCAATCATCTTGCGCAAAATTTTCTCGTTGTTTATCTAGGATTCAGGTTAGTGTCAGCGTCATTATATCTTTCATACTTGTTTTCCACGTGATTAATTAGTCGTTTTTGTAAAGATGGTCCCCTATCAACATTCTTATCCGGTCCAAATGATAGTCAAATGAAAAAATGTGATAAAGTTGGCAGTGGTCAAACACACAAACCCTCAAGCATTTGAAATTCTCGGCAGAAATGCAGAGAATTGGTGAAACTCTTTGTAGTTTTTATATTCACACGTCAATGAAAAGTTTGCATTATATTATATTACATTATGTATATATACTATTTCTTCCACAGTTTCGAAAGCCCATTTTTTCTCTCGTAGATGCGTCATTTAAGCGTGGGTAGTGTATGCTATCTTGATCTCCAGGAATATCAAAGCAAAGAACTCATGAAGAATCATGGCATCAATGTACAAAAATTTCAAGTTGCTGATGGAAACCTTGATGTGTCAGAGTTGGTGAAGCAATTAGGTAGTTATCACATTGTCAAATGCCTCAGTCAATGCTGCATAGGTTTGTTTCTTAGATTTGGTTTATAATGGTAAGGTAGTTTTTAGGTAAGTTATTTGCTCAAACTATCTTCCTGAGTTTGTTACCCATTGTCAGTTACTTAAAAGGTATTTGCTAATGCTCAATTATTTAACCACTTTGCTTAGTTTCCTACCTTGGTTACATACCTTAGTTACTTGTCACTGTTTACTACCTTTATTAGTTTGTTACATTATTTCTGTTGCTACCAAAGTTTGTTAGTCGTTGGTGAATAGTTTGAACTCGGGAGTATCATTACATGTTTTTAGATGTATGTAGTAGTAGCACAGGGTGAGGTGAGTATTGCTAAGGATTTCAACATTTCCATCAACACCAACAGTCCTTCCGAGGGCTGAAGTAATCTGAACAATTTAGTGACTGATCGTTAATAAATTGACTTCCGACAAAAACGCACACATCCACAAACACCTGCTAAAAATTCCTAACTGCAAATCCAAATACACTTGCTCATGTTTCACCATCTTAACACTACCAACACTCAATTTTCTCTAAAATTTAAAGAAGTCCTTGCAAACAAAACCTGATCTCCACAAACAAATTCAACATTTTAACATCATTTTCCAATTGTAAATATTCTAATTAGCCTCTGTCACACTCACAATACTTGCCATGGAAAAATTTCACTAATATTTTATCACACCTTTATCTTTTTACTGCTTATTATGACATATCATGTATCATATTATAAATTCAGCATTGTAAATACTTAACTCATTCTTATACTGAAGATGACTTAACGTTAGTGAACATGTTTATGATGTAAAATTTTGACCTTTATTTTAAATGCATAATTACATTAGCTGGCAAACTAACCTGTCTTAGTCAGTTATTTTCTTTAGTTATTCAGCTTAAATAAGTTAATTAGTTATTTGTAAATTAAAAGATATGTATGTAGTCATTCAATCCTGAAGCGTATATTGTATTTTCAATAATGCATTAAAACATTTCTAATCATGCATTTGCCATATGATGAAAATTTGTTTTATAGATGTCAAAGAAGTTGTTATTAAGGCACAGGTGTTGGCTGGTGGTCGAGGCAAGGGAACATTTAGCAGTGGTCTTCAGGGTGGAGTCAAGCTTACAAAAAAGTAACTATCTGAGATGTATTTTAATGTATATGCTGGATTAATCTGTTGAATTGATCATTAGGCTAGTTGTTTACCTTGAAATTAAGTATTAAAACACTAGAAGGCACTCTGTTAAATGACTCTAAAGATGACTATCGCTGATGTTGTCGAAACGTCCGTCAACATCAACATCAACAGTCTTTCTCAGGACTTTACTAACCAGGACTATCTACATCTACAAACATGTAACGCCTAAATATTTTCACAGTAGTTGTGCACGACATAATTACGCATTCAGTAATTGTTTGGAAAAAGCGGAACAAACATTTATTTGTTCCTTTTTCGTTCAATTTTCGTCCAAATTCAAACAAATTTTAATCACCACTTCCTTTGCCAATGAGAAATGCACCCCGAAAATTTTAAAGCAATATTTGTGGTATTTTTTAACTTATTGTGCTCACAGATAAGCTCACACACATACACACGCGAACATATGTAAGCAGAGGTGAAAACACAACCTCCCGTCGGAAATAATAAGATAATGGTTTTGGAAAATTTTCTGCTGAACAATTTCTTATGTGTTTTTATAGCTTTGACGAGGTACCATCGATTGTAGACCAGATGATTGGACATTCTTTGGTTACAAAGCAAACTGGAAAAGAGGGCGTCGTTGTTCGTAAGGTGTGATTCACGAATATTTGGGGTAAAGCTTTGATATGATAGGATGCAATATGAATGTGATGTCACTGTGTTCAAGTGAAGTGACGTCAGCTATCTGCAGTGTGTGCTGTTTTTGTGAAATTCTGTTCGATCTGATTTCTTGATACTTATTGATCCAATCACATTGCATAAAACCAGAAATTTGCAAACATTCACAAAGGTCGATGCAAGGATATCGCAGTTGAAGATTTTCTTTGAAATTTCACTCAATGTTTTCTAAATACTTTTCTACCATTTTCTTTTCATCGATTTTTCATGCGTTACGTTTTTAAGGAGATACCTGTAAGGCTTCTAACTTCGCCTTTGATCTTTTAAACTTCGCCTACGATCTTTGAAGAAATTCTTAAAAACTATGCTGGAGATAAAAACTTCTGTTTGTTTACAAATTTCCTTTCTTGTTTTGTCTTGACGTTATTCATCATAAAAATACACGGATTATTGTTATTTAATAATTTTTGAACAACCATTGCCAACTGTTGCTCGATCTTTTTAACCAGGTGATGCTTGGCGAGGCGCTCGACATAAAACGTGAAACGTACCTAGCAATCCTCATGGATACAGCATATGAAGGACCGGTGATTGTCGCCAGTCCCGAGGGTGGTGTTGACATCGAGGAAGTTGCGGAGAAAACTCCCGATAAGATTTACAAGGTGGGAAGTTTTTGAATTGAAAATTAGTTTAAGTTAGTGTTTTATCTAACTGAAAACGAGGGTGTACGAGTTTGAAGCGAAGGACGCCATAAATGGTGCCAAACCTATTGTGTAGTTAGTTTAAAAATAGTTATTGAAGTTTTGTGAAAGAATTACCTGTAAAAACTTGTTCTTAATGGTTCTTGATGTATTGACTGTGGTTGGTAAAATTTTAATAACTACGTATCAAGGTTTTTTGCTGCCCTACCTAGTGAAATTTAAAAAGCCTTGAATATTGAACCTTGTTTCAAGACCATTTGAATTTCTTGAAAATTTCAAAACATGTTGAAAGTCAAATCCATCGAATTTCGTCAAAATGTTTAGTGTCCCGAGAGATACCCTCATTGTGAGAAACTTATTTTCCCTCTGACTTAGTTTATTGCTGAAAAATGTCTTCATTTTTGTGAATTTGCCTCGCTCATGTGTGACAATCGTTGACATATTAATGGAAAATATTGGAATGTGGTCTTTCCTTTCATAGGTTCCAATTGACATCAACACTGGCATCAAGCGAGATGAAGCCTTAGAACTAGCGGAGAAGTTGAACTTTGTCGGCAATCTGAGAGAAGAGGTATTTTGGTAGCATTCCAGTTTTATTCAGTTCAGTGGTCGAACCCGTTCAAAAAGTCTCAGTTTTATCTGCCATCTTTATAACCCACACAATAGTAATGTTGACGTTTAGATCATCCGTTTTACGAAGTCTTGCGCCAAACACAAAACGTGAACTGTGTTTTTACAGGCTGCCATTCAAATCGAGAGGCTCTACGAGTTGTTCATTGCAAGAGATGCGACTCAAGTGGAAGTCAATCCTCTCGGTGAAACGATCGATGGCAGAGGTACAATTATGGCCTATCGCCTCAAAGATTCTCCTTCTCCGATCTACACATGTGTTATAGTGCTACAGTGAAACCCCCTCTCGTGGGTTGAGTTAACTTTGTGTACCTACGTAGTTACTGGTGATGGATATTCTTTTGTTCAACTTTCTGCTCGGGTTGATGACGAGTGTTCGATCTAATAAGCGAATATTTATTGCTAGTGTCAGGAATTTCATGTAAGGATTGGGAAATTGAAAGTTTCAGTTAGGCAATTTTTTTATCGTCCCCCTCCCCTCCCCCATTTTTGATTGCCCCCTTCCTAATTTTTGTTTTCCTGTACACCTAATGTTACTTGTGTGTTACAGTTTGCATTCCAGCATAAAACTTGAGTTTACAATGTATTGATAATGATGACCTAACCCTCAAATTCCTTTACGTCGTAGTTGTTTGTTTCGACGCGAAAATCAACTTTGACGACAACGCTAAATTCCGACAGCAGGATCTCTTTGCGATTGAAGACACTGCCGAAAGAAATCCGCGGGAAGTGGAAGCAGAGAAGTTCCATCTCAACTATATTAGTTTGGACGGCAATATAGCATGTATAGGTAAAGAAATTCTATAAATAAATTCCATAATTTTGTTGGAATCCACGACTGGAAATTTCACAGTTTTCAATATTATGTTCATTGACCATTTTGACGATAATAAATCCGCTGACCGCCTATCTTCGAAGGCCCAAGCCCCGGGCACGAGTCATCCCCACTGAGTTGAAAAACTTAGTTATCACCAGTGAGTTACTCTAATGCCAATGTTTATTGCATAAATGTGCTATTTGAAAAGAATTTGCATACTTGAACAACTGTTATTTTTTCTAGTAAATGGCGCTGGACTTGCTATGGCAACCATGGATATGATAAAGCTTCACGACGGTGAGCCTGCAAACTTTTTGGATCTCGGTGGTGGTATACGGGAAGAAGGAGTACACGAGGCGTTCAAGATAATAGTATCAGATGACAATGTAAGTTCTTTCGTCTGCGTGTGTTTGTGTGTTGTCTCTCTGTTTCCGTTATGTCTGTCTTGACAATAGGTTTCATTCACATTTGCTCAGAAGTCTTGAGGGAAATTTAGAGGCTGTTTACATGATCCCGGCTAACCGGGACTCAGTGAGGCGTGAAATGATTTCGAGGCATTGAAAAAAGGCAAAACTTTAAGCGTAAAAATTACAACTGTTTGTTAAGTGCCACAAGGCACTCCTGCTGAAATTCATAAATTAAGCCAAATTGATTATTGTAATTTTAAATGTTTTGCGTAGTTATTAAATCAGAATATTGTGAAATTTCTCGTGAAGATTTATCTGATGACGAGTATTGAATCGTTTCCATTTGCCAAAATCATTTAACGCTTGGCTAAATTCCGGCACCTGGGCTCATGTAATCAGCCTCTTATTATCGCTGTCGAGTAGGAACTTTAAAATTTTTACCGCGTACAATCAATTGCTAACAGTGAGAATGATTTATGACGTCACCGAGAGTTTTTACCTGTATGTCGTAGCTACTGATGTCTAGGTGTTATTGAAACAATGAGACAATTCCCAATTTTTACGAATAGCTTAGAGCCTACTCGTTCAGATTTTTGTCGTATCTGATTAACATCTGTAGTCGAAGGGATTGTAGTCATTGTAAATACTGTGGTTATTTTGCTGCAATACAACTTTAAAACGTTATTACCGGAGCAAATGTGAAAGTCGCCCTCCGTCTCATCCTTCCTGCATTTGCTTTTACTGTATAAACCATCTGTCAAAAATGGAATTGATTTTGACAAAGTTAGATTCATGTGACCATGCTTTCGAAGAGGACATTCGGACATCCGATACTTTTTGTTCTAGTCTCTTTATTTATTGTTTGAAAGTGGGAAATTTGTAATTTGAAGTTTGTAATTGAAGTTATATTTTAGGTCAAGGCAATTCTCGTCAATATTTTTGGTGGAATTGTTGACTGCGAAATGATTGCAAGAGGCATTCAAAATGCTTACGAAAAACTCAAAGTTGATGTACCGTTGGTTGTCCGCTTGGAAGGTAAATCATCCTTCAATATTTTTTTGCTAAGATTACACTTTCGAATTCATTGCCTGAACTGAAACGGCTAGGGTATTGAGACCCAAGAGTTCAATAGTTTAGCATGGTTAGCAATTTGGAATTACATCTGCATTCACAATTGTGTCGTACTGACTTCTTCATACTTGTACCTTGGAACAGAAAATTAAGGCCATCGCATGCTAGCACTACTGTCAAAACTTCAGATTGGTCAGTCTTTACGTAGCCTTTGTCGTGTCGATATGCTATTTTATCGTACACTGACTTGAATGGTGTCTGATTCTTTTCTTTTGAAACATAAAACAAGACAAAGTTTACAGGGCTTAAAAACAACTGCCGGTCAACGGTTAATGACCAGCCAAAAATGCCTATTGAACGACCAGTTTCTTACCGGTCGTCTTGCCGGTCGTCTTGACCGAACACATTTCGGCTGTTATGTTGAGACTTGAAATGCAAAGTGTTGTGATCACGTTTTACAACAGGCAATATAGTACCATCGCGTCTTGTTTGCCTACGTTTAGGAACAAACGTCAAGAGAGCGAAAGAAGTTCTAGGAGAGAGCGGTATACCGGTCACAACTGCGGACAATCTTGATGAGGCTGCAATGAAAGCGGTCAGCAGCTTGTCTAGATGATGTTCTTAGAATGAATTGATAATTGGGTATTCTCCGAATCGATAATGAGCATGGAGGTTTTCGTGACAACATTCAAGCGAAGTCCAATGTTAAGTTGAATTTTGCCATCAGATTGGCGTGTCTGAAAGTTTGATCTTCGAAAAACTTGATTTTAATGGAAATTCAAATTTTTAGCTGGGTAAATCTTTTTCGATTTTTATTTTCTCATCAGTTTCAACTATATTTTCAATCTGTGTAACGTGTCGCAACTTTAGCACAGTTATCCGAAATATGAAGGTTGTTGTAACTTTGCCCTGAATGGAAAAAATTGAGACTACTAATCGTTGATAGTTTGTTAGATTGTGTAGACTCTATTTCAATGGAAAATCTGTTCGCACTTTTTCCTGAATACAAAAAATCAAAGCGTAAAGACATGTGTTTGGGAGATAAAAACCATGTAAAAGTATTGATGTCAGATATAGTCTATAGATGTATCAATCACAAGATTTAAATTCAGTTGACTAAAGAGTGGACATTTTGTATTTGCATTTTTCCTGACTAATTCATGAAACTTTCGGAGGCCTTGTTTTCTTTATCTACAAAGTAAGTCCCCAATATTCTTCCTGCAGCTTTACCTTAGAGCCGCCCGAGAGAAATCTGGGGCCTAGAGCAGAGTTCGTCTCAGTGCCTTGTGACGTCACAATTGCATTTACGACTGCATCGAAGAAAAATTCATGGTACATGTTGGAGTGTAACGTGTCTTAAAGGTCAAAGTAACCGTGATTGTATTGATTTTCGGTTTTTCTGGTGCCTTTTATAATTTGAGGGCCCGAGGAAAATGCCCTAATGCATTCTCCCTCTCAGCCCCCACCCAGAATCGTAGATATTGTACTGATCTCTATAATAGTCGAGTACACAAAATGGAGCCGTTAGCGCCACGTGCGTCCGCCAAACTCATTGCTTCGTGTGCAAAAAACGTCACCATAAAGCAAGAGGGAATAAGAAAAACAACCGAACTAATTAATCCTGAGCTGGAACAGAGTTTATATTCTGTAAAAAATTGGAGACAGCACGAATTGCATCCTAAAGATTTGAACAATGCTACAGTTGACTGGATATTTGTGTTGGATACACTCAACTTTTCGTTCTGGGTTGAGGATTCATCTCCACCATTTGTCGTGAAATATCATGGCAAATGTTATACTGATACTGGGCTCTATGTGCAGCCATTCATCGAGCATTAGAGGTTTGTTTGTTGTAGAGTTGGAGGCTTTTTTAATGCTTGTTTATCTCCATTTGTCTCCATAGCAATCATTTTAATCGACAAAGATCGAATGATTGGAACAACAAAGTAGTGAGTGAATAAAACAGGGAATTTTAAAAGAGGTACTTAAGTTGCCGTAAAGCATCACAATTTTTGGATATTCCTTACCAAAATTGAATTTGAGGAAGATAAAGGATTTTGGTTTTTCACTGTACGAATTGTACAATTAGACTATACTGAACAAGTCTGCACACATATAGAATGCTCTGACACCCACCAAAACCACCATAGACCTTTAATAGACCACATTGATATCAAGCTATAGTGCTAACTGCTACATACATAAATAAGGTTAGGATATTCTAGATTTGGTTGTCACAAGAATGAACATAATGAGTTTGTTTGTGAACCTGACTGGAAAAGTTTGTACTATGCATACAAGATCTTGAGTTCTCAATTTTGGATCTTTGGAGCAGTTTAAAAACTTACCAGTCTGGTTTGTAAACTAATTAGCTGCCAGTAAATTGGCTATAGAAAATATCTAGGGTGCCACAAACACTATTTTATTCCCTATGTGACCTCTGCCTTATGGTAGGAGTTTGCTTTTTTTAAAGGCATAGTTGATTATTTCTATCTCTTATTCTTTCAAACCATGGTGCTTGATGAGATTTTTTTGGAATTCCTTAAATTTCCTTGCAAACTTGTCAAAATTGGTAGTATGCTGATAAAAAATTGCTTTGTTGGATTTTTTCTGTAAGTATGCAAATGAAATTTGTCTGTAAACCATTTTTTTAAATTTTTTACTCTGTTGTCTTTTGAAGCATTTTCTTTTCATGTTTACGTGAATCGTCTTAAAATTAGATCTTGAAACTTTATGCCCATCTTGTTCAGCCTGTCTGCTCATTTTAGGATGGAATTCCAATTACAACACCTTCTTACTATGCCAGCATCACTGAAGCAGAATTGAGAAAGGTTTTTAAATCAGAGACATCAACAGACATTCCTCTTTTGCCAGAAAAAATCTAAACCAAACTGGTGGTGTTCTTGTTGAGCTATATGCGAATACCTTTTGAATGTGGTGAAATCTTGCAACCAAAGTGCCCAAATGTTACTTGCAACAGTCGTGGAACAGTTCCCATGTTTTGTGATGTTGCCACATTTTGTGGTACCAAGGTCAGCTTCCATAAACGGGCTCAAATCTTAATTGCAGACATATGGGCTTGTTTTGAAGGGAAGGATCTGGGCAATTTTATTGACATAGAAACTCTAACAATGTTTGCTGACTACCTTGTTCCAAGAGGACTTCAATTTTTCAATGTGTTGGAGTATTCAGACTCTCTGCATGACAAACTGACATCTGGTGTACTTATTCCCAATGGAGGTGAACTGGAAGTTGAAATTCGGGGATGTAGTATACATGCTGTGGAACTGATTTGCAATGAATTGCAAAAGCTCCAAAGAGATAGGATCGGTAGAAAAGTGGTGATAAATTCAATTCTTGTTGATTTCTTCTTGTGGGATTACATCAAATCTCACGAAGATAAAATGCAAGGGTTTCCCATTCATAAAACAAGAAGCATATTTTATTGAAGGGAGAAAATGAAAGGTTCTTGTCTTTTTGAAGAAGAAATTCTTAATTTATAACTGTGATTTAATGGTCAAGTAGCAATTGCTGAAAGATTCATTGGATGGATTCGACATGCTCAATTTATGTTCACTTTCAATAAGTAAATTATTTATACTTGCATGTTTAAATATTTACATAATCATTTATTTTTAGTTGCACTAATCACTGTGGGACTTTTAAACAGTGATAACAAATACATATTTAAATAAGTATAGTAAAACCTAATTTGTACAACATTTGAAACAACTCTGTGGCACATTCTTTTTTGCAATGTTAAATTCAACCAGCGGTTTGGTATTTTGAAGTACCAAAGTTTCATCACTTTTTTAGTTGCCAGTGGCAGGTAAGCTCACATTACTTATTGCATAGTTCTGGTTACATAATTGACATCTCTTGGTTGTGTATAGTACTCATCAGTTTAAATCCATGGCCAGTATCAAGCATCAATGGTGGCAGCCATCTCATCTTGAGATTTTTAACCATGGCAACACTTCTTTCACAACAACAAAATAAGTCATTCATTTCAGGAAACATGTTGAAAAACCTCATGATTGGTTGCACCATAGCTGGAAAACTCTCCTCTATGTGCAATGAGAAGTCTTTCTGTGAAGGAACATGAAATTTAAAGCTGCACCAAGACTTGGAAACACCATATGCGGGTTGAACTCTACTTTCTTTTGCTGTTGCGATTCTTGCCAAGGATTCCAGGCAGTGATTTGGTGAATTGACATTCACCCAATGTTTAGTCAGTTCTCCAACAATTTGAGCTTTTCCGGCTTCCACATCCTTTGGTTTACCAGGAATTCCCACTTGCATGCCAACAAAAAATTTGGATTTTTTCACTTCTGGAAGCCATTTGTAAGAATTCTCCGTGTCTAATATTAACATCAACCTTGCACCCTTACTTGCATTGGTCTTTTCCCAGTTACTCAAAAGTTGCATAAATGAAAAAGAATTGTTTTCCATCAAAGCCCAATCACCATTATCATGTACAGGACCGCTGTAGTACAGCAAGTATGTATCATAAGATAAGCCAGGTAAAACACACTGGTTAAAAAAGGCCTGGAGTTTGGATTCTAAAGATTGTATAGTAATGCCACTGGTAGAAAGCTCAGTACCAAAACTATGCACAACAAGCTCACTGAAAAACCTTGATAATAAGTTGATCAGTTCCATTGCAACTCGGTTGGCACCTTGGTAAATAGTTTCCGGAATGGCAACCACAAGACCTTCTGGCATCTTATAGTTGAAGCTTGGTATAACTATTGCATAACCGATAGCAGTCCCACCCAAACATTTACCAAGGCTTGATAATACACTGTACACCATTGACTCTATCGGCATGACAACAAGAAAGGCACTGATGAACCAAGCATTGGCAACTTGCCAAGTTGGTATAGCAAGCAACACTGTTGTCATCATGGTGATAAGTATGATGAATTTTGAAACTAGACAAAAGTGACGAACACCACGTGAAGCAAGAACATCCAACATTGTGTTCATTTCAAACTCTTGTGGCAATGTCTGAGCACATTCCTCAATTTTAATTATGAAACCCCAGCAATCCACCAGTAAAACTAAGTGGCCGACAAACCAGAAACACAAGAAAGCACAGAATATGGGTACCATCACAACTGCTCTATGGTGATTCCATATGACATGAATAGCAAATGACACATAAACACACTCCATCAACAATACAATTAGAACCATGAACTTCCGTACCCATTTGCCACATGTTAAAAAGCCTTTCCACCAGTCAACAGTGGAATACTTAGAAAAGTACAAGTCTATAATGCCCTCGAAAGAGAGCCAAACTGCAAAAGCTGCCAGGCAGTATGGATTGTATTGGACCTTGATTGCTGGGAAAAACTCAACAGCCACCAGAACACTGGTCATTACAGCATTGGCCAATGATAAGGAGGATTTCAGGTGAACTGCAACAAGGTTGCATGCAACTGCCAGGACCAAAAGTGAAATTGACCAACCATGTTCAGAGACAACGCTGCCAAGGAGAAATCCCGCCAAGAGCAGCACTTCTCGAACAGTGATCAAATGAAACTCCACTTTACTGTAGTCTTGTATTCTGTCCAATAAAGTGCCACAGCAATAGACCCATGTACTTCCGATGAGAAACATATCCACGATATCTAAGTCTCGAGCAGACACGAAAAGATGATCGTACGCGACCGAAGTGAACGTCAAAACGCTGAAGATTATTCCGGTGAACAGATTTACAAAAGCATTTGCCAGCTCCACGCGATTTAACAAGTACAATATGAAAGCCGTTATGTAGAAGAGAGCAGCAACCGCTGCAAATATTTCAAAACTCGCGTCCGAAATGTGGTGTTCCCAACGGCTGTAAATGCCTAAAAATCCCCCAACAAGAAAGGTGGAAATCGCGAATGTCGAAATGCATTTTTTCAACTGTTCTTTCTCGAATACCAGCATGAGTTTCATGTCGAGGGAACCTGGACCTGCGATAAGTCTTAAAATATATGGACGTCAGGACGTGTCCTTTTGATTGTATTAATGCATTTTTTGAAAACCCAACTCTTTGCCAACTGAACACGATTCCATATTGATTAGAAATAGATATGTAAATATCAACGAGAGGTGTGGTATTTTTTATCACAATTTACATCCGAAAAATTGTAAACTTGAAGAACTTCGAAGTTCAGAGTTCACTCTGTTCAGAGACCGTAAATGATGCAATAAACGCCCCTTATCAAATCAATGACTCGTATATCTAATAAACGCCTCCTTGAACGTTATCTCTCTAACAAACGCCCCGTCTCTAATAAACGCCTCCCAACATCTCTATTTGATTGTATCATTTATTGTCATAGTGGGTAGTCAATCGGGCCAATTGGGCTGAATATGTGCCTTTAGTTTTTAATATCTTTATGTTTTTTGACTACTTGCATTGTCGAAAGCTCGTCCGAACTTGAAACCCGATACATGACGTTTAGAGAGGCTTTGCGCGGGATGACCACTTTCGTTTCAGATAGAAGGCTCGGTTAACGAGAAACAATATCAAAATCATACCAAATTCAATCAAAATATATGAAATGGTATAAGAATTGTCGATGTGCAAAAGGCCGTCCATCAATGTAATTCCGCTATTGATACTTCTAGTGAAGGATACTTCTACTTATAGCAGACTGACTGAAAAAAAGTTCATATATACGATACATACTGTTTTTTGCATACACCTACACGAAAACGAAGTCACGAACATGGTTCATGCCTTCATCATTCATAGTCGTGGATTCTGATGGCGTAATGGCGTTTCAAAATACTAGCTTTGAAACTAATGATAAGGAATCCTTGGCCAATTTCATCAAAGGTGTACACGGAAAACTGCGAAAAGAGGTTTTGAAAGGTCGGTTTTGCTTCTAATTACTCATTATTACCATTACTCATTATTACCATTACTCATTATTACCATTACTCATTATTACCATTACTCATTCGTTAAAGATTGTTTACTGTCAACAGCCAAATCCGGCAACCCATCCCACGATTTGATAAGTTGGAGATCTTTTCCAAGAGATGAAACCATTGCCTTAGAGAAATCTCTTGTTGTCCATATCAAAGGTCATTGGCATAGTCTCAATTATGTCATAAATTTTGTAATAAATCTATTGTTACAAAATTTATTCTTGGTATACAACAAAATTAAAATTTAGTTTTGTGCATGTGGGTGTGCAATTTTCAGAAAAGTATGCACCTATTTGTATTAATTTTGACTCTCAGATGAGTATCCAAAAACTTTCCAATCAGTTTATACAGTTTAAATTGAAGGATAACCCACACACCCCTGAGCTAAGTGCCTGAATCAGTTTTGAATATATTGGCAAGAAGATCAAATAAATGGCAAAGTGATTTCTCCATTGATGGAAAGATTTTGCAAAAATATTTGTAATCAAGCCATCAATGGATTGAAAATGGCATCTTCAAATATTTATGAGCTGATTTGAAGCCCTGTTAAAATTGCCAAACTCAATAGATTTGCACTTGCATGCAGACTAGGTTTTTCTTTGCGTTTCTTCTGTAGAAACATTTTTTGAAGTAGAAACTAACAGATAACTTAGTACATTATGAAATTAATCTTTCCATTTGCCTGATATTTTTAGCAAATGGCAATTTTCAGAAAGTCTGGCAAGAGCATTGTGAAAATCATGCCCTTCTTCATCAATATTCCCAGTCAATGAAGGAACTTGCAATGAAATGTTGGGGAGAAAACCACTTGCAAAGGATAAAATGGTGCAGGGATGTTTGTCTCGAGTACTTTCACTATGGTGGATGGGAGAGGTGCTTAAGCAAAGATAGCAGACGAATCTTGTTGAACTTGGACAAACATCAAAATTGCCAATGTAAAAATCATGCAGAACTTTGGCAGCGATTGTTATATAGGTATGTTTCTTCTAGTACTGTCAAGTCACAGGGATTTATCAGATGTGAAAACATCAAGTTTCCCAACTGGCAAGAATTGTTATTCGTGTTAGTAAAACTAAGGCCAATTTCTAGCATTTGAAATTGTTTGTCGCTGGCTATAGTTTGGGTTGATCAGAATTCTAACGTCACCCAAAGTGGAGTAGGTGTCATGTATGTTTTGTATTGTCGAGTCCCTTGATTGATGTCACAAACATAAATTGTTTCAGACTTCTCTGACAAGGCCCATCAAAAAGGACATTTTTGCTCTCTACAAACCACCATAAACATGCTAAGATTCGACCAGATTAAAGGCTTTTCTTGGACATGCTAGAAATCGCACCTAGTTTTAATAACGACAATGAAAATTGTTGCTGTTAGGGGTACTTAAAGTCATTCAGGTCTGTGTTTTCATCAGGAGTAATTTGATGTTAATGTTGAAACTTGAGTCCCTATTATGTTAAGACAGTCTAGTGTTTCCTTCAAGTGTGATCTGATGTGAAAAATTTAGTCCAGACTGTCCTATCTATCATTTCCCAAATTTACCTGTGCTGAAACTTGCAAAGTTCATACATACTCTTCATTACCAATGAGCTGACGATGAAGCTTGAGTTTTTGTACATCAATAAAGGAGTAACAATAGAACTATGTTTTAGTTGTCGAAAGCATATAAGTTAATGGAGGGCAGAAGCTAAGGTTTGTGTCTGTGGATAAGACCTGTAGGAAATCTCTCTCATCATTTTAGCTATGTTTAGGCTGTGTCAACTTCCTGTTCCTTTGTAGTAAAATAGCGTATTAAATTGGGTAGTATGTACTTACCAGAAGCGGATCAATACTCATTTGACTGGAGGGGTGCAGATTTTCCCAGGGAGGTGCATCGTCATCGTAGCTTAAGTTACAAAGGCTATTGTGAATTTTTTGGATTGAGTGAACTTTGTGTAATAAGTGTTATTACCTTTTTAAAAAATTTTCATTATGCGCGTTAATCGATTTACTTCAGTTGAAACGTTTCAATGAAAACGCGCGTTGTACTACTCAATTGCCAACGGTGGTAGTATAAAATATGTAATTGCCTTTGAAATGAGAAGTTCTATCTTTACTTAGTCTTACTGTAAAATTTTGTAGTCTCTAATACTATTATTTTAATCGATAACAGTACGCAACACGCATTAAGAATTTTTTTGGAAGGGGGGGTGCTAACGATTTTTTGGGGGGAGTGCGCACCCCCGTGCACTCACCCCCAGAAAATACGCCGTGGTACCTGCTCAAGCTTAAACAAGGAATTTTACCCAATTCAACTTATGTCTATGACTTTCGTTCAACTGAATCTAACCGGTGGTCATGAAGCCTTATAACTTAGGAAAGAAAGGAAGTTTTTAAGAAAACCATGTGTTTTCAGTGGTGGTTTTAGCTTACACGAATTTAGTGTTGTGATTATCACAGAAAGAGCTTTCTCCTTTAAAGCCTAAATCTGCGTCTTCATTATCACTGTGATGTTAAACGCGTTTGCTGACCTCATCGGTTTTTCTGTCACTTTTCAGTGGTCATTCATGTCGAAAGTTGGACGAGAAAATATTTTTGTTGGATGTTGGCAGCTGTTTTAATCCTTTTCAAATGTTTTCTGATGAGTTACTGCCTTTGGCGATCGATCTCTGTCCTGCTGATCAGGTAAAGTTGTTTCATTAAACTTTAGTTTTTTTGGCTTGACGAACGTTACGTTAAAAAAGTGAAGTAGCAGTGACGTCACAATGTGGACTACTGGAAATTTGCGCGCCGGCGCACTTCGCTGCCATTTTGACAATACTTTCATGATTATTTCCTACATTTGTGTTCAAATATCATGTCAAGTATTTAGAGTACAAATTGATGACTTTTTGCCGGAAAAAAGGTCTTTCTTTTCCCGCCTAAGTTGTTCTGGGGGCTGACTTCCGTTTTAATGCCAATATGGGGGTCGACTTCCACTACAATACCAATGGCGTCCGTTCTATTATTAGTTAGAGTGTAATGCAAATAAAATGTAACTTTCAACGTATTTACTCCACTATCCTTTGCATTTTCGAATGCTATTCTTTATTCGGTGCTGTCAATACGGAATGTAGTTGTTCCGGAACAATCTTTTGTCAATTCTTGTTTAAGCTTTTTACAAATAATTACTTGAAGTAAACATGTTGACTTTATGAAAGCCAATTAACTTATGGAATAAAATATTCATACCCTCCAATGGAAATGAAGAGTACAGGCTGATTTTCTATCGCGTTCGTTTCGATAACATGTAACAAGAGTTACAGACCCAGCCTTCCCCATGCCAACCACTCTCAAGTTCTCAATGTTTCGAATTTCTTAATATAGTCTGTCTTCTCGTGCGATTTTTTGTCTGTCGAAATTAAAAGCGATGAGCCCACAAACAATTTTCCTCCTGACCCGTCAAATAATGACCCTGAGATTTCCCGTTCCCGCGTCAACGACGGTTTTCCCGCGCACATTCAGAGATACCTGAGCGAAGAACTAATCATAAAAGCATTACCGCGCGAGTCTTTCGACGTTGTCGTATTCTGTCTACTTTTGACTTATCTTCCCTCGCGTCAACAAAGATGGCAATGCTGTTTGAAAGCGCACAAACTTTTGAAGGAAAACGGTTTGTTGCTCATTATCACACCGGACTCGAGTCATCAAAACAAAAATATGGTTATGATAAAATCCTGGAAAGCGGCCATCGAAAGTATCGGATTCTTCCGTTGGAAGTATCACAAAGCAAGCCACACACACTGCCTGGCTTTCAGGAAAACCAAAGTTTGTAAAGCGGCCTGTGTTGGAATGGGACCCGAAATGTTGTACATTCATCAGGATTTTGAAGTGATTCATGACGAAAGCAACGAAGAACATGCATCTTATGATGAAAAGAGCTTAGCTGAAGGATTTAACGAATTACCTTTCGGTTGAAAACGCAGGTATTTCCGTTTGAATGGTCGGTGTCTAAAAGGACTCGAGTTTTCGGCTAGATTAAATAACTCTTGGTAAATATATTAGTCCAGATGTCAAGTGACACGGTGGTAAATTTTTGATGACTCCTGATGAGGACCCCGGGTCACTACTAAATGATACCTTTCACCGAAGTTTCCCAGAACATCTTACCCAGAGCAAAAAATGAAGAAGGTTCAGTGCTTATACTGGAAGGTGTACAGTTCAGCAGTTTATCATACAGTCATTATTTATTATGACAGTTACATTATATAGGTGTGATTTGTTGTATTTTGGGGAAAGATATTTAGTCTTTAGTCTTAGGAATGTCTGCCATTGGCCTGCTTGCAATGTGATTTTTTCAAACTAATTAAATAATGGTGTAATATTTCTCCCGCCCCTAGCAAAGTGAGGATTTGAGTTTCCTTGTATGTGGATGATAAAACGAACATTGTTGCTTCGTGGATTGATTTAGAAAATACTGCAAACGGTCCAAGATCTCCACAAATGAAATCGTTTGAGTATTTTTGATTGATGTAAGGACTCAAATCTTCAAGGGAATGTTAGTTTTATAGTATGATGTCATTATTATCCATTTATCATTAAACTCACAAATTTTTGTCCTTTCAAATTTACTATAGAAACAATTACTTTAAATATTGTGTTGACCCAGCACTCGACTCAAAACTCCGAATCATCTGTTATTTCATTGTCGTTTTCTTCCACGAAAGTCGCCGCTCCTAGCAAAGTGAGGACTCCCGTTTCCATCTCGTTCCTACCGTAATTGAGTCGTTCAACGATGTCATATGCAAGATCTTTACATGTGGACAAATGTAGCGATTTATACGGTTTTATGACAACCAGTACATCTGCAGTGTATCTGAGATCCAACGAGATTTTGCAGCGATTTTTGTTTCTCAAAGTATCTGTGTAGTATTTGTGAATATGCCGTAGACGATATGTTGAGTTTGTCACCTTGTCATTGTTGAGGCTGATGAGCAATACCGAACCTATGAATGATAACGTTTTCAAATCTCCCTGTTCAGAAGTGATTTGCAGTCAAAACTCCAGTTTTGACTCCAGTCTTTATGCACTGAAAGCTTATGTTTTCATTTGGATTTGTCCGATATTGAAAATTAGTTCATACATATTCCGGTCTAAGGGCTTTGTCGTCATCAAGAGTAATATGATGTTGAAACATGAGTCCTTATATACTCTATAGTGTCTTCAGTCTAGTGTCTTCATTAGAAGTGATCTGACGTTGAAACTGAGTCATAATATATTCCAGTCTACCAACTTATCAGGAGTGATCTGATGTTGAAATTTTAGTCCTTATATTCTACTGTCTATTACCTTGATCAAGAGTTATCTAATGCTTAAACCTGAGTCCTTGTATATTCCAGTCGATTGTTTTCATCAGAGTGATTTGGCTATGAAACCCTAGTCCTTATAATCACATTTTAACATCCTTATATTCCAGTGACGAGAAGTTGATGAAATATTTTGGTTATGTGCCAGGTTACGTACTTACCACAGATTGGGCAGCAGGCCCCTGGTGGTATCACAGACGAGCGACATTTTATCTGCGAACATCTTCCGTTTTCGTAAACCATGTCACATTTATCGTTGTTGTACATGCTTCCATTTCTACCGTTTGTCATTGATGGCGTGTTCAAGCGATGCTCGCATCGACCATTGTAGTCCACGTGGGCGTTTATATTGTTGGCATGGCAACGACTTGTGAACGTCCGACCCTCGATTCCACACACCTATCACACAATGTAATGACGTAGTATGTTGAATGATATTACATTATGTGGACAAAAAGTAGTTGCCCCCTCCCCTCCTCCCATAGAAACATAACGTTAATAGACCCGTATCTCGTAAAATTTTGAGGAAATGTGTAAAAATGAATTAAATTCTCTTGAATAATGAATAAAAAAATGTAATGTCAACCATCGTCATCATAACTTTAATCGAGCAATTAAAAGAAAATTAAGTATAAAAAAATAGCTGGAGTAATGATGGCGTCACGCATCTGCATGGCATTCAACAACTAGTTACGCTTTCAACTAGCTCCGTTAGTGATTCATTTCATCCTGTTCTCGGCTTTTAAAATAGCTCGTAGTTATCTGTCGGTTTTCAGGTTTGTTTTTTTAATCAAACTTCTGTCCTAAAGTTTTCCTTACGATTCAAATTTGTCGACTGGATTGGCCATTACATCACACAAATTTTATTTGTGAGATACATTTGTGTGTTTGGGGATCACCGTCATGTTGAATCACACACAATCAAATGTTTTGTACAAGCTTTCATTTCTGGAAATCATGCGCAGACCAAGCCATCGTAAAAAGTATCTTCACCATCAGGTAATCTGTCGATGTCTGTAAGTAGCCATCTTTGTTTTTCTTAAGAAACTACTTCTCTTTGTCCATTCCTTGTAGGTCAAACATCAAACAGCAGTACAGGGAATATACAGTAGATCCACTTCGCAGTACAGTGAGCCCCTCTATACTTAATTAGATGGCTGTCTTTAGCCATTTAATCGTTCCTATTGGTCAGAAAATACAATTTACTGGCCGTAACTTTGGAAATTACAACATGCGCAATAAGATATGCGTGGCACTATAATTTCAATGAAGTGGCTCTACTGTATATTTCCTTTGCTGTGATTAAACGCAAATTCAAATTCGTATTCATTTTTCGCTTATGTTTCGTCAAATTGTTTTTGATAAATACACAACTTGTAATATTATAAAGTACTGTTAATCTTTATATTATCTCATTATAAAGGACGCTCAACGCCTATACCTAGCTACGTATGAATATGCTTTCAACTATATTTCTATAAATCTTCCACGTCACGTTATAATTATATTTTCTTGCGTGAGTGGGATGGTTAGGTGCGAACGCGATTAAGTCAGGCTGAGTGCTTGGGAGTTTAGGTTCATCCTTATGTATATGTATATTCCTTATATCAGGCTCCCTTACATGAACCTGACCAGCACAAGTCTGCCCCTGAGCACACTATTCATTTGATGGAGTCAAAATAGGATGAAAAACTGATGTCGTTTCTCTTGCAAACCTACTTTGCTATTATGGCATAGTAATTTCTCTCTCCTTGTAAAAATATTTTATCTACAGAGTATAATTATTTAATTATTACAAATTACCATATATTATAAATTACCATGCTATAATGGCATGGTAATTTCTCTGCCTTGTGTAAAAATTTTGCGTACAGAGTATAATTATTTATATATTTTTTTGAAATTGCTTCTTTGGAATTTATATTATAAGATTTGACTTTGGATGACGTTATTAGTTTCATTATGACCCACCCCCTGTAACTCATACCTCAGAATGACACTTTTTGCCGCATCGTCCCCTGTACGCCAGTTTCACTCCATTCCGAAGTAGCTTGCATGTATTCTCGTAAGATGTACCGTCCGTTCCACAAACTGTTCCCGCGAAATCCTTGTCTAATGAGCATTTAGTGATCTCTGAACCTGAAACATTTGTTTGCCAAGATCAGACTGGCCTTCGTTACAAATTAGCGAGAAAAAGTCTTTTTATGACAATGTGCCCGCGAGGCTGCGGGTTATGCGGGGTAAACACCAAAAGTGTCGATTCATTTGTAAAATACATCATAAGGTTTTCAATCTTCGAAGTATGGTCCTGCTTGTGTTCATATTTTAAATAAAGTCTGAATTATGATTGGGAAAAGAATTAATGTGGATTTCCTTTAAGGTAACCTGCCAGCCAACATGGCCGCATGTAAACATGCCATAGGTTTTTCTTTCGTATCAATAGTCAAAAATAATGAAAACTGAAATGGTGGATGTCAATTGTATTTATGTTGTGTTTGAAAAAGTTATCATTGTTTATTTCTTTAGAAATCTATTGATTTTACAGACAGTACAAAAATAATTTTATGAACTACTAGATGCAATCTACTAGATACCTGACTCCGCCAAAATTCCATAATTATAAGTGAGGCAAGCTGCTATATCTTGAAAGGTGGCAAAACTGACGAACTTTATGATAACTATCTGATTTTCCTCAGTTGATATACAGTTGCAAAGTGGGTAGTCTAAGTTTAGTTTTTAAAATGTTTGATAGGACTGGGTTTTTAAATCTTTTAGCTTATTTTTCATTTTGAGTTTTGCTTTTTGCCACCATGATGTTGTCCTTGCCTCACTTTGACATGGTAGTTAGACACCCAGAGGATTGGGCTCAAATCATTGGTTACAACCATTCTACGTCACTTGTCACGTGTTTCTAAACGTATAGTAGTCGTGTAGGGTTGACACAGCACTCAGTAAGATCGCCTATGGTAGATTTTATCGTTTATATGATACTCAACTGCATTTGAATTGTCGACAGTAAGTGTTCATCTTGTTAGCAATGCAGGGAGATTGCGGATAGGCAACACAATTCTCATTTTCTTTACAAGGGGAAGACGGTGCGCATGCGTCCTGTAAAATAGACAAAATGCACATCCAAATTTTACTCACAAAAGACATGTATTTCTTCACCACTATACGGACTACCAAAACTTCACAAACCACAAATACCCATGCGACCAATTATATCATTCTGTGGTTCGCCTACTTACGAACTCACAAAGTACTTGACTGACATACTGCAATCACTGACAAGCAAATCAAAACACAAGCTATAATCCACTGAAACTTTCATTAAAAACTAAGCACTATACAAACACCGGACAACTATATACTAGTGTCTTTTGATGTGAAATCACTGTTCACCAGTATTCCACTTATCTGGCACTTACTTGTACAAAAACCGTCATTACAAACACCACGGACGTACTGCCATTACCGACAGAAGACATTATGGAGCTACTCGAGCTCTGCCTCACCTCGACTTACTTCCAGTACAAAGGTACACACTACAAACAATTACATGGAACAGCAATGGGCTCACCCATTTCTGTTGTAGTTGCTGAAATTGTAATGCAATCTATAGTGGAACGGGCGCTCACGACTTACAAACATGCACTACCTTTTTGGTTCCGCTACGTAGATGACACAATCACAGCACTACATGCAGACGAGATTGATGACTTTCACACTCACATCAACAAACAGAACAGCCACATACAATTTACCAAAGATGTCGAAGAAAACGGAACTTCCTTTTCTCGACTGTTTGATATAACATGACAATCAAAAACTACGAACAACAGTTTATCGCAAGCCAACACATACTGACCGACTACTAGACCAATCATCTTACAACCCTCTATCACACAAAGCCACCACAATCAGAACATTAACAGGACGTGCACAAAGCATATGGGATTCAACGGACGCTCTATACAACGAAAACAACTATCTCAAACGTGTTTTTGACAAAAACAACTATAACTCTGACTTCATCAAACGCAACACTTACAAACCCAACGAGCCCAACGAAACGAACAAGTCAGTGACTACAGCAACGATACCTTACATCAAAGTTACGTCTGAGACTATCTCGCGTATCTTACGACCATACAACATACGTGTCGCACATAAACCAATCACAACGTTACGACAAGTACTAACCAACATAAAGGACAAAGAAAAACCCAACGAACGACAACCAACATAACCTCCTCCTATATCGGGGAACTGGCAGGAACATAAACATAAGACTTACTGAACACAAACGAGCTACAAAGAAACAAGAAAAAGCTAATCACATTGCTGAACATCACCGACTCACAAAGCACAACATTGACTGAGACTCGGCAAAATGCATAACTTACACAACTGACAATAGACAACGGCTTACATTAGAAAGTTGGTATACCAATTTGGAACTAACCCCCCTGAACAGATCACAGCAATTACCGGCACCTTATAAACGACTTATTCACAATACAAACGATCAACTAAAAACATTACATTTCACACTAATCCACAATAGCATACACAATTGACACCAACACATTTCCTGTACACACAATACAAGACGTAAGAACCAAATAACAAATACGGCTAACCTGACGTTTACTCCTCTTTTGACTCTGAAGATGTCTACCGCTAAGGTTATCGAAACGTCAGTTAACAACAACAAAAACAGTCCTTCTCAGGACTATACTAACCTGGACGATCTACATCTACAAACATGTAACGATAGTCCCGGATTCAAACCATTTACTTTAATGATAAAAGAACGTTTTGTTTGTTTTTTATTATGAGTGCAGTTTGACATGTACATAAGGCTAATGAAAGCGAAGGCAAAATTACATCGAAATTGTTGGCGATTGACTGTTTTGTGCAAATGCATCAAGGATATCGCTCACTTCATCGTGATATTTTAGTGTATACAAGAGTTTTCTGTTTCGGGGGTATGGTGGTTTTTGCTAGAACGATGTTCAGCAAAAAAGGTGCATTAACTGTATTTGTCGACACATTTCACGCTGCTCAAAACACAAATGTTATTTCAAATGAGGCAAATTTCATTTGAACACGACGAATCAAAATTGACTTTTTCTGATGGAAACGTGCAAGCGAAAATACATTTTGTTTTTGGTCAGGCTTACCAGTGTCTCACAAGCGCCTCTCTCCTCAATAGTACTTTCCTCGTTTCTCCCACAAAACATCGCGTGACACATTGTTGGGAACGTCTTCCACTGCTTGAGCCCACAGACGTTTTCACCACCCACATGATCACATTCGAGACAGCTATCGATTTTGCGTACCGCCTTGTTTTGGGGATTATCGCCCTCAATGTTGTTCTCTGGCTCTTTGTCAGTCAAGCCTATGGACCTGTAGTTGGTATAACGATGACCGGCTTTCGGGCATCGCCGACGAGTGCATATTAGTTTCTCTACAAAAGTTCATTTCACATCGATAAATGTAACGTCACTTGACGAGTTTATGTTTCATAATGCAAATTGCTTCTGAAAATTAATTATGAATATTTGTCACCAAGAGGTCACTCTCAGGACCGACCCTAGAACGTTTGTTTGAAGGGTGTGAGATTTTTCATTTGTCCAACCGTGCCCAACTGATTTCTTTTCACATGAAATTCATAATCTCTACATAAAGAAATCAATTGAAACATCCTCCTGATCAACGTTCTAGAGATGGTCATGGTCAATCCAAGTCAAATCAATAAAAAAACCTTCAAGAAGTAATTTTTAGGTGTAGTTTTTTTGTGCCGTAATATTTCGCTAGTCGACTGAAAGTCACAAATCGAATATTTTTTCAAAAGAAATTTGAAACCGAGAGTAATTCTTTCCATAGATTAAGAGGGCCAAGGTTGAGTTGATATGCGAAGTTTTGTAGTCAGTTATGGTAGTGTAAAGGTCAATATTTACATCAATGCACGTCTGCAAGACTGGATAATTGTCAACTCTTACCATAATGACACAAGCAATTATTACATCCGTCGTTATAGACGGCGAAGTTCTTCACTATATCTTTGTTTTCTAAATGGCAAGCGTTGGGGTGGCATTTTTCGAGGTCTTTCACGCATTTAAGTTTACCCATTGTGCACGAACATCGCAAACATTTGTATTTTTTGAACTGCGTGCTGCCACTTGGGATGAAATCACCAGTCTTCGGATTCCGACATGGAAAGTTTTCTAAAATGTCCATGTGGATTATGCAGTAGCAAATTATCAAGATAAAAAACTCTCTTCTGAATTAGGGATTGGAAGACGGTCATAATCATTATTGAAATTCAAATTAATTATATGATTGCATATTTCGCTTCCTGCGAAATCGATGTGATCATGTTCACAAACTATGTAAAAACAATGGAAAGAATTTTTTCGGAACCACCGAAAACTTATATGGAAAGTATTTTTAACCTTCGATGATTCTTCGAATTTTATCGTTTAAGTCCTTCTTGTTTTTCTTGCGTTTAAGCAAGTCTCGCTTCGCTCGTCCTTGTATTAGTCGTAAAAATGAAGCCGATTTGATTTCACGAATGGTCTTAAAACTTTTCCCGTCAAGATCGCTCTTCCAAACATTCCATTTCCCCTTTGGCGTTTCCAATTTACGTTGCCGAATGACATCACGATTTTGGTTATTCTTTACTGCTGTGTTTTTAGTTTTACCAAGTTTCAAAATGCTCTTTTTTAATGCAAGCGAGCAGAAACAATGTATCAAATATATTGCTATTACGGTTTTCACATTTTTCATAGTGTTTTTGGCTTTTGAATACTTTGTTAATTGTTGACGCAATGTCAAATTTGGCTGATTAGAATAAAATGCGCGCCAAAGTAAACGGCGGTTGTAGGCGTGACGTAAGAATTACGCGCATGGCGTGTAAGTTCGAACCATGATTCGAACGTCGAATTAAATGACAATCGCGTGGTTATGTCTGCTTGTAGCCTTGTCACGGTATAGGAAGTAAAAATATGTCTCAGTTTGCTGTGCAACTTGTTGCATGTACTGTAAATGATCAATGAACGTTCCCTGCTGAATAAACGCCTCGTGTAGAGCAAACACCCGTTTTTGAAATAGACGTCTTTATCAGACACGGTAACATCTTAACTTGGATTCTAAACCACAACTGTAAATAAATTAAAATAAAAAGGTTGATTTTCAGATGGCCGTGCAAAAAAAATTACATCTATGTATGAAAACCAATCAAACTCTATAAAATAGAAATGTAAAATCTAAAGAAGTTTTACGTATGCAATTAATACTTTCTTTTTTCTTCAATACTATTCCAAGCTTCTGCTCCTCTGTATAAGCAAAGCTAAGTTTTAGAGCGTTCGTGTTTTTCAATCTATCAAATCAATCTAGACCTATGAAAACTTTTCTTTTTCACTTCGTTCACGCCAACTCTTTTTTTTGACGCATTGCCATAATTGCACGATTTGCATATGATGCGCTCCGACATAACGGGCGGTTGTAGGCGTGACGTAGGCCCTACGTAGGCAAGATATTCAATTTCGAATGTGGAGTTGCAGTGAAAATTGAAATTTACGTGTTTATGTCTGCTTGTGGTGTATTGTGCCTCGCTTGTTTATCTTTGCGTCTGCTTTTATTACACCTATTTTAGAGGTCGAAGCGAATTATGTGGCTGGCAGGAAAAAGCAAAAATGTGCGAGTTTCTTTGAAAGTGCCATGGAGAAATCGAATTTTTCACACGTGTAGGAGCAAATGGGGTAAGGTTATGGCAATTCGTCGCGAAGACATAAACGTGTGGGAGAGAAGAGCTCCAATTTCGCCAGCACACGTTAAAGAACTTGTAGATAACGGCATTAAAGTTCTCGTACAACCTTCGACCCGGAGAGCGTACACAATGGCCGAGTACGAAGACGCTGGAGCTGTAATTACAGAAGATTTGTCTCCTGCTTCGCTGATCGTAGGTGTAAAAGCCGTCCCTGTAAACCAGCTTTTGTGCAACAAAACCTACGCTTTCTTTTCGCATACCATAAAAGCTCAGCCGGGAAATATGCCGCTGTTGGATGCCATGTTGGAGAAGGTTAGGTTAACTGTATTATTTGCAAATTTGACACATCTAGCTTGACCTGTTAAGTGACCCAGCTCATGATGACACTGAACTGGGGCAGTGTATTTCTTATGTTCGAAGCCTGGGATATGTCTTCAAAAGTATAAAAGGTGTACCTTCTGGACAGTGTTGTTTTCAGCGAAAACTTTTCATGTCATGGTCTGATGCAATTTTCTCCCGATTAATTTTCATTAAGTCCAATATCGCTAGACAATTGTAATTTTTTAATGAGTGTTTACAATGCTAAAGACATTTGAATAGGAACATTCAGGACCACAGAGGAGGTTCAAGTATTTACTATGTCAAGGCTGTCCAGATTATACCTTAGTAACTTTTAACTTACTAAGTACAAATGTAGCTTGTTTACTTGAGCTCTAGGTCTTCCTTGAGCACACCGTCACACGTGTTTGATGCCCTTATTGGTGCACTTCATGCGTGAGGTTGGCGTGTTTGATGCGTGACCTTTGGCTTGGTGTGTGTGTTGTGGCCTGTTGGCTTGGCCCTAGGGTGTAATCTGCCCATGGTAAATCCCACAAAAAGGAATTTCCTAGTAACATACAACTTGCTCAGCATCATTGTCATATGGTAGCTTGCATATTGTGATTTTAATCTCTCAAAAATCTTTATTAAATTCTTTCACAATTCTTCATTTATTTTTTCCTTTTTGAGGCCAATCATAGATTTGCTTTTTACTGTGAACTCATCTAAAGATGCATATGACCAAAGACCATTTGCACCAGGCAATAGTTTCCTTTTCAACCATAACACCTCACTTAATTCTTACAATAATTCTAAACTCCAGTTGCCCTGCCCACCTGAAGTCTGTTGTTATTTCATGATGCTTACATAGAGATTATATTTGCAGAATATAAGACTGGTTGATTACGAAAGAATGCTTGATTCAAAGGGTCAGAGGGTAGCTGCATTTGGTAAATTTGCTGGTGTTGCAGGTTTGTGATGGTAAATTGTATTATGATGATCTTTAAAGCTGTTGTCATGAACTCATTGTTATTCTAGGAATGATCAACATTTTACACGGTCTTGGTTTGAGGCTTCTTGCACTTGGTCATCACACTCCTTTTATGGTAAAGTATGGTATGAAAAGTTTAAAGAGATGTCAAACCAAGATGGTTTTGAAATCAAGTCAAGTCGTCCAAATGAATGAATTGTGTCTAGTGTTTTATTCATGACTCATATCATCAGTTTACAAAAATATTTCTTGGCTAGGGAGAGTTTCTTATTTTTCTGGTGATGAAGACAAATTTACCCTTTTACTGTAATGAACTGTTACTTTAATTGGCTAAATGTCAAATTTGCAAACAGAGTGTTTTATCCTATTGCAGTATATGGGTGGGACCCACAACTACAAAAACAGTCGGGCCGCTAAATTGGCCATATTTGAGCTGGGTGAAGACATTGCAATGGGAAAGCTTCCTGCCCATTTTGGCGCGCTTTCGTTTGTTTTCACCGGTTCTGGCAATGTCTCGCAGGTAACTTCTCACAGTTTAGTTATAAAATCTATTTAAAAGTAAACGACTGAAAGATGGTTTTGTTCAGAATAAATTCTGATGGTAAGTTTTTATGATTCAGCATCGTAAAGGGATACTCATTGGAATAAAGCTACGTTGAACGAAGCTAGAAAATACATTAAGCGCAAACAGTTATTATTGTTTCATGTAGCGAATCTATTCTGTATAGATCGTTGCCCATGTCAATTGATTAATGTTTTCAGTGGCGTATCAAACTCGTTATTTTGCAAGGGTAGGGGCACAAATTCACATACGCATGTTTTAATCCGTTCAAAAAGTAACCCCCCCCCCGAAGTATCAAGTGCGCCACGCCACTGAATGTTCTCAACAACCTGTGTTCTTTATCGTCCAGCTCAGTCTTTGTCGTTATTTAATGTCGCTCTTCTTGTTATTTATTGAAGTACATCGATTATTAAATTTATTCTAGGGAGCTCAAGAAATGTTTCAAGAATTACCGCACATGTATGTACCACCACACGAGTTGAGGAAGGCCATTGAAAAAGGAGGTAGGAAAATGAGGTCGTTTTACTCAAAAGATTTGTCCTTGAAATAAAACTTCCATTATTGTCACGGATTTTCCCAGCTCACATTTTCCGAGGAAGACAATATCTTGACCGAAATATATTTAGAAGCGCAATTCACTGAAATAGAGCGTGCATGGTAAAGGTTCAAAACTACTTTTATAATTTTTTAACATGTCTATGTCAGTTTAAATTAGGAGCGTTTAGCGTTGTGTTTAATGTAAGTTTTATTACTGTGCTGTCTCAAAGTTGACAAAGTTGACAGAATGTGGAATTTGAAGCCAAATTTAATTTTTGTGGCTCACACATGTGACGCGGTGCATTAGCCATTAATATATGCCACTCTTCTTTAGTTGTTTTGTGTTTATCTGATAACCCTTTTTGTTAAGGGTTGAGTAGATGCCCCCTCCTTTATTTTCAGCTCTTCTTTCCTCGGCTTGTTTCTAATTGGTCCTTATTGCTTTCAATGGCCAGATCATCGCAAGCTAATCGGAACCGTAATCAGACGAGAGGATTATCTCGTGCCCAAAGCTGGTGGAAAGTTCGACGCGGAAGAATACGATGCGCATCCACAGAAATATCGGTCAGTTTTTGTCGAAAAGGTTTGTCCAACACGAGCAATACAGTTTAGTGTTGAATTTTCATCGCATGACAAGTAAAACTTCCTGTTGATGTAGCTAGCACTTTAGGATAGTGACCAGGGATATACCAGGTGGGGACCGAATTCGTATAATAAATATTAAAGCCCAGCAGAGTGATGAGGAAATGAAATGCAGGAAACAATATATGGAAGTTGTTAGTTAAAAAAATAGCAGGGTGACTTTCATTTCTAAGGACTATTTTTTGAAGCGTATTAGTCCAGTTTATTATTGCTAAAGTCACTGAATAATATGGTCTGTGAAAGCATAATTTTTGTTTTTATAAAGATGAAACAGTTAATAATATCCCAGAGGTCGGTTGTATAAAAGCGTAGTTAACTTTAACTACATTTAATGCTAACGACTTATCTGCGTGGTTAAATTTAACTACTTTTTAACTGCAAAAGGGTAGTTAAAAAGTAGTTAAGAGCTTTATACAACCATTTAGTTTGGGAACTTTTGAGTATGAAATAAATCGTACGTTAAACGCGATGCCAGTTGAGGATCTGATTTGCTTATGCTTTTTATCACATTCGATTTGGTTTTGGGGATAAAAGGACTGCATGGGATAAGTGGCATTATGTAACTCTTTCGTGTTCATTTACTGCGAAAAAAATAGATTTATAACCACACAAATGATGATAATGATTTGAAATTTACACGGCACAGCCAATGGCTACACCAACACTAATGACTGGTTAGGGAGTCGTCATGTTCACAGGTTTGTATATGAGAATCGTCCGGGTGAGTGCAATTCTGAGAAGACTGTTAGTGTTGGGTGTTGACCATTGAACTTAAATACATGTAACGCCACCTGTAATAGAAAAGTCAAATAATTTTTTGAACCCAAATCTTACACCCGAACACGCGTGTGTAACAATCAATTTTCACTCCGCGAGAGAATCTCGTGACACTACACACGCGTGTCCGGGTGTAATCTCTCCAGTCTGGGTGTAAGAGTTGGCTTCAATTATTTGCTTCCGTGTATTTTAGTTCAATGGTGTTGACAGAGGTTTTGACAACCTTAGCTGTTAGTCATTTTAAGAGTCGAGACCACAAAGTATGTCGAAATGTCATTCAACACCAGCACCAACAGTCGTTCTCAGGACTGAACTAACCTGGACGATCCTCATCAACAAAAACATATAACCAGGAGTAAAACCACTTGTCCTGTAACTTGCCTTGATTCTTCGTGCGGATTTTTGCTAGCTTGCCCCGACTATAGCAAAGCACGATTTAAACTCTCACAAATGAAATACATGATTGTCAGTGGAGTTTCATACAGTTTTTGGCCTCAGCTATTTACGTTTTAAGGTTTTTGCATATTTTGTTTCGTTTTCCAGATCGCACCATACATGTCAGTGATGGTAAATGGTGTATATTGGCAACCCTGTTGCCCTCGCCTGCTCACCAATGAAGATATTCGAAAATTGACAAAACAGAAAGCTTCGCTAAGCGTCAATGATGGTTGCCCACCTTTGCCGCATCGTTTGTTGGCTGTCTGTGACATATCTGCCGATATCAATGTAAGTTATTTCCCTTACTTCGATCAATAGTACCTTTGCCAATTGATTCTTGAGCGAGTCATGTGACTCATTCGATATTCTGTTTTGTACTGCCCATTTTTGTGAGTTGACCTGGAGTGATGTTATGATGAGAACAGTGTTCTTGTCCTCCAGTAGAATATCTTTGTAGGAAATGATCTGATGTTAAAACTCGAGTTCTTATATACTTCAGTCTAGTGTCTTCATTTGAAGTAATCTGATGTTTAAAGTAGAGTCCTTATAGTCTATCAGTCTAATGTCTTCATCGGGAGTAATCTGATGTTGAAACCTGAGTTTCTTTATACTCCTGTCTAGTGTCTTCATTAGGAGTCATCTGATATTGAAACTTGAGTCCTTATATACTCCAGTCTAATGTCTTCATTAGGAGTCATCTGATATTGAAACTTGAGTCCTTATATACTCCAATCTAATGTCTTCATTAGGAGTCATCTGATGTTGAAACCTGAGTTCTTTTACACTCCAGTCCAATGTTTTCATTCGAAGTGACCTGATGGTGAAACTCTCCATATCCTCCAGTCCAACGACTTTACCAGAAGAGTTCTATCATCATATAATAGTTCTCCGTTTGTAAATAATCTTCATTACTTTATATATAATCAGGGATCTCTTGAGTTCATGGAGGAATGTACGACGATTGAATATCCATTTGAATTATTTGATCCACGGAAAAAGAAATCTGAAATTGGGTGCGTTTGGAGATATAACTTGAGTTTCATGAAATTTCTGTTTTACTGACTGTAAATTTTCATTATTGTACATTTTTCGTTTATTTCACAGCATGGCTGGCGATGGTGTTTTAATTTGCTCAATTGATAATCTTCCTGCACAGCTTCCTCGCGAGGCAACCGATTATTTTGGTAAATTGTTGTTGCCTTGGATACCGGAAATGGTAAAAACTCGCTCGTAAAGTTTTGATACGTTTAGAAGTTATTTGTTAGATTTTGCCCTTTTTCACGCGAAGTTCTATTGCCTTAAGCTGTTGGTAGCAGTCTGTAGCTGTCTTTAGCTCATTCTTAGTATATTTTCTACCTCTACCCTATTCTCTCACATCGTTTGTGTCAATGTAGCCTCGTACAAGTTAACTTTTACTTTATTTTTTATTCCTGATAAGAAGGGGCTTTTGATTGGTTTAGAGCAAGTGAATTTCCGAACTTTCCCCGATGTTATTTCAAACTAAATACTTAATCTTTATGCGCTGTTATGTGTCTATAAAAGGTGATCGCTTTTACCATCAACATTTCGCATTCGTTAAGAGATGGTGTGGAAAGCCGTTTTTAGTTAACAAACGAACTTGCAAGTGTGTTTTATCTAGAATGGACGTAATTCTCGACTCATATCCCCAAATATACGCTTTTAAAAAAGGCTTTGTGCTTAGTGCTGCGGTAACTCCGGATTGTTTATTAGTCAATACAACAAGGCTTCGTGTTATACGTCAATGATGGTGTGGAAGTTATCTGTCTTAGATAGAATATTATTTCTGTGGACGTTTTTACTTTTTCATGAACGATAACCTCTTAATTTTACTGGAGTTAGGACATTTTTCGTTGTACGTTTACGAAACTCTCCCTGCCGGTCCGAAAAATACATCAAAACTTCGGCTATGGTGTACAGCACTAGTTCTTGTAAAAATCCACTGATATAGCCCGTGACGTAGCCAGTGACGTAGCCAGCCCGCATATTTGGTGATGCTGTTTAAATGTGTACATTGAAGCGTTTCCATAGCATGAGTAACTTAACGGGCTGGCTACGTCATCAACAAAACCTGTCGCGTTGGGTTTAGCTCACCTTCAGGTGACAATAATGGTAATGTGTGTTTACAGGAAAAGTGAACCCTGACATTTCAATGTTTGTTATGAGCATCACACCACCTGAGATGAAAGCACTTTCTATAATCTTTCCTAACTATAGAAAATAAGCTCACATTAGTATTATGTCGAGGTGAATATCAGAAAAAATGATTGTTTACAGTTCTGTTTTTGTCATCTAGGTTGATTCAAATACGAAAGTTTCCCTTGAAAGTCAAAATCATTTTTCCGACACCGTTCGTAACGTAAGTAAAGAACAAGTGTTTCACTGAACTTGATAGCTTACATCTAGCACACGCCTCTCCTATCTTCTCCAATAATAAGGTAGCCATGGACACTTTGCAACTTTGCTTTCAAAGGAACCAAAACGAAAATCAATGGCATGAAATCAAGGCAAACAATGTACCATTACAAAATCAGTTGCTTTCACTGTCGAAAACGAGCAAAGCTCGATAACTGCCGATACTAATACCAATCAAATTTTGAGACCCTTTCTCCGTGACCCATGATCAGACGTCACCCCGGGGGCCTGTGCAAATTTCCCGTTCCCCTTTGATGAAGTTACATGATTTCATAATCCCCCGCTCCGTTAACGGCCCTGCTTATAAGTGTCAAACGTCTTGTGAAAAAGTTGATGGCAGTGTATGTCGCTGGATTGCGCAATCGATTCCAAGAAGTAGATAGGAAGTAAATATGTTTTATGTCGGAAGTGGAAGGGCATGTTACGGAAGTGAATATGCATGCTGGTCAATGGTCATTGCTGATCATACAAGTGTCTTGTGCCAGTGAGAAGTGGCGCCCTGTTCAAACCAAGGTATTCGCGATTGATGTATTTTTAAGTGTGTTTTTTCTTTCTGCAATTTCGTTGCTGTACTTTTAAGTTTACGATAGCTAATTATCGAAAAATTAGCTGTCGGAAGTGTTGGGTTTCTGCAGTCTATGCAGAAATGTCATCTGCCAGTCAGGACATCAACTTGTTTCGGACAGTGGAGTGTACTATTTGGAATTAAATTTATTCCAATTTATTGCAGTCTAATTTCAACATTTAAAGTAGTTGATAATGTGGTCGCTTTGCCTTGTCTTTGGTACAACCAAGCTACCGAATAAATCGACTATTTTATGCGATTCTGCACAGACTGTGCGAAATATAAAGAATCTGTGTAGAAGTAATGAGAACACTCATAATGCAATTATTTTTTTATTAACGCAATTTGCTAATTTGAAACATTGATTAATTGCATCGTTTTCTAATATTGAACGTATCATTCGCCAAGTACACGGAAACAAAGATAATGTGTTCTTTATTGGTCCTTTATTGGATCCTTTATTGATTCTAAAGCGTTGTAGATATGGAAAGCTCTACGCTTGCAACGGACCTTCTTTAACCCAATTAACAATAACAAACATTTAATACGTCATGTGTCTCAATTTCGTAGGCTGTCATCACTTCGAATGGTCACCTAACTCCAAATTATCAATACATCAGCGATTTAAGGAAAGGGTATGACGATAATTCGTTTCCTCGTTTGTACTTTAACCAATTTGCGGAATTGTGCTCAGATAATTTCTAGGAAAAGGGGTGTTTTTACCAGGTATTCAGAAAGCCATTTAGAAGCATAATAACAGTGAATGCTTGTGATTAAGGAAGCTTCAAATATAATGTGGTTTGAAATTTTCAATCTTTGCATTTTGTTAGGCACTTGAATTTTTTACATAAAAATGATTGTAGGGTTCAATGAGAAATGAGTTTTTGTTGTTTTGCTCACAAACAAACAAATTATTGTTTCCAAACTTTGTTAGTAGAGAGAGTTGTATGAAAGAAAAATCTGTTCAAAAGCTGTATGGTTGGCTATAGTTTGGGATAGTGCATCAATTTCTGAGGTTTTGTTTTAAGTATATGAAGCCCCCTGCTGCAGTGTTCTTAGCAGTCAGCATATTGAAGTATGTTTCGATTGCAATGGCTGAATTTCTTATGCTACTAGCATATGCGCTTATTTTGAGATAAGGAGAGCTTTTTCTACATTTTATGTTCATCACAACTTTGGAAGACTTGATGCAAAAGAGAAATTTATAATTGTTTATGAAACAATACTCTGAAGCATTTTGTATTGGTTGAAGGATTCAATAAAAATTAGTAAATTTGATATTCTATTTTAGGACATGTTGTGTAATCAGTGTAATCAAGTAAATCTGTCTTTTTGCCTAGATATCAGATATCTTTGCCAAGGCATTTCAAATTCTTGTTTCACTTTTTATTGGCAGGTGGTTTTCATAACCCATTGTGTGCCAAGGCAACTCATTCTTGTTTCTTTAGCCATTAGCAGGCTCTTAGAAATTGGAATACCAGTATTAAGAATTCTTGTTGCCATAGTTATTAGGAAAGTACTCAACACTTTTTAATGTGATTGGAAATTTGCATGCCTTGTAATCGATTTTGATCTTCCTCCTTGAGCAGATAGTCACATGTTAATGAGGCTTATATTCCAAATGTTATTTTCATGAATGAATATTCAAGTCTTCTCGTACTTCACTCTAGTCAAAAACAAATTGAACCAATCAGCTCAGGCATGAAAGAACCGACTCGAGCTCCTGCTGGCACCAAAGATATTGACATAAAACATAAAGTGTTATTGCTGGGATCTGGTCTTGTGGCTGCTCCGATTGTCGATTATCTCATGAGAGACCAATCCATCCTCCTCACCATAGGTAAGCACGAAGGAAGCATAACATCATGAAACATGTTTTTACTGCATTTCTGTCCAGTTCAACTTCTGTAATGACCACCCCTCCCCCCCCCTTCATCAAACTAAATGATGTTTCAAAGGTGAATCTGGGGAAGGGTGAACATTTTGAAATGCCATAATATTGTACCATTTTCATTCACTAATGTTTTAGTTCACAAAGTGATGCACATCCCCTGGATTCTCCCCTCTTGCAATATGACATATGGATAGGACATGTCATTAATCTTTCTTGTGAAAAAGTATTCAATAAATTTCTAACATTCCTGTTTTTCTCATCATAAAAAACATTGCATTAGGTGTTTCTCCATTTATTGTTCAACCATAGTGTTTGTGGTCTGTGCTTGTGGTGTTTTGGCCAATGTTATTTGTTGTTATTAATATAAAATATCAGTTAAGACAATGGCTTTTTTGTGCTAAAAATGAGGTGCGGTGTAAATAAAATTTCACAATTTCTGAGAATTCTTGGCATCTTACTGTGTACTTTTAGGCTCAATGGAACTATCAGAGGCTGGTGCTCTGAGTGATGCCTACGCCAATGCGTCTTCCGTTTTGATCGACGCCAATGAGATACAGAAAAATTAAGGAAAATTATTGGCGACCACAAGCTTGTCATCAGGTAGTTAAAGTGTTACACTGTGTGGAATGGTATGTAGAGGGGGATTGGGACCTTCCCTGTTAAGTAAATATGATAATATGACAGTGGTTATAAAGCAAGTGTTGGCGGTATGAACATTCCTACATCGAATCTTTTGCATGGGCTCATCAAACTATGAGGTTGATACTCCAGTACACTTGTGAAGAAAATAGCCCTAAAATGCATTTATTAAGTTAGAGGGAGGTTAACGTGCCGTTGAGAGGTTATTGTTGTTCCACTGCGATGTTGAAAGTTAACCTTTCAATGCTTTTTCCTGTACCATGGAGAGGTTGCCTTTTGTGTTAGCTGGAAAGGTTGTATGGAGCTTTCCTGTGACTTGAAGAGTTTATAGTTGCCTTATAGCACGCTTTAAGCGAACCATCGAGAGCTTACCACTTTCCTTGTGGTCCAGAGGTTAACTCTTTCTTTAGTCTTGGAGATCTTACTTTGGCCACGGAGATGTAACCTTTCCTTTTTCCTTGGAGAGGTTTCCTCTCTTGTCTTGGAGTCTTACTTTAGCCATGGAGATGTAACCTTTCCTTGCGTCTTGGAGAGGTTACCTCTCTTGTATTGAAGATCTTACTTCGGCCATTGAGATGTAACCTTTCCTTGAGCCCTGGAGAGGTTGCCTTTTTTACTTTGGATAGACAGGTTGACTTTCCGAGAAGCCTTGAGAGGTAGCTGCTCTAGTTCGTTCCGACAGTATTTTAAAGTGTTTACAATTTGACATACTTTTAGCATGCTCCCGTACAATTTCCATCCTAAAGTTGCCGAGATGTGCATCGAACACAAGTGCGATCTGGTCACTGCAAGCTACGTATCGCCTGAAATAAGGGAACTCCATCAAAGGTAATAAAGCCGTTATTTTCACGAATCATAATTAATCGAATCAAGTTAGAACGTCATTGTTCTTAGTCATGGAAGTGACGATGTTTTTGCGTCGGCTATTGAGCATGATAAAAATAAGAGACGTTTCATTAACGTTATTATTACATCTGTTAAATCCCATTCCGTTCCAATCATCCATTTCATTCGCTTTGAAGTGCATATGACACAATATTTTTCTACATAAAAGATCTCCATTAACTATAATGGACTTTCTTTTTAACGTTTATGTTTGCATTGCTGGAAGTTTATGATATGTAAATTAGGTAATGTATGCTCGGTCGTTTTTAATTGACGTATTCGTTATTTGTATTTGTTTTAGCCAAAAATAAACAAATTTGCTTCATATTCGAAAGTTTATCAGTTCACTTAATTTGAAAATAGTTTTCCCAGAAGACTGTAGCAGGTTTATAAATATGTAAATTAGGAAACGACAAAACATAAACGAAAAACCATTTAATTTAAAACATTAATTCTCCAATTTACATATGACTAAAACTTTTATTAATTCCAGGCGTAAGCATGTACACATTGACATTGAAAAGAAAGTCTACCACAGTTTTGCGAGGGTTGACCAACACAATCAACGTCAACCAAATTTTGAGCACACGATGTTTGCTATATTGTTGTTTATACAAGCAATGAAAATTTTGTCACGTTGTTTTTAGCGCAATGGATGCCGGTATAACAATACTTAACGAAGTCGGTCTGGATCCTGGTATTGATCACATGACTGCGATGGAGTGCTTTGACGAAGTAAAAGATTGCGGCGGTAAGGTAAGTTGGAAGGTCTCTTCAGATATGTCCATACTTATGGAAAAGTTATTTTATCCAACTCTGCACAAGTGTGCAGTTTAATACTTTAATACTTTTATCTTGCGTAAAAAAAGACTCTTCTACCTAGCTGGAGGCCACGAAGCACCGTGTTTCCTGAAACGTTGTTTAAACTGTAGAAGCTTGCATCTTGATTTGCGCGCTTAATGTTTGTTTTCATACGGGAACTTTGATGTGCCTCCCTGTTAGCGTTAATTGGTTTTACGTTTTTATCCAGGAAGTTTCACGAGTCACTCGGTTGGTCATTCTTTGTGCGACTTTATGTACGGGAGCTACCAAAAGTAGTCAAGCGTGACATTGACACTCCTTATTTGCTCGTAATGTTTAGGTTGTGTCGTTCGTGTCATATTGTGGTGGTCTACCGTCTCCCGAGGTTGCTGATAATCCTTTAAGAATGAAGTTCAGGTATTCGTTGTTATTTTTGCATATTTTTTATTGCCTGCTATCTGAAATCCTACGTACAGCAGCTCGCGGATATCATGGTGAATTTTTCAAAAATTACCATTTAAAATTTTTGAAATTGATTTAAAAAGCCATGTAAATCGATCATTGTTCGACGTGTTCGGTTGATAAATTTCCTCGCGAGAGGGAATTTTATAATTCTTTGTTGAGGATGTGAAGTAACAATAGTGTTGCAAGCGTATTTTCTATATTTAAACTCCAGCCTCTTTTTGTTCCTCTCCCGCTGTTCAATGATCTCCCATCTCTTCCATTTCCATCCCCCTTTGTTCATCCCATTCTTTCCCCCTTCCTTCCTCTATTTCCAGTCTTTCTTCCATTCATCCCTCTCCATTTATCCACACCCTCTATTTACCACCACTCTATTTATCTCCTTTCTCTTTATCCTCCATCTCTCCTCCATTTATCCCCTCTTTTTCTCTCCTCCTCCATCTCTACTCTTGTTTATTCACTCTTATTTATCCACCCTCTATTTATCTCCCTTTCTATCTTTATCCACTCTCTATTTATCTCCCACTTTCTATTTATCTCCATCTCCTCTCATTCCTCTCTATTTATCCCCACTCTTATTCCACTCTATTTATCTCCCATTCTCTACTTATATTCCACTCTCTATTTATCCACTACCCTCTAGCTACCCACTGCTTTCTTTTATTCTCTGTATACCACTGAATGTGGATAACACAAAATGCTCTTCTATTGTTCTTCTACAAATAAATATTCACGTATTGCATTGGATATTTAAATAACTACAAATCGATATTAAAGTATGTGTTGCGTGTATTAACATGCATTAGCATTCTTGCGTGAATTTCATTCCGTCCCCTCCCTTTAATAATCTTCTCACTTGATAGGTAGCAAAAAACCCTCGCTGGGCGTTGGTATATGGAGAAAATGCGGTGTGCATTTTACAAAATGATGCGGTTAATTATAAGAGGAAAATCGAAGATGTTTGACTATGTTAAATTTTCATGTGATATGAGCAAATGTTTTAAGAAATTGATGAAGATAGCGGCTCTTGTAAACTGCCTTTTCTACTTGTTTATTTTTATTTTCTTGTTTCTTTACGTTTGCGATTTTCTTTATCGTACGTTACAATGAGCTTGTTAATTTTTAGCTGGAGTCCAAAAGGGGTTCTGTCGGTCACACAAAATGGTGCAAAATATCTCGAAAACGGGCAGGTATTGTCGTCAGTTGGAGTTTTGTTTTTTGAATTTTGCCCAATGGTGCAAAGGTCATTCTTGCTTTACTAAAGTTCCTTGAAGCCCCAATTGTACATTCGGCCTATGCGTGAAATCATACTTTTCATGAGGTGTTTTTCACACGCTTCTGCAAAGCTTGTGGCATGGCATATCAGTCTGCTCGAAAGCTCTTTCAAACATCTTTGTCATTTGCTTGAATTTGCAGCCCATGCAAAGCTTGTGGTAAAACATATAATTCGACTCGAGAATTCGTTTCTTTTTTATGAATATGTTAACAGTAAAACAGAGACTTTGTCGTGGTGACAAATTTGAATATATTCTAAAACAGTTCTTTTCAAAACTCTTGATTTTTTCTTGGTTTAATCGTGGTTTTCTCTGGTTTGTTTTTTCCTCAGTTTTATCTTGGGTTTCGTGATTTTTAGTTGGTTTCAGTCCATTTAACATGGCAATTGCTCTCTTCAAGGCAATATGCTAACAATTATCCACGATCCTTATTTTTTATATTTTGTTAGATTAAAGAGATCCCTGATGGCGGGGAAATCTTGAATCATGTCAAGCCGACAGACTTTATTCCTGGTTACAATCTGGAATGTTATCCAAATCGCGACTCCACTATATATAAGGATATTTACGGTTTACCACATCTTCACACCATTATTCGCGGCACCTTAAGATATCGTGTAAGTCGCTAGACTAAAGGGTAAACTCGTGCATCCCCAAAGACTTGTAATACCCATTGATGTTCTCAATATCCGGTTGGATCCCCAAGGACTTTAATTACCTAATATGATCACCAATATGGTTGTCAATACTCGGTTCTCCCAAAGACATTAATTATCCAATAGAATCACCAATGTGGTTGTTGATACACGGTAGGATACTCATACCCGGTAGAATCACTGAAGACGTTTTAACTCCCATTGGAATAACCAATGGGCTTGTTAATACCCGGAATGATCCCCAAAGACTTTTTACTGTTTGGTAGGATCTAAGACTCTCCGCAACACACACGACAGTTTTATCGGGATCGGATTGTTTTGATAGCTCCGCAGAAGCATCAGGAATACCCTTATCTACTCCTCTAGAGTCCGTCAACATATTTGTCCTTATTGAATATCATATCGTCCCAAACCAATGCTCTCCCCTCACTCTAAATGGTTATCACCCCACGCTAGCATCTTTTCACTCCCTCTCAATTGGATTCACCGAACGTTTCTTACAAATGACCTCATCAATGTATACGATGTTTCTTTTAGGGTTATGCAAATGTTTGCATTGGCTTGCAAAAACTTGGTTTATTTAACATGGACGAGAAACCATTTACAGGACAACCTATGTCTTGGGTAAGTGCGAATGTGCTATGAGAAACAAGTCACAGGTCAGCATATGCTTGTTTTACGTATATGCCAAAGAGAATCTACTCAATCGAGAGAAGCAATCATTATCGTTGACGATTGTTCATCCATTAACACAAACATATCGCTGCTCATACTATGTTCATGAAGTTGCAGGCCAAATTGTCTTAGATTGTCAAAAAAAACAAGCGGACAGAAACAAATCATATAAATGGCAACGCATCTTGTAGGTCAACTAATGTTCTGCACGCTAATATGCACTAAAAGAAACGGGACCTCGTGTTAAAAAGGCTCTTGGACGAATATGTTAGGATTTTGGAAAAATCTTCGTATAAATTGTCAGCAGCTGAAACTTTGCGCTAATGACGCTGTGTGCAAAGTTTTCACATCAAAAACTACCAAGAGTAGTTCTCTTTGATGGTAGCTTGTGTTGTATTAATGACGTCGTAAATTGAGAGGATCTCAGGAATGGCTTGTCTTCCTAACCTTCACTTTGATTATTTGGCTAAAACTTCGTCCAGTGATTTTTCGCCTATAGAGCTTTATTTGTTCAAAGTTTCGGCTGCTAACAATTAGTATCGACGACTTTTAATAGTTCTCACGTATATACGTCCAAGAATCCTTTTAAAGGTCGAATTTATACGCATGTCCAACATGGGCAATATTTCCAACCACCAAACGTTCATTATTTTCATCTTTAGTATAAGATCATAAAAAGTCTATTTTGAATTTTCGTTTTCGACAGAGAAAATATGTAAGTTCAATGCTCGGCTGCTCGTCGTCGGAACTCGATGGAGAAGTCTTCAAAGTTGTTGGAGAAGATGATGCGCGATTTTCGGCAATTAAACAGTATGAAATGGTGAACCATTTATTTTTAACTGACCTTCAATGAGAAACATGCATCCTCTTTTCTAGACTTGGTTTGCTTTCAAATGAAATTGTGGTTCCAAAATCGTCAGCTCTAGAGACACTCAGTCACTATTTGAGCGGCAGATTGGCATTTGGTAAGTCACTCTTTATGTTATCGACTCATTAAAGTGACCATGAGACGAAAACTTTGCTTAATATGACAACGGGCTCACTAAAACAGTTTGTCCATATTACGATATGCGATATGACGTCATTTGTTGTGTAAATCGTTCATTGCTAAAACTTCGATATCTTGAGAATGAAAAGAAATATGCATGAACTGTTTTAGAAAGTGTACAGTAGTTTTTGTTCTTTTCGATGAAAGTATAATTTTAACTGAAAAATTTATGTTTTATGTGCACTGTTTGGGTCTCAAAGTTGACTTTTTTTGTGTTTGATCGTGAGGTGCTGTGACTGGGTCTAGTTCACCAGACGTGACGTACATTGGAGAACACGCTGCTTTTTAATGCTGTAGTTTACAGTAAAATTTGTTGCAAAGTCACGAATTTTATTTTTTATTCAACATGAGTTATTTTGTGTACTTTGTTATTGAATCACACCGTAATTCTTTAGCGTTAAAAAGCAGTGTGTTCTCCAATGTACGTCACGTACCGTGAACTAGACCAGTCATAGCACCTCACGGTCAAACATGAAAAAAGCCAACTTTGACCCTCAAAGAGACAAGGAAGATGAAATTCCCGTCTTATAAAATATGTTGCAAATGTTCTTAAAATAGTCAACTCCATCTAAATAAATCATTTCCCTGGTGGTGATATAGACACTTTAGGTGTTAGGCCTGGTCCTCACTTGCAACATAAGCACAAGATTAACCAACTATCCGACTTTCATACTTGGTTATGCTTAAAATTGCGCTTATTGTATTTTCTTGCAAGTGAGAACAGTTATGTTTATGCTTATGCTTACGTCACTAGTGAGGACCTGGTTTTACAGATGGATGAAAGAGATCAAGTTCTATTTAATGATCGTTTACGCCTTAAAGTGTTTGTGTTTATGTTTAGAGAGCGGTGAACGAGATTTAGTCCTTTTGAGACACGAAGTTGAGATAGAATGGCCTGATTGCCGAAAGGTTTGCGAAATATTATTTTTATCGTGATTAAAAGAAAACTGGGCAAGTTTGAATTAAAAATGCCATTGCCATGACAACCACTAAATATCCCCACGTATGTAACGCGTGATATTCCATTAAGTGTCCTACGCATGCAATACGTGACAAGCTGTAAGTGTCCCACGTAAATGGCGCGTGACATTGCTCACGTATATAGCTAATATGATAGAAGCTCTAAGTTCTCCTTGTAAGTAGCACGTGACAAGCATTAATTGTTCCTCGTGTTTAACACGTGACAAGCTCTGTGTATCCCGTGAATGTATCTAACTCCATTTGAATCAACTTTTTAACTTTTACAGGAAATGCGTCGCATTACTTTAATAGAATACGGGGATTCAAAGTACAGTGCTATGGCGAGAACTGTTGGATTTCCTGCTGGAATAGGAGCAAAAATGGTTCTTGATGGTAAGTGAGGATGGAATTTACATCTGTCTTGTGGTGTATATGTAGTTCTTTATGTTATGTCGTAACTATTATATACAATTTTTAGTTCTACATGTTGTAGTGTGCGCTTATGTGATGTTTAGTTATATATTTTATAAATTTTATGTTTATGTCTTGAAATCTAGCTCAAAAAATGTAATTTTCCGTAGCACATTTGTCATTTTTGTTGTATAGATATTGTATCTATAATTATACTTCTTAGAATTGCCATTTAATTTTTCTTATTCTACATTTATGTTTTATTAAAAAATAATTTGTCGTTCGTCATTCTATAGATGTTATGTTATTATATGTATTGTTCCATTATACGACATAAGCTGCATTTCTAAATATGTATTGAGTCTTGTGATGTAAAGTTCTATGTGTAATGCAGTGCAGTTCTTCGCTCGTTATGCTTATTTACTTCAATGTGAAATAATGTGCATCGTATATTTACAACGATATTCAGTTTTCATCTTCTAATTTCGATAATATTTAGGCGAGATCGATGCCAAAGGTATAGTTCTTCCAGCGGATAGAGTCATTTATCAAAAACTACTGCGACGCTTAAAAGAAGAAGGTATTAAAATGGAAATCGTTTCATTCTACGACTGACAAGGTTTGCTTGTTGTTAATATTTATAAAATGTCACCGATATTTATCGACTATATCGGCAAATAATAAAAGGAAATTTCAACTAATTATCGGTATCGATCGATACTTATATCTTTTGGAAATTTCAGTGAATTCCAGTTGTAATGAACGTGTTTAGATTTCTAAACAAGACAAGTTATTTTGTTGAAAATGGCGGTTTTTACTGCTCTTTGAAATTAGTTTTTACTAGTGTGCTACGAAAATCTTCTTGTGCAAATTTAATCTTCATTCGACCTTACATATATTGAAGTGCCAGCGTCTGGAAATATATATTTTTAAATAGTTTAATCGAATTTAAGAACATTTGCAACATGATTGGGAAGACGAAAACTTTATTTTCGTTGGTTTTTGTGGCCGCGAATTAGTTGACTTCGCACCGGATGTGACGTAAGTAGGAGAAAGCATGCGTTTACATAGACATAGCCAATATAATACTGAATAAATATGTTGTTATAACATTTTAGCAAATCTTCTTATAAACCTTCACTACAAATTAAAAATGGCGCAAAGTTGTACGGTTTGACGACATCGTTTGAGCCAATAATCAAATAAAACGCTAAAAAAGTAGGACTGTGTGTTTTCTTTTTACGTCACTTCGGTACGAAGAGACCTACTTCTAGTTTAAAAAGTCCATGAAGATAAAATTTTCGACCTATGACACCTTTTGCAAATGTTCTCAAAATCGATTCAACCATCTAAAGATGTTATTTCTCTGACCCTCATAAAGGCACTTCAAAATCTTCGAAGGAATCTGAATTCTAATGAAACACAAATTACTCTATATTTATTTCTAAACGTTTCGATTAACAAGTAATTAAGTAATTTACCGTGTTCGAACTTTTAGAATAATATGTTCAGCATTACTGATTGTTTATTGTTTTTTTACGGTTTCATGCCTTATGATAATACTCTCATAAAACTGCATCATTGCTTCAAACGTCGCATTTTATATGCACGCGCCTTTGTTATTTCAATTCATAATCATCCAATACGTAAATTCGTTATTTATGTTTTTCGTATATTTTGCTTGTGTTACGTGTCCTTAAAGATCCTACTAACTATAATACATGCGATAGCTGAAAAAATGTGACGTATGCAGGGCAAGCCTTCCTTTAATTTTGCATAGACTCGTATGAGAAAGTATGGATCTGATTTTGGCTACGTTTGCAGCCGATTCTGTTTTTGTTAAATTCTTTGTGTCCACACCGGAAAGAGAATTCGCATTTCTTAATTGAATTTCTTGATGTAATTTGGAATTCTCTTTATTGCGTTCGATCAATGAAAACGCTTACTTATGCGTCACTCGTTTCGAGCGTTGCGATTTGATATTTGCCTCGTTCCGTTGTTTTAAAAGTTTTACGTTATAGCGATGAACAATGGTTCCAATTCGAGAAATGTGCAATACTTTGCTATTTTTCAACGATAAATTCTTTCAGTTTCGTAACTTTCGTTTTTGGTTCTCTGTATGAGATCGTTTTCAAAAGAATGAAATGTATTATACGTGCACCATAATTGGAATTTATGGACCTTGGTCGATCTGTCTACCTGTTGGTATATTGTAGTCACTATTGTGTTAATTATGTTGAATTGAGCTGGTCTGGTGTGGTTCAAGTGTCTGCAATTATATTATCAAGTATTTTCGTTAATTTTTATTGAGAAACTGTTGAAAAGAACGTGGTTTTGTTGTCTTTGTGATACAACGCTCATTATCTACGTTTATTTATAGTTTGTTTATTGCATATGTAACTAAACAACCCCGGTAAAACTCGCAGGTTACCACAAGTTTATCTAAATATACGCCATCTCATGTGGCTCGAGGAATTTTTCGTTGGCGTCTTTTAGCGGGTGGTAAATATGTCGCTGTGATGATAGTTATGGAGATTGAGGTACATTTGAGTACGAAACAAAGCCCTTTGCGTGATTCAGCAAAGTCGAATTGTCTGTTTTTTCATGCAATGTGTTTGTCAACGAGTCGATTTTTCATGAGGTCATATGAAATGCGGAATTTTGGGGTGAATTTTTTCGTAATTATGCAAGTATGTATGCGTTCTCGGATCGTTAAATTGTATATATAGAAGTTAATTGTGATGAAAGTGAACGAGAAAGTCTTCTTACAGGAATGCTAAAATCCCTGGCTCATATGATAGCGTTGTTGAAATATGTTGCGATGTGGTGGGGCAGTCGCAATAAATATGAATGTGGAAGTAGAGTTTGTTGCAAAAAAATACATTTCTCTAAAGCGAAAGTTAATTATTAACTCTGGAACATTCTGCGAACCACTCACACTATAATTGCTCACACTATAAATACTAAACACCTGGTGGTGGAGATGTTTGTGGGTGTGGGTGACAGTGAAGCATAATTTCATAATTACATAAAGTAAATAACAAAACGTATATAATTTGATAACTGTGAATATTCTTTTATTACATCCCCTGATGAGTGAGCAATCACGAAACAGGCTTGTCGGGATAAAATTGTAGTTGTCTTTACTTTTTTCTTCACCAAATATATATATATATATATTTATCCTCAATTCTTTTCCAGGATTCTTTGCAATGCAGTTGTTTTTACTTAATTTGGTTGACTCTGTTTTTACTTCTACTCGAGATTACATGGTGCACCGCGTCCAATTCAAGCCATTTTCACTCTGTAAATGTTCGGGGAGGGGTGTGCATTCCTGGGTATGATTTTGTGAAATCTTACGTTTACAACATCTGCTTGATGAATTTGCGTGTGATCGAAATTTGAAGACATTGAATTTATTTATAATGAGAAGTTTTGAAACCCCCGTATCTCTTATATACTTTGTTTTGTGTTCTCATCTGGAATGATCTAATGTTGAAACCTTGAGTCTTCATATACTTCAGTCCAGTGTTTTCGTTTGGAGTGATTCGATGGTAAATTTGGAGTTTCTATGTAGTCCAGTGTAGTGATCAGTCTTTATCAGCAGGGATCTGATGTTTAAACCTCAGTACACGATTACTCTAGTCTTGTGTTTTCATTAGGAGTGATTTGATGTTGAAACTTCAGCACTTAATTACTCTAGTCTATTTTTTTCATTGGAATGACTTCGTGTTGAAGTTTGATGTCTTAATCAGAAATGGTCGGATCTCAAAACTTGAGCCCTCTATACTCCAGTCTCGTGTCTTCATCAGAAGTATCTGATTTTGAAACTTGGTAGTGTAGAGTCTTCATGAGTGATATGATGTTGAAACCCGAGTCTTTATAGATTTACGATTGCGCGAAAATTGCTTTAACAATTTTTAATAATCGCCAATGGCTATATGAACCGATAAATTAAATCATTTCCTTTGTTGATCGTGGTAGGGAAACCATCAACTTTTTATGTTTATTGTTTGCTGGTATCAAACAGCTGTCACGCAGCAAGAAAATCGATTTATTTATTGGTTTGGCACAGCGCGTTTTGTATACATCTCCACGGCATACAATAGTTATGCAATTTCTTTGTCTCTAGTGCACGCAATCTAGATTCACTGGAGTTTCGTTCAGGCTCATTTGATTTGGCTTGCTGTTTTCTTGTTACTTAGAATTTGATTAAGTTATAAATTTCGCAATTTTGTGTCTTCTACAAGTCGACTATTCCAAGAGCTAGCTAATTTATTATTCTCACCATAGGTCGTCTACCTTTTGTCTGATTGAGTCTTTTTGGTTAATTCTTTAAGTATGTCGTACTCTTTTCCTGAGAGAGTAAAATGTAGTTAAATGGGAAAATATGGCTATGTGTAATTTGCTAGAATATTGCCGATTTTTTGCGGGAGCCCGAATTGGGATGATTATTGGTGTCTTGAAGACTAGACCCTTAACTGTGTGTGTGTTCTAAGTCTTTAGAATTGATACCTGTTACAACCCTAGACTTTAATTTGTGCTTTTTTCATTTAAAGTCTCAGATGTGAGAGCTACGGAAGTTGTTTTCCAAAACTTAACTCGGCGTTCTTCAACATGATTTAATTTCCATTTCACTCCAATTTAAGATAATCTGCTCTCTTGTTTTCGCATGCTTAAGGTTTTGTTCAGAGAGAATCAACTTGCTGTATGACTAAGTAAACAACTAACTTTATTAAACAATTTGCAGCCAGCACGTGCTCTTAAACGATAGCCATGCTTATGTATACACATTCTCGTGGCCGTGTTTGTGTTTACAAACACAAAATCTAAACAAATAACTGGACTGACGGTCAGTTTGAAGAGATTCCTATGACGATTGACGTATTACACACGTCAATATGCGGTCAATTTGTCCATATGGATACATAGGATTTCAACCCAGCTTTACTCCATGTTTACCACCATTAACCCTGCTCCACCCCTCCAAAGATTATTGGGCATGATTTTTGTTGTCTCTGCAGTATCTCCCCTTCCTTAAAGAGGAATGGGTTGTCAACACAACAAAGCGTTGAGGATATAATGTTATGTTAGGGTGGTTTGAGAACCATCGGGAAATCGACAATTTCATGAGGTTCTCGGTCAAAATGAAAGTTATCACAACTCAAGCTCATATAGGAGTTGTATAATGACGTTTATTGCGAGTCATCAACAGGATAGTGCACATTGTCTAATAGTTTGAGGACTATTATAGACACCTCAATTGGCGTATAAAATGTACATGATATAAATTTATTTTGTATTTATTATCTATATTGCATGGATTTCATGGGTTTGGCTCGGATTGTTTCCTTTCACAAATCATTTCTATGTTATTTACATCATCGAATGAAGTTAACATATAAGCAGAGCTTCCTTTTTAGTTCGAAGTTTAGTTGTCATGCGTTGACCTTAAGTAGGTGAACAGAGTCCTTTTAGATATTTTTTGTCGTTCGTTTGACATACATTATGCTTCGTGAGCTTTCTAATACGTTGCTCCATTTCATAGTTTGACATCGTTTAACCCTGTGCGGTGATATACAACAACATTAAAAGTCATTTTGATTTCGTTCATGAAGAAAAAATTATTTAGATGATTGCTCTGATACTACGTGTAACATCAACAGAACTGTAGCACTTGTCTTCTCAATCATGTAGATCGTTATTGCTCTCTTATATCTCATAAGCTAAGCCAGGAGCGAGACTTAAACTGCCTCATGGTGGTCCTATTATCCGAATACCTTCCACGTTCTCTCTGTAAGCCGGCATAATCCCTTTTTGCAGATAATTTAGTAAATGGAAAACATGACTTATTACGATGATATCGCCGAGTAATTGGATGTTTTATTACAAAAAGAATTTAAAAATTATGGGAAGATTACAATCTTACTCATTGACGGCAAGATTATCGTTTGTAAACGTTAGCATTAACGCTGATATGAATCTTTTCATTTAGTTTCGTTTTGTGTTTTGATTCCTTATAGTATGGTGTTCGTTTATTTTTTTGTGGTTACTGTGTATTTTATAATACGAATTAGAAGTTCAGCATCCACTGCTATAATTCCATCTGAGATCGTTAAAAAGTCAGTTAAATACAGCTTGTTCCATCAGCTTCTCCGTACAAATATATCGAGAATCCTGCGAGAAAAGCATTTGTGGGTGGTTTGACTTCGAATGTTTTTTATTCACGAAAATTAAACGAGGATATGAAAAAGGAAAGAGAACCTTCTGACCTCCCTGTAAAATTTAAGATATTTTTGAAAACTTTGTAATCAAACACCTCGATTTTCGCTGCCACTTTACGCAGATTGACACGTTTCATTCATCTACGAATTTTTCCGCCAGTTTTTTAATTCAGGGCATTAAAATTATTTTCATAAACCTCCATGATTTTTAACTTGTTGATGAGATTAAGTCATACGTCATTGTATGGACATAATGCAAAATAAGATCTCTACCAAATCCTATATACTTACGTGGCTATTCCTTCGTTTCTCGGTGACCTACGATGGACTACCTTCCTTGCGGAAGAGCATCTTGGTGTTTTTTGGTAAATTTCCTGATTTGACTAAACTTTCAATTGTTTACCTTGTGCTCGCTTCCTGGCCAATCTTTGTCGGATTAGAATTAAGACATGATATAAACAATATTTACTTTGCAGGGGTTTCATTTGTTTGTTGTTTAAGCAGGCAGGAGCGGTGCGTTTACAACTTTAACTTCTTGGTTTACGGCCAATTTCCTGCTCTTCTGACAACATTTATTTTTTGAGAGGCAAGATACCTTGGCCAAATCACCCTATGTTTATGTTCTGCGTGTAAAAGTTTATAAACACCCGGGTGATGCTATCGATTTCGCTCATGAATGTGTCATCAGGAAAGCTCGTATTTTTCCATTGTGCAATGTTTTTTCCCGTTGTTTTAATATCGACATTAATGTGATGTAAGGACTCAGGTTACGTCTTGTGCTGTGTTGCTATCGAAAGGTAGGCATCTCTAGAGAGATGTTTTATACGTCGCATTTTACATGCGTCGAGTACATTAGAGACAAAAGAAAACGAGATAAAATTCCTCATCTTTTGTTTTGAATGCATTCGACTCATGTAAAATGCGACGTATAAGGCCCCGTTTACACTATACCGGATTGCTATCGTAGCAGGTTAAATATTCTTTGTATTATAAAGCAGTGAAATTGTTCAACGTCAGAAACACAATCAAATAGACTAAATCTATCAGCTTAATAACCTTTTAAAGCAAATGAAGATATCGTGATGAGCGAATCCGGTATAGTGTAAACGCAGCCTAAATCAGGCCATATTCTGTTTATATACTCTCTAAGAACTGCTCAGATACCGTGCTCTGCTTTTATATGGTCAATTAGAAAGAAGCCAAACTTGTTTAAAAGATGTTGAATTTATCAATGAAGACTCTAGACTGCAGTATATGTGTTCGTACGTAGTCAAGTTTCAATGTCAGATTGCTCTCGTGTATTTTTTAAGAGGGCCTTTTAAGTTTGTTTTATTTAACGACGCAAAATAACGACAGTTATAAGTTTACATGCTGTTTTACAATCATTTTTGAGTGCCAGTTTGCGTCATGCTAGTTCTAATGCGCGTTTGTTTACCTTAGTGCCTTCCGTGTTTGTTTGTGATAGCAAGTGTGCCCTGATGACAAATTTTACGTTTCTAAGGCACGCCCTTAGTTACCGCTGAACTGTGAACTTTATGCACGTTAGGAGAAGCAAAGCTGCGAATTGAAAAAATTGAAAATAAAGCATTTTTCTTTTACGCCGACTGAAGCGACCGAACTCACTAGTAAAGTTATTAAAATCAATTTTTCCTGAAATGGAAGATTTTTTAGCTCTTGCACCTCTCCACATTCTTGCTTATTTTATGGAAATCGAAGTGTGCAAATGTTAGTAATTTTTTATTCATATGGAAAGCTCATTTGAAGAGGAATGACCACAGACTGTCGAAATAAATGTACTCGAAACATGAAGATTTAGTTGTCCAACATTCGTTGTGTTGAGCTGAGAGTGCATGTTAGACGCTAAATACAAGTTATATTCTTACGTATTGGGGGAAACCGAGTGTATTAAAAGAATGTGAACCGGCATAGTGCACGAACAATGTTGCAAGTGTGGTTTTGTTGTTTTCTTGCTTCAAAAAGCAAACTTCGAGAACCTTTGGTCGCGAGCGGAAACTTCTAACAAACGTTTGCAAAGTCGATAGGTTCGTTCTGTTCGTTCTACGTTAACAGGAGCTAACCCTGGCTAGGTAGATCTCACAAGAGGAAAGTATTTGTTGTACATATGTCGTGTTGGAAGTTCATTTAAATAACAATTGCGTTCGCGTGAGATTTCGAAATATCTAAACATGATGCGACGCATTTTTGAAGCGACTCTCCGAGCGAGCTTTTTGTATATACATTGCTTTCGATTTTTTAAATATCGTGACGAGATATATACGAAATTGTGAAGTCATAGGGCGATTTTGTATTTATCACATGGCATGTGTGCGGAATGACTATTGTGCTGAGCTCCAATTTGATCTATTTTTACATCTACAAATTGCCATTGTAGTTACACGTGGCTGATTTTCGACTTCTCGATCTGAATTAAAATGCATGTTGAGCTTTGAAGAATAATAATGGAAAATTCCCCTATATCGATCTTTTCTACGAGACAGTTTGGAAATTGCTACATTATATAAGCAACGTGATTAGTTGCCTCGATTAGAACGCTAATGAAATGTACCGCGCCGTAATTTGTGACAATTGCGAAAAAAGCTATTCAGGAAATTGGATTTCGGCTTATGAGCTTACCGCTAAAGTGGCTCGCGATTCCAATTAGTTTTGATTAATTGATCATCAAACAGAAAAATGGGAACGTGTAGTTTGATGGTCAGGTCTTATCTTTCACAAATAAATGACCAGTGAAGTTTTTTACCAAATACCCGATACGATGCAGTGTCTAGATTATAGCCATTAAGCAGCACGTATTTTTGTGTGTCCTAAGATACTAATCAATATACTAATCCCTTTTCTATCTGTGAGAGTTTTGAAAAGATTTATGGCTTTTTGTGAAAGTCATAAACGCGAATTGCCAATTGACAGTACAAAAGGTGGCATAAACAGTGAATGTACGGAAATGTTAGCTATGAAGCATAAGAGCCATATTAAGCTTTTAATCTGTTTACACTTGCTGGGATTCAATGATTTTGATATGTTGAAGCGATCCGTTTTCGCATTACATATTTGATCTTCAACATTTTGATAAGTTCACTTGAACATTTTCAATTTATTCCTAAATAACAAGTAAATATAAAGTTAAAATTTGCTACGACGTTTTCTTACGATTCCAAAGGTACCACAGAAATCGGTCATTGTGTTTAAATTAAGTAACTTTTACGCCTGAAGTAGCGATTGCCTTCAATAATACCTCGAAATCTTTTCAAAACCTTGCTAATGCCGGCTACCCGGGCTCGTGTAAACAGACTTTTATTGTGATATTCATCGCCTGACCGGCATTCCCTACGATTACAGGCGATGACATTGTATTGGGCAATATAGCATGCGCTGCATTCGACTGAAGCAACGCAAATTTTAACCATTTTTAGTTTTTAACATTACTCGAGTGCTGACGTTTTGTATTGCTCTTGATTGGCATAACAACAGTTGTATTGAAACTTGAAGCGCTACAAAGTGGAAAAGTGTTGATCGCTTTCATCGGGCTGCAGTTCAATTTTCTGCCGTAGCAGTGTCAATTGTCTGTTGCTCTAATTTAATTAAGACAGCCTTATTTATCAAACACAACAATCTTAAATAATGTGTTGAGATAATTTTGCTCATGTCGCTTTTTTAGAATACCATTTACGAACAATCTTCAATGTGTGAACGCACTTGAGTGTGACCAGTTAATGATAGACTTGTTCATTGTGTGGCCGATGTTAGTAAATCAGATATTTTTTACATTTTGATGTGAGTAGCTCAAAGAAAAGTTTAAAAGAGCGCGTGATATTTATTTCGAATTGAATTAAGTTCGAGCTATGATATCAATCAATATTCATGTACAGTCTCTTGTAATCTGTGACTTGTACTGTTTATGCACTTGGGCGTGTTTAGATGTATGAATTGATATCATGCCCTTGTATTGCTCATTATGAAATCGCGATACAATCATACAAGCTAGTTAAGTACATGCTCTAAGATATTGATTGCCTTAACTATACCTCTTTTACCTCTTTACCGCAACGGTTTTGCGACGAACGATTCGAATAGATCGAACGAAAATATGAGTGCGATAAATATGTTAAAGGAAAATTGTTGATCTTCGACGCCGTTGAACAAATGAAAAACAATATTAGCGCGACAACGTTAAACAAATAAAATTTGTATACATGCACGGCCGAGTAATTTTAAGGATGATTATGAAAGGATTTTTGTCTATCGAATAGCTTAAGACCGTATATACTGATAAATTGTTACAAGTTTTGTTAGCATATTGTCAAGGGAACTTTCGTTTCCAATGAGATCAGTTTCTGATTCTTGTCACATTAAAAAGGCGGTAGAAACAATTAGGATACCACGGCTTGAAGTAGGTAGGAATCACTTAAAATCAGAATAGTTTCTCTTTAAGCAACTGAGAATGTTCGTAAAAAAACGTCGGAGGTTCTTCACATTTTCGCAAGTTTATTATTTGTTACTTTGGTGATTAATGACTTTCTTAAAATGTTTCTATTGCTGAAAAAATCGCGATTGTTGCCGATGACAATTTCAACGCCAGACTTACTTGTTGTCATTTTAAACAATAATTTAATCAATATACACATATACATGCGAACTAAAGTCATTCTTCAATACACGGGCGAATTCAGTTTATATACAATGTGCGTCGAGAAGTTCAACACCAGCAGAAGGGATCATTTATGAAAATAACATTGTAATCCTGGAGGCTGGCAAGCGCAGAGTTGATGAAAGTTGAACGCGCCTGTGAATTTTGGTAAAGTTCTCGCATTGATCTCTCCAGGCCAGAGGAACGATGGAGGTAGCGCGAAGCCATTTCGAGTCATATCCAAGTATTGAGGTCTGTCATATTGACCATTCAATGGTAGTTTTGACTGACTATCTCTGACAAAGCCAAAAGTGAACGGTGATCTTTCGGCTCCCGTAATTCCTCGCTCTTGTCTCGCGGTCGATGGAATTGAAAATGGGATGGCAGCTGTAGAAAACGCATGATAAAAGTAGTTCTCGTTTGCGCTGCCGTTGAACATGACGCTATGGTGGCAGCGAGGTCTCCGTGGCTTGCGTCGTCGCCGAAAATTACCCTTCGTAAACTCAGGTAGATCCTTGGGATGTATCATCCAGTAATGTCCTTTGCCGTTTTCGGCACGAACAGCTTTTACAAAGCAGTCGTTGCTTGAGAGGTTGTGGCGAACGCTGTTCCTCCATCCGGGGCCCTTTTCTTGATTGAAATGAGAATAATTACTTGCAATGTAGTTGTAGATAGAGCTGAGAGTCATTCGTTTTGCTGGTGAGCTCAGAATAGCTTGAGCAATTACAGCAACGAACGTCTCAGCAGTACGATTGTCTTCCTTCGTGGGTGACTTGAGGTCTTTTGAAGGCGACATTCTACTCGGAGATTCCGCGTCCTCTCTTTCGTTCTCGACTAAGCCATCATCTTCGTCATCCGTAAGCAGAACTTCGTCCTGAGGTTCTAGTTTTACTACATCCTGTAGACGAGGATTGCTGAGATACGGTGAGCTATTCGTTGTAGGTGATTGAAGGTCAGTAATCCTCGATTTTACGTCCATCGCTTTTCGTTTCTCGCCTATATTTATCCCCATTATACTGTCCACCGTGAACGACGACATCTTTTCCGTTGTACGTTAAGAAAATAGCTGTAGGGACAGAAATAGCAATTAATTTCACCACGACACGAATATGGCGAATCTCTTATAAATTTCTACCTTGACTCGCGTTTTCTCAATTGATTGAAATGATTTTATGCGCCTTGTATATGTAAATCAACCGTCCAAATCAGAAATGGTGTCACCAAAAGTTAGCGTGATCTTCACAAAATCGCATTGACATTAACTTGGCCAATTCACACGAATGACTATTTAAGCGTTTAATTTCGTGACCACAGGGGGCCAAAGATGATCCAGTGCTCTGCCAGGTGCCACGATCGATATTATGCGCGGCAAACAATGTGATTGTTCAAGTAAACATCGCCAATGCCTTATTGAATGCGTATGTCAAATTGGTTTCCGATCGCAAAAGCAAACACACAACGCTATATTTAGATTGCGTATGCTAGCTACCTGCATTAGTTGAAGCGCGCTTGAAATACATTAAAGATGGGTGTCAGCCTGCGAATCTGTGATAGCATTTTGCAACTTTAACGCGACGTGCGTATTTTGATTTGAAATTTCAAAATTGTTTTACCCCGAAAGCTTATGTCTGTATTGTTAAAACTCACTCACACTTACTGGCGTGGAGTTCATAACTAGTCGATTACGATGTTTTCATTCCATTGATGGTTTGATTTGAAAGAATTTAGCAAACTTCTAGCACAGGCTTTGAGTTCGTGATTTCATTGTGTGATTTAAGGAAAGATACTGCTGTTTTTCTTTGATTTGTGTTCGGATAGAAAAACAATGGACTAAATGTTAAACACTACACTGTACTGTATACAGTTCCAATGTTTTCATCACTTTATATTTTGCCTACAAATGCTTACAGATATTCGAAAATCGATTTGAACCCGCTTACAGTTCGGAAATTTGATGAGTTGAAATTTCCCCTTGTAAAGTTCTGCCCCACCGGACGAATTACGAATAGTTTAGAATGTATACAAAAAGAAAACGCGATATTGTTGATAAAAAAGCGGAAAAGATTTCCAAACAATGATCAATTTTCGTTTCAAAGTGCAAATGCTTATTGCGCATTCACTGTAATTTGTTCTGAAAAATCTCATTAATGATTGCCTACTCTCGTCCTTAGTCCGATCAATTGTGGCCTTAAAATTTAAAAAAAAATCGTCGCAAACAAGTTTCTTTTTGTTGTTGAGTATGACTTCACAGCTCAACAAAGAATCTGGCGCCATTCGTGCTGCAGCAGTCTAAAATAATACATCTCGTTGTTGAGATGGCGTTTAACACTGTTATTTGATAAATTTCGGCCTTATAATTTGTATCTATTCATCAAACGTTCAATTATCGCAATGTCAACATTATTATTATTGAGGACACTCCATTATATCAATCTTCTTTTTTCGAAATCGTCAGCCGGGGTTGTTCGTGTATAGCCAACTATTTACTCTGCTTGTCATTGGCGTGAAAATGGCTTGCAGTCAGCGAGACTTAATGTTTTAATGAAATTTTTGGACAAATTTATTAAACAGCCTGCGTGGTGTATAGAAGTGGGATTATTTGCTACAGTTTTTACAATGAAGGCTCTCGAATGACTGTGGAAGAAATATATGGCCGGCTTGTGTTCAATTAAACATTTCTATGTGGCGATTTTTCACTACCTTCTTTTATTGCAGGTTTTAATAAGCATTATTGGTAACTATATTTATTGTTTTGTGTTTTGTCTTCCGGTTGAAGGACGTGTCAATAAAGCATGGAAAATGAACTTATTAAGTTCTCGAGTGTTGCATATTATACTTTGTGTTGCCATTAAGTTTCTGCTCGAGTAATTGTCTACTTTTTCTTTGCAAATTGTGGCGCGTTAGAATATCAATTGTTCAATTAGTTAATCGAGCCCGTTTCAATTCCAAACGTCAGTAAAGTAAACGGGAAAATATTTTCAAATGTAGTATTGTTCTGTAGTAAAATTCACATCTCACAATTTAACTCCTAAATTTTATGTGCATGTGGAAAGCCTTTTCATATAGACTTTTCGTGTTTAGCTATCTCTTTCTTAACTTGAAACGTTAGTGTAGATGATACAGATGAGCTCGAAAACTTAAGGCTCGATCTAAAATGGCACTTTTATCAATTTAAAAGATTCAACCGTCACATTATAAGATTTTCAAAACAAGCTTTTTTCTCTTGTTAAGCGGTGTTGCTTTAATTTATACATTTCAACTGATACCACCCAATCCTTTCTGTACAAACATGCTTCATTTTCTCGAAGACTCTTAACCACATTGTTTTAATATAAAAGTTCTTTTTCAAAATGTACTCGGATATGCATGGAGCTTCTCGGGAAGTGCCCTGTGCTGCTGTCTTTTGAAATTTTAGTTTATCCGGAAGAAATTTAAATTATAGAAGATCACGAAATCTTCCGAAACGTGGAGGTCGCTCAAAATAAATTGTCTTCGCACAGGTTACATGGAGAACGAACGCAGTCGGATACCTCTGTCGACAGGAAAAATCGTGTGGCGCATAGAATTAGTTTTGGCGTGATAACTCTACAAAATGTTCCTTTTTAGGCCATTGGATTTCGCTGTTGAAATGCAAGAATTCTTTATAGTCTCGTTGTTAAAACTTAAAAAGATTACTTACAACTACTACTCGAAAACGTAGCTTGTCTAATTTAAAATGTTCGGTGTGTTTTTTTTTTACGAATGCGTTGTTTGTATTTATGTAAGGCATTTTAAGCTGTAGACTGAAGTTTTCAAACGGAGATTCCCGCTTAGCACTGCCCAAGTTGAAACATATTTGTTCACTAAACATGTTTAAACTTTGTTTGAAACTATAACGATCTTGTTTCACTCGCGTACTTTTTACGCATGCGTCTTATTCATACATTTATCCTACCGGCAGGTTTGTGCTCTATTGATTTGTAATGGAAAAAGTACGCTAGACCTTTGTGAGGGAATATAGTTTAGCTGCTGCATGAGATAATTGAAGGCGAAAATTTGTTTTTCATTTGCTGATCTAAAAATTGTATTTAAACTTTCATTTATTTACTGCTTTGACGAAGGTTGCCATGACACGTTTGGCTTGCACAACTTGTACACGGGTGTTTTTTCCGTGACAAGGCTTGATTTCGAACGATTGTAAATGTTGTGAGTGTAAAATGTGCACGCGCTTGCGCCTCATACACGTGCGGTTAGCGATAGTTTCCTTGTAGAGCTTGACACGAAAATTTTGATTATTTACAAATGACATATTTACCAACAACAATAGTTAAAATATACCAACACTTTAAAAGTACCTACCGAGCATCGATACTTTCTAACTAGCGGTTAAAAAGTATCTGCAGTTGAAAAATACCAAAGCTCAAAGGTAGTTACTCCCAATATACATGTACCAGTAGCTTTAACAGTACCTCATCAACGACAAGAAATTTGTTGCAAACGATGGTTGTTACCAAAACAGTACTACTGACTTAACTCCTGTTTAGTTTGCCCGTCAGTGTCATTTACAGTGTACTTGTGATGTGACGACTCTTTAGATTTCTCATTCCATTAGGTAGCTCTTCGTGTATTACGTTGCGAAGTTACATGACGTTCACGCGACGTTCCCCATGGTTTTCATGTCGTGTTTCCTAATTAATCTATGACTTGCACAAACATTATCTACGACGAAACCTGTTGATGAAACTCGGCAAATAATGGAACGGTTATTACCTGTTTAGATGAATGAAAATTAGTGCATCTGTGGGAGCATTCATTGCTATTATTGTGTGATCGTGTTTCTTGTCACGTTGTAGTTACATGACTTTTTACTCAATGCTAACATGAAAATACACTCTCCTTTTTCATTCACGATGATATGTGGCAAAGTTGGGGTATTAACTTTTCCGTAGTATAAACTCAACAAACATTTGCATGTTGTATTATACACATCGTATTATACAGTAGTGTATTTGTATATATATAGTACCTAATAACATATGAAACTGTACTATTCTAATGCCCATATTTTAAAAACTCATTCACATGCACACTCACTGATTGCGATATAAAAATTGCTGTCTCACTCTCTAATTAATGGAAAATACATTTCCCCGTCAATGGCAAGATTTTTCCTTAAAATGTTTCTAATCAAGGCGCCAGAGTGAAGTGAAAACGCCGTCTTCGAACAATTATGAGGTAATTATAAAGCTTCGCTCACTACGTCTGAGTGTGTGTGATCTTTTAAAATATAGAGCGGAAGTTCCTAATTGTTAACGAACTTTCAGATGGTCAGACACCTATTTAATCCTTTGCTAGAAATTAGAAATGGAGAGTTCAGATATCCCGTTCTTTGGATTGAAGAACTATTAGAAGTAATTCGCAGATTGTTCGATTCTTTACTCATAAATTTTATTGAATAAGCTGAAGTAGCTAAATACTGGCTCCAATTAAGCTATTCAAAGCTAATGCATGAGCAATTCATTCTCGTCCAAAGCTTCAATGAAGCTCCTTACTATTTTGAAGAAAAGTACACAGTTTTAAGCGATGAGCGAAAGGTGATATAAATAAGTAGGAAAGTGAGTCTTCAAAATCTCAAACGTTTGAGACCTTAATTTTATACGTGGTATTCATTGTATTGAAACGGTCATCCGTCGACCCACGTCAGTATTGAGAAAACCTTCTTGAAATCAATCGACTTTTTGAACATCTATTACGAATGCAGTCTTTCCTACGTTTCATTTGAACTTGTTTGTCTTTGTTAGTATGAACTGATCATGTGCAAGAACCACCTTCGTTTTCGCATGTACACTTTTCCCAAGCACCATACGGCTTTCCCACACACCGGAGATCTGTAATTAGTTGCGCGCGGGGAATGGAAACAACGAACGCACCTTTTTACGCTCGCAAAGTATTGGTATACAGTCCAAGACAGCATGTACACTTCGTATTCTTTTTATAACTCGTGTCTTTTTAAGTAAATATCCGTTCCCAAAGATGCCCTGCGGAAAGTACTTGATTTTCTCAGTTTGATTATGAAGCATGTTTTTCAAAAATGTAATTCTTTAGAATAGACGTGTTTAAGTGCAAAAGTGTGAAGTTCCAAAAACAGGTGAAATCCAAGTATAGTGAGAGCGTGATGAAATGTATCAAAGCATTTAAATATAATAACATAACGTGCATGGAAATTGAATGAATTAATTTGTGCATGAAACGAATTAAACAATGGCGCAGTGCTCATCTCGATCAGTTTTGTGCGATTGTTTTGGTGCTTTATATCATCAATATTTTTGCGAAAAAATATCATTTGCACACCTTTGAGTAGGCAAAGGACATTTGTTTCGATAGTGTATTAATCGTCTACAGTTTAACCATCGGTTTAACCAGCCATCGTTTTTTATGAAAGATTCGAAATAAAGATGGGAGAATTTGAACGAAAGCCTGTCGAAAACTTTTCGAATATAAGCAAATGAGCGTATATTAGGTGGTACAGACTAGTTGCGTTTTAGTTCAGTCAATTGATATGATTTGTCATCCGAGGACTCACAGAACTTAATTGGTCGATGGAGGAAGGCGTTTGCTTATGATCATTCAGAACAAGATGTAGTATTGGGTTGCGAAAAGCAACGGCCATTACAATTACATAAGCATGGTCTTCTTTGAGAAAAGTGGAATTTGTGGAGTATGCTCCTGTCAGTTAGAGAATGTTGAATGCTAAAAAATTTCGCCTTCGAGAAATTGATCTAAACCAGTTTGTTTCGAACTGACACATCCCCGCCCAAACTTCAACCACACATATTGACCTTCGTTTTGTGTGTTTATCGTTGGTTATTTGATGCAGTATATTGTTAATATCCGGCTATTTCAGTCGTCGAGTTACTCAGACAAGCCTTTGCTTTGTGAGTGAATCACTGTGTGACGGTCACGACTCTTGGCTGGAGGGCTTTGTAGATTTGAAATGACCACATTGGTCTACACCTACCGTCATAAGCAGCTGTGTCATTGCCAATGACATGTGTATATTTTTCATCAATAAACTATGCTGTGAACTCAAACTGTGAACTAATAAACGCGAAGCACGAATCATGACAACGTAAATGCTTACAATTACGAGTATATGGGTCGTAAACAAAATAAGGCGTCCATTTTATTGAATGGGTTTCGTAATGTTGGTTTATCCTTCGAATCACTGTTTCACTGTTGTATCTCGAGCAACTTTCGTTCACTGGTAACATGCATAATACGGACAGGGAGAGTTTGCATGTTTCTCAAGTTGTTTGTGTGTCTTCCAATCTTTCACAAAGTTAAGGTTCAAGTCTTTACAAAACTTATTAAAAAATATCGTCGATCTTGCACGATGAAATATTAACATGTTGTTGTTGACTCTAACCCATTTATCAGGATGTCGCACAGTTAAAGGTTGAAGTCCCATGAATTAGTCGTTCCACGTCAATTTTGTCTTTGTTTGATTTTTGTATCAATTTGGATAACATGTCTATGCAACATATATAATAAATAAATAGATCTATCAGATTCTCAATCATCTCCTGTTGTACTTTTGTCACGATTACATCATGTCACAATTTTGTAAAAGCGTTGTTGAGAAAGCATATTGGGCTCTTTAATTTGTTTTTGATATGCTGTTTGCCAAAAAAATCGTTTCCCGTCTCTTTGTAGTGAGTCACTATATGTGGTTTAAAATCAACCTGTTTGCCAAATAACTTGTTTGTGTGAGTGTTGAACTCAATGCTTCTAAGGCTAGCACATGCATGACTGAATATTTTATATGATGGATGTGCTTTTCTAAATATCTATCTGAAGTTTGCGTGTTTTAAGATACGATAGAAAATATCTGTTGTAGAATTATTAACACATCACGTTTTATCGATGAATAACCTCTAACTGCGTGCGACCGCTGTGCATTTGTTCGCGGAAGAAAGAAGACTTTCTATGTTGTAAGATATGACGGAAACTAAATGTACGTTTTTTGCTGTGGCGGACAAAGCTTGGTGATAATGTAATAATTCCGCAAATTCGCAAAGTCGATCCCGAACCCAAACCCTTATACAACCCGAACTCAAACCCTTATTCAACTAGACCGGCTGACATTTGAGATTAGGGATTAATTTCGCGTATTGTATATACAGAACACAAAATTTATAACCCGAAGCTTTGACATGGTTGCTGTAGTATATTGACTATGGTTGCAGGAAAAAGCAATTGTTCACTAAAGTTATTGAAGTTACTGTTGACGATGAGCCGGTTATCAGTTTTTCTTTATTATTTCAACAGGAAATGTCAATTGAAAAACTTTACCTGTCCAGTGTCTCGACCACGCTGGTCGCATAAAAAAATCCTTTTAGAAGCTGAATTGCGGTTTTGCGATTCATTTGTGAGGTGTTTGAATATGTTTATCGCGTGCGTCTAAATTTAGAAAAAAGCGACGCTTTTCAACCAAACAAAGCAACTGAAGACCAGTGTTGTAATTGTCTACATAACCTTGCATTTGTTATGGATACAAAATTTTTGTTAAGATTGTTAAACAATGAATTGCATTTCAACTGTACACGAGTTCGTATTTAGATACAAGATTACTTAAAACTAATTGTCGCAAAACAAACTCAATGATATATAGCTAAGTAAAAAAATGGCATAGTTTTGCTGATTTGTTTGTCAGAGACGCTTTTAAAATTAGGCTCCGAATGTTCACTAACTATATCGAATTATGCCAAAAACACATTGAGTAAATCCCTACCATCTAGATGTGTTTCGATGTTTAAATTTATCTGAACAGAAAATTTCCCTTATTGGGTATTTTGAAAATATACAAGTACAAATTAAGGATATGCTTCGTTTCAAGCGGGCTTTCGTACCATGTCAAATTGATTAATCTTTCGTACGGGTGTAATGATGAAAACCCCGTAAATCGTGTGCAATCTTAAAGCTTTTGTCTGTTTTTTATTTGCTCTGCTCTGTTGTTTCTTCACAAATTTCACCTGAAGTGTGTTATTTGTCTTATATAAACTATTTGATTTTAATCCATCCTATTTCGTGTGCATTTTCCTCAATTTATCTTTTATCATTAACATTTGTTGATTTAATTAGAAATATCATGTATTCTGTAACTTTCATGAAACGTGCAACGTGTTTCGTTGTGAGTTTTGACTGTTGTCTCGTGAAAACAAAGCCTGAAATATCGTTTTGTCGTCGGTTCGATTAAGAAATCGAGCCGATTGCCTCGCGGTACTGGCCCCTTACTTAAACATTCGGAAATGAGGAGGTGGATCAACTTGGGTATTAGAATTCACATCAAAAATAAACAAATTTGAACATAATGTAGAAATCAAATATTTTATAGGAAGGCGGTTACCGCTCCGATGTCAATGCTCATGGCCTAACATTAGGAAATTAGGTAGTTTGTAATTTTAAACACGAAGGCCAAGTGCATGCACCTTGATCCATTCTCTTGATTTCGTCTTGTCCATGACAAAGCTATTAAACTATATATAGGACAAATGGGCTTCTCTATGTAGATACGCGACATATGCTTACCACGATCAATATCAAAAACTTTTTCTCCGCCATTCTCGCTTACCAAGAGCATGGTCGGCTCAAGTGCGATTTGATTTCTTATTATGTTCTCAGTGTGACAGGAAGACTTTGCATTGAACACTTTAAATTGTTTATTGTGCCTTGATATTGATACGGACCATTCTTACCGCACGACTTTGCGGTTTGTGTCAAATCGTCATGCAATATCGAAAGAGCTTTTGTTCTTGTCTTAGTTTATTAAACGTTCTCCAATAAAAAGTTTTGAAGTATATGCTCACTAGAAGTTGGAACACACCACGATCAGTGTATAGGTCTCGAACATGTTTTTGCTTAGTGCTACACAAACAATGACAAACTTGCCACTAATATGTTTTTTTTGCATGATACAGCTACAGAGATGTTGAAAGGAAAAGGTTCATTTATGATCTAATTAGACGACTATTTTGGCATGTAAAATCACTCTTGCAGAGAACATCAACTCAGCTTTTGTTACAAGGTTAAAAAAATAATTTGTTTTGTGAATTGATTTAAAAAATCACTTTTTTTAACATTTCACGATGTCCTGCAAGCGATCGTTATCATTCTCCACAACATTACGAAACCATTATGACACGTTTACGGCCATGTGGAAGCCAAACGAGGTGTCGGAAGAGGGGAGGAGAAGCTAGATACAATATGTCGTGATCATATGGTGTTAAGTACATTGATGGTACCACGTTTTTATGAATTGAAGATACCACGTGTTTATAAAACAGTTCTGACATTCTATTCTGAAATCATATTCAAATAGTGGGCTTCGATTCCAGACGTAATGAAGATTTTTTGACGTAAATATTACAAATTACGGAAAACTTGCAATTTTAGTTGACTTTCAAGAACAATCTAGAACTTTTTCCGTGAATTGTTGGATGCTGAATAGGATGTTGATAAGAGCCCCTCCTATCCTCAAGCTATTTCTGGAGTGAAGTTTGAAGTTTGAGATTCTACTTCAAATGATAGTCTGTTTGAGTTTGAGAAACAAATGTTTACTGCAAGGATGCAGGTGCACTGTTTTCAAGCTATACTCGATTGCTAAATTTTTATGCGAGCATTAATTCATCATGAAATTCAAGGATGTTCGTAAAATATAAAATAAATGTTTTCCGGATTCACTAATGTTTGCATCATATTCGAAGTATCTTTCTTCGAGTCACTTTTGCTCCTTTAAACAAATATTTATGCAATTAAAGACCACGCTAAAAGGATTAACACTTTCATGTAAAGCCGAAACAAAGTAATTTAGAAGTGTCTGGAAGACGCCGCCACCACATTTCCTTTCCTTTGTGAATTGAAATCGTCGACGAAGAATCGGAACTATGTCTGGAGAGTTTTATTAGTTCGATTTACAGGCACTTTGTGCCCGAGAATTGATTCAATTGATCAAGATAAGCTGTACAATTTCCTCTGACAACATAGCATATCCGGAGGTAATGTTGCTTTTGCAAAGGGAATGAACGATCGAAGCGGAAAGAAGATTGTATTGAATGCACACGCAAATTATATAGTAATCCCGATTCAAACATTTAGTTGACAGACAAGATCTTCAAAGATTTTGTTTGTATTAAATAGCACTGCTGTTATAAACACCAAAGCTCTACTTGAGCTGTCAAAGATAACTCTCATATTATTTTGTCACCGAATTTTTCAATGCATTTTCACGAAAGTGAATTTCTTTTCGAAGTACAGCTTTATACCGTGCAGATTTGTTGCGTTGAGTGATTAAGTTTTAATTGACGTTTGCCATAGCATATGCGGTGAAGCATTTTGAATAAACAACAAATTTTTTGGAAATTTTTTGTGAAGCCAGCCAATAAAAATGCGTGGACTAAAATAGAATACGTCATTGGCTCATTTTCAAGAACTCGATGCTCGCCTGCAAAATTACTGTACACTTTGAAAATAATTACACAAAGTAATGTGGAGTATGTAAACTAGTAGCTAACAACAAGAGCGCAAAGGTGGTGCTGTTCACTTGTGTTCGTTTTACTTCATTATACTGTCTAAGGCGCAGAATTTCCGTTAATTCGCTTCGGAAAATATAGCATGAAGATAGAGACCTGTTAAATGGCCGGGATTAGGAAGTTTTTTAAGAAATCTGGCAGGAAAAAGGGCTTGTCTAAAGAAGACTTGCACTCGGACGCTGGCAGTGAATATGCGTTCGGTTATGTTATCGGCAAAGACAAGGACTTTCCAAAGTTGCACAAAGCCGTTTGGAACAGAGATACTGCGAAAGTAAAGCAACTATGCAAGAAATTTGATATAAACCAATTTGACAAGGAAAACAGGTGTGTATTTTCGTTCGTTTATACAAATGTTTAACATGTTTTCGTGCAATTTCAGTGGAACTTTGGCAACACAACGTCCTAAGGAACGATTTATATGGACATTATTTGTTATTTTTTGAGGACAATATTGTTTCCAGGATTTTTTTGTTGATGTCTATGTAGTTATCATAAAGTACTTCAACGAGCTGAACTGTTCAGCGTTCTCTTTTAATGAATAGTTTAGTTTCATTGGAAAAGTATTACTCTGTGGTCAATGTTGTCAAACCTAATCTCTTCTGTATCCATTCATCAATACAAACTTCCCAATAATGTTACTCATGTGTACACAAAAATCCCTGCAGTGTAACAGTGAACTGTTCAATAAAGTGCATAAATAGTGTGTCTACAAAAACTGTGCAGTGTGCACTTGAAATGGTTTGCTATAAACGTAGGAAGAATAGTAATTGAATAGGGGGTGGGCCATATTCATATATGTATAATATAATCCATGAAAAAAAATGAATTTCAAAGAAACTTCATACAGCATATGCGTATAAGTGTGAATACACCCACCCCCATAAATTATCGGTTATTCTACATCCTTGTTCTCTGTAATGCATTTAAGTATTAACACAAAAAAATCTATGCTGACATGAGTTCATACAAAATTCTTCCCAAGCTAAGATTGCATCGGGTGGTTTTTGCCAACTGTAAACCACCCATATTATTGTTGATTATTTATTGATTTTCCTGACCTTCACACTTGATTTCGATGCCAATTTTTCTTACTTGCATTTTTTGGCCACAGGACTCCCCTACACTTGGCAGCTGCTATAGGCAATGAAGAAGTCATGAAGTTTCTACTGGCAAATAAGGCAAAGACAAATCTTTGCGATAATGATGGTCGGACTGCATTGATGAAGGTATGCAACATTTATTGCTGCAGCAGATTTAGCCTGATGATAATTGTGGCTCTTTGAAGTTTTTACAATTTAATAATTTTAATCAACAGTTTACTGTGCAGTGTAATAATGAGTTTTCACTTGCAACAGTATGCAAATTAACGGTGTGCAATGTGAAATTTGCACATTGTTTTAGCTAAAATGAAAACAATTGCACATCACTTTTTTAAACGATGTGCAAAAATCAGCGGTTTTAACGAAAAACACTGTCATAAATCATATGAATTTGTTCACATTTAAAAATATTAATTTAGCAATTAGCGCTATATAATAATTAACGTAATATCGATTTGATTATGCCTCTAAAAAATTGCACTTTTGTCAAAAAAATTGCACATTGTTTTTTCTGAACTAATTCGCACACTGACTTGTGAACGTTCTTCAGAAGAACTAAATGATTAAGGCATAAGAATTATATCTCAAATTTCAATTGATTTTTGAATGTATTAAACAAACTTTTGTAGCAAATAATTTTTGGAAATCTTATGCCATAGTGAGTGCAAACAAGTGAACTATGTTACATAAATGTTGTATACTTTGTGTGAAATTTGATCAGCTATTTACAGATAATAGAGATAAGTTTACAGTTAGAAATATTTACAGGTAATTGAAATATGAAAACCAAACAATACGTAAGGACTCGAGTTTTAATATTGGATCAATCATAATGGAGTGTATAGTAATTTCATGAAATAAGCCAACTATTTTTGCCGAACCGATTTTTATCTTCATCTTCTATCCGTTTTTTGACATTAATCACTTTTTGTGAAGACACAGGAGTCAAATATATAAGAATTCAAGTTTTGAAGATCAGATCAATTTTTGTGAAGATACCAGACTGGTGTATATAAAGACTGAACATCAGATCAATTTTTGTGAAGACACCAGATTGGTGTATATAAAGACTGAACATCAGATCAATTTTTGTGAAGACACCAGACTGGTGTATATAAAGACTGAACATCAGATCAATTTTTGTGAAGACACCAGACTGGTGTATATAAAGACAGAACATCAGATCAATTTTTGTGAAGACACCAGACTGGTGTATGTAAAGACTGAACATCAGATCAATTTTTGTGAAGACACCAGACTGGAGTGTATAAAGACTGAACATCAGATCACCATGAACATAAAATACGTAGAGTGTAGCTCATAAAAATTCATTTTTTCACATAATAATCACTAATGAAAACTGTGAGCTACGTAACCTAGCTGAAATGTGACCATTCATAGGCAATCGAATGTTCCCACGAAGGTTGCATTCGCCTGCTGCTGGACAGCAATGCCGACGTGAGGGTAACGGACATCAATTCCAGCTCGACGTTGCATCTGGCAGCTGCAAACAGTCTAATTGATATCGCTGTTTTACTTCTCCGTCTGGGAATCAGTGTGAACATCACCGATAAGGTAAAATGAAATGTTTAAAAGATATTTTTGGCCACAATCATAAATAGCTTCGTAATTACATTATTAACGACCATGACTACATGGGAACTGCATGGGAACTGCAGGGATACAATTATGAATGTCGGGTAGCTGCATGGGATACAATTGTGAAATGTCTTGTAGCTGTATGTGATACAATTGTGAATTTCTGGTAGCTGCATGATATACAATTGTGAATTTTTGGTAGCTACATGGGATACAATTGTGAATTTCTGGTAGCTGCATGGGATACAATTGTGAATTTCTGGTAGCTGCATGGGATACAATTGTGAATTTCTGGTAGCTGCATGGGATGCAATTGTGAAATGTCTTGTAGCTGTATGGGATACAATTGTTAATGTCAGGTTGCTTAATGGGATACGATTGTGGATATCTGGTAGTTGCATGGGATACAATTGTGAATGTCTGATAGCTTTATGGGACAAAATTGTGAATGTCTGGTAGCTTCCTGGGACTCAATTGTGTCCCAGTAGGAACTTCCCAGGTTCCAGTTTAAAGTGTCTGTGAATTGCTACGAAAACAAGCAAAGAACATAAACTTTGTACACAGCATTGTTTTAGGGTCGTATATGGACACCGACGTTTCTATGTTTGGCCAGTATGCGAATACGTTATTTCAGGCCTAGAAGGATTTAGCGATGTTGAGTATGTAGCTCTGTGTCGGGTTATGAAAATAGAACCGTGAAATATAAGTTGACTAGCTACTGAAGCGATATGCCAAGACCAATGCAAAGATACGGAAATCCGTGCGGCTAATTTTGTTATTCATATATGCAAAGTTTATCGAAAAGAATATAATATGCTTTCGGTTTACTTATGACAAGGCATGAATTTCCCGTTATGTTTACTGTCGATACACTAATCTTATTGACCTACGCAGAAATGAAACGACCACGATCATCATTTTTTGTTTATCCAAAAACTTTTTCAGATTTAAGAACTTACTTCTTTTAATTGTTCTGTTTGCGCGGTAAAATATCCCACGAATTCGGTCGTGCTATAATGATCTCTCTACCGCTGAGGTCTATGTGGGCGATATCTCACTCTCAGCTTGTGTGTTGAAATTACTTGTTTTTGAAGGAAATTTGTGATTTCCCTTTTAGGAAGGTTTCACGCCTTTACACGTGGCCTGTTCAATTGGCCATCAAGATTTTGTTCTTTTCTTATTGAGCGAAAACGCTGACGTAAATTGTAAGGATTCCCAGGACAGGTTTGTTCTACTTAATATGTCGAGCAGCTTTTAAAAACAGAAAACTGGTAAAACTCGTCACTTTAACAGTTTACTGAATTCGGTGTAAGCGAGTTCCGAGACCTGGAGGGTAGCTAATAAATGTATCCACTTTCTAAAAATTAGAAAAATATTTTCAGTCCATTCCCCCCATCATTTATTATGATTATGTAGCCTTGTGTTGTAAATTACATATTACTGTCAGATGGAAGTATATCGAGTTTTTTGTACCAACGACTACGAACTTTTTGCTCGGATAAGGTAAGCCTGAATTTAGAAATTCGGATTTTCTGTATTGTTGCGAGATTACATAAACCATGCGTGACTGAGACACCTTCTTGAACCAATCAAAATTTTTCGTGGCTCGTTTCACGCGCGAGTCGACGATTAATGACACGTATGATGAAACACGATTTACTCACAAAATATATTGCTGCATGTGAGATTACACATTGCATCTGCTTTGATGAAAACCAAGGTCTACTTTTATTTATAATGAAGACAAGAAAGGTTTATGAAAGCAGACGTGTCATCTGAAGAGAGGTCTCTCGAAATGCATAGCGTCTTTTATGACATATTTTGATTTTCAACAGTTCTTTTAAGATCTACCAAGTCGCCATTCACCATGACAAATACGCTGTTCATAACAATATTTGAGTTTGTAACCGCAACCAGGTTAAGCGCCGCGTCTGAGTAACTTTAGTGCGGCGCGCGAAGAAAATATATAGAGTTTTTAAACTTTAAAGTTTGCGACAACCTTGTTCTGCACCATTATTGTGCCATTATTTTCATCATGTTATTTTATAGTATATCATGTAAATAGATTTTTGTCTTATTTTCTTGAGGCAATAAAAACATCTAATAAGCGCCGCTTCCGCGTAAACTCCGCATTCAAAACCGGAAGATTTAAATAAGTGCCCCGTCATTAAAGCGAACATTGACGGTAGAACAATTTCATGTAAAACTGGCTGCTGCATATTTAATTGGATAACTGGCTGCCGTTAGCCATTTCATCATTCCTAGTGGTCAAAAAAGTATTTCACTGACTGCCACTCACGTGCGTAATATGACATGCGTAATATAACATGCCTGGCGCGAAAAAATTCAATTGAGTTACTCTTCACTGTACTGTGGCTGTGTGGCCCGTTTTTTAATTTACAGTTTTAATTGTCGTTCAGTTTTTTTATTTTGTCATTGTCCACCACTGAGACCCAGACTTTCGTGTAATGATGTATGTAGAACGCCATTGATGACCGCTGCTGCCGATGGTCACGTGGATATTGTGAACATACTTCTCGAAAATTATGCTGACGTCACACTTAAGGATGTTCAGGGATGGAAAGCTGCCGATCACGCCGTCATGAACGGAATACACAGGTACATTAGTGAATTAGTGTGTTGTGTAGAATACGTGCCGAAAGATGGCAAGCTGTTTTGAGAATGATTTTTGGCTATTTCTGAATAAGGCAATAATGGCTACAACTCCAACTATTGTTGGATCTAACCATTGGAAATTCCTCGACAAGAAGCTGGCGTCTCTTTACTCTTTAGCCTCGCAGATTTCTTTAATGGAGGAAGGGGGTGGGAGTGGGCCGTGTGCCTACCCGTAAAAGGTCAAAGGTCAAAATGTTCTTGCTATATGCTTTTCTTGTCATTATAAGTATCGGTAGATTTTAAGTTCTTTTAAAACAGTTCTTCTATTTAGAAATATTTAATTGGTGTTTTAGTTGTGAAACAGTTCTTTTTGGAACTATCAGGTTATTTTGGCCATCCACCATGGCAATTGCTATTTTGAAAACAATTTTCGCGTTTTTCACCATGACAAAGTCTCTATTTCAGAGAAGATTTCGAACACGGGGTCTTCAAAACCTAAGTCAGACTCCAAGTTAATCTGTAGTTTGTAAAGTGAACAATTCCATTTCGTAATTTGCAGACAGCCAATAATACGATGTGCAAACGCTTGATTAGTTAATGACGAAATTTTTCTTGGGAAATATTTATTCTTGAAATTTGCTGCAAGGAGATGAAGTACTTTATCCAGGATATCTTGCAACTATTATTTCACTAGCTGTGCCAAAATTATCGATGATTAACTTTATCCAGGATATCTTGCAACTATTATTTCACTAGCTGTGCCAAAATTATCGATGATTAACTTTATCCAGGATATCTTGCAACTATTATTTCACTAGCTGTGCCAAAATTATCGATGATTACGAGATAAGAATCGAGAAGAAAAAAGAAACCGCGGATGTGGAAAAACAAGAGAAAAAACCGATCACCACACGCCAACAATCTTCAACTTTTACTGAAACTTTGAGATCTTCATCTCCTGTCGACGATGGCCTAAATTTCACATTTGGTGGACCTGCTGGTATGTATGGTATAATATGCAACATTGTAGTACTATTGGGATTCGTTGGTACCAATCACATTTAGTAGTAAAGATGATTGCTTGTTTCCTTGTGCCACATGGACTCATGTAATATATATATATATAGCACTCAAGAATGCTATAGCTACTATGGAGGATAGATTAGTACAACTCGCGTTGCGATATTTTGATTTCGTTTCCATGTACCCCATGTCCGAGTTGCTGTTGTCGATGTTATTTCTTTTTCGATTTTAATTTTCTTGTATTTTGTTTTATAGCTGATAAAGTGAGTAACGACGCTTTACGAAGTGAGGACAGTACAAGCAGGTTTGGTTCGCGATTTAGCATTTGTTGACTGCAGCATAACGTAAAAGCAATAGCGGCTCATAGATTGCGGCATGGACGGATTTTCGTTTATTTTACAGGGGGGCTCTAGAAATTTTAAGGGGTGAGCTGATAAATGACGTTTGACAGAGTAAGGGTGTGAGGATTTTAGGGTCCGTTGGGTAGTGCAGCGACCGAAAGCACCACAGAAAGTTGAAACATTTCTCGAGGAATGGATTCAAGATGATTTTCTAAGGAGGTGTGTGTGTGGGGGTGTGCTCTATTTTTATAAGATGTCAGTCAGTCAGTCTAGTTTTACTCGTAGGAGGGTGTTTTTATGTGATTCTAGCCTATCTTTTCATTGTGGAAAAGCTCAGTTCGACTGTACTACCAATTTGCTTTGCTGAAAATTGAGGGGTTGAAATTTTTCTTAGGGAGGTGAATAGTTTACGTATGAAGGTGAAATATGAAATTTGGTGGTGTGGCACCTCCCGAAAATCCGTCCATGGATTTGAATTGTACATAAATAATTGATGTTTCCACTACATGTAATTGCAATTACTACGGCCTTTGCAATTTTAATAAATTGTTGTGGGCGAAATCCGTTAACATTCACAAGTTTGACGGCAATTTACTTTGTCTATTAATATTGCATATGTATAAGTAAAATATTTTGTTGTTGTTAACGTCTTTGATAGAGGTTAAAACTTGTTTTTACAGCATTCCCATTCTCAGTAGCTGCTCTTAGTAAACATCAAAACTTCGTCGGTAGCAAAAAACAAACTGTCGATAGTTTCGCATTCGGCCGAAAAATGCAAGGGCTGATGTTTGCGTAATCCACCGAGATTTTGTACGGGACGTACATGAGTTCTAATGTTCTACCATTCATAAAATTGAATTGTGTCTGGATTATCTTTTATCAACAATTTTCCCTCCTTCAGCGTAGAGTTATTGATGTAATAAAGAGACCATTTAATAGTTTTCTGTTTTTATTAGACAATCTGAAGGCGACTCTTGGAAATCGGATTCTGAAGATGAAATTCCCGGAAAAAAGGTATAGGCGGCAAAAACAATCTAGTGGAATATTGTATGCATCTGCATGAAATTTTTAACGTGTTGCATGTCAAGTTGTTAACATGTTACGGCAAAATGTGTGTAAAATCGTCGACATGTTATCATGCGTGTGTTAATTGACAACATGTTGTATGCAAAGTTGTTCGCATGTTGTTTGTAAACTTGTTAACATTTATCATGTGTAACTTGTCGACATAATATTTTGTATTTATTTATTGACATGTTACGATGTGTAAAGTGATTGCCATGTTACGATGTGTAAAGTGAATGCCATGTTACGATGTGTAAAGTGGTTGACATGTTACGATGTGTAAAGCGATTGCCATGTTATGATGTGTAAAGTGAATGCCATGTTACGATGTGTAAAGCGATTGCCATGTTACGATGTGTAAAGTGGTTGACATGCTATGACGTCTTTAATTCTTACATGTTGTTACGTGTTGAAGTTGTCAACTGGTTACCATGTTTTAAGTTGTTAACATTGTACTGTGTACTTATACATTTGCATGTTTTTTTTATTTTTAAATCCATCTGTAATCCAGGGATGCATAAAATATTTTATTTTCTGGGACCACAAAGCCGGGGAAAATATTTTATGCAAGAAAACGCCTTGTGGAAATTCTCACTCAACGAATATGAATGAAATCATTTGCATCAATTACTGCTGTTTAATGCAGTAGATGAAGGAACGACTTGTAAGAACTGCAAAATGACTTTTTCTTACTTTCTTCAGACTTTCTGAGTGCTAAGACTGCTGTCAGGCACGAAGTGTACCTGTATATACCTGAAGCTTTTTCTTCCTTTCTGTTTTCCCTTTCTATGTCAATCCAGTTTTATTTTCTTTGTGGATTCTATCAATTTGTACTTTTAACCAAAATTTTTTCTGGCAGCATCAAAAATTTCTGGGACCATTAGTCCTGCGGTCCGTTATATTATGCCGCGCTGCTGTAATCCATCTTCTTTGAAATATAGGTCAGCCTGGCTGCCGCGTTTAAAAAGTTGAAAGAAGTGAATCGACATTGAGCAATGAGAGTACGTGCTAGATTTTACTGTGAAATTAATATAGAGTAGTTATGTTTCTTCTAAAAATATATACTTAATTACTGTTTCATTTCTTGCTTGTCAAAGGTCGAAGTCGTATTCCTGTTCGCAGTCCAGCGAAAGCGCAAAGCTCAGTCTCAGGTAAATTATGCAATTAGGGTTCATAAAGCGAAAATAGGATTTGCGATTAGTAGCAGAAAAGGAAATCAGTTCTATTGTTTCTCGCCATACTTTTCACTTCCGGATAAGAAGTAAAGTGAATAGCTAATTTCAACCATCATGCATTGCGTGCGTTAGTTTTTTTTAGATGGAAGTCTCTCGGTATTTCATGACGACTTGGATGATTTCACATTTCAGTTAATTTCTTGCTTCGAAAAATGGATGGTCACGCGCGCAATGCATGATGGTTGACTCCCACTCTTTTTACAACTGAATAATTTTTCTTATAGTCACTGATGACACTACATACAAATGGAAAGTTTTGGTTTACCAGTCTGCTCATGCAGAAGGAGATTTACATAAATGATGGGGGATGGGTGGAGATTATGCAAAATATTCATTCCCAGATATTATATTTTGATCGAAGACCACGCCAGTATTTGGTACCTTGTGGCAGTAGAATACATTGTTGCATCTCATTATAAGCATTTAATATTCTTCCAGTCTACCCCCCCCTAACCTGCTCTTTTTCATCTTGTAATAATGTCTCCTCTTATATAAAGTAATTGCTGACAGTGTTTTCCTGCAATTATTTTCTTGATTGCCAGTCCGTTCTATTGAGAAAGTCATCCCGACATCGATGCCAAGCAAGATTCCTCGACCTGTTTCAGCTACTCCATCAAACCGGGAGGCATTCCATCGCCCGACAAAACTTTCTCCTCACGTGATAAAAATTCAGCTCTCATCTCCCCCACATCGTTGGTGAAAAGTGGCGGATCTAGAACGCTCCCTGTGCCTCCAGAATCGAAAAATAAGTCTCCATTTGACACCAGTCCCCATTCCAAATCTCTTGACGTGTCATCCGAATCAGCGGGGACTGCTGGGGAAGTGAGTGGAAAATCAGAAAGTCAAGGTGGTGGTGAACTGCAAGAGTATTTGAAAGCCTCAGAAACTAGTGAAGTAATTGTGTTTTTACAAAGAAATTGACAAATAATATTTTATGTATGACATTGTAGTTCTTATTTATTTTTGTCTCGCTATTTTTTATTACAACAGAGTGAAAATGAAACGCCTCAGCGACAAACTGGTAAGTTTTCATCTTTCTCAATGCAAACTGTAAGCTGCAGTATCTTAGTTTCAGCATCAGGTTGTTTCTGTAGGAATCATCAGACTGGATTATGTAGGTTTCCAGCTCACAGATAACATCACTTCGGCTATATATATATATATATATATATACAAAGTGTATAACAATGTGCCCTCCCGGCTATCACCATAGTAAAATGGTGACTCCTGCACTTGGGACACAGGACGTACGGTTATATATATATATATATATACCAGATTGGATTCTGTAAGAACTCGAACTATTTTGCATCGGATCACGCCCAATAAACACAACAGGCTGAAGAAGTTATATACTCGGGTTTCAACATCATCAGATTATTCCCAGATAAAGACACTATACTGAAGAATACTACAAAAGAATACTTCAAAATCTTGTCACTTCCGATAACTTCACTAGACTACAGAGTGTAAAGACTCTAGTTTCAACATCATCACTTCTAATGAAGACACTAGACTGAGGAATATTAGAAGTAAAGTTTCAAAATGTAATCACTCCTGATAACGTCACTGGACTGTAGTGTGTGAGGACTGAAGTTTTTATACTAGATTACTCCTATTAAAGACACCACGCCGACAGGAAAAGATCATATATTTGAAATCGGATCAGTCCTCTCAAACATTAGACTACACTCGAGTATATAAGGAATCTAGTTTAGACATAAAGTTATTCCTGATAAAAACTCTCTTCTGAAGTATGTAACGATTTTTCAACATCACTTCACTCCCGATGAATGCAGTAGCCTGGAGTGTATAAGAAGCCGAATAACATCAGATCACCTCTATTGAAAACAGTGGAAAAACGCCACTCATCTTCTCGTTCGTGTTTCTATTATTCAGTTCAATCCCCGAGCTTCGTCTCACCTCGTAGTGATCAGTCAAACAGAAATCTTGCGAAAGAACTGGGTCTAAGTTTAAGCGACACTGATCTCGAAGAAAATTCAGTCATGTCCGGTGAAGTTAGCTTCGACGAGATGAACGCAAATGCTATCGGGAAACAAGAAGTACTTACCTCGACACTCAAGAACAAAGATGAAGTGAATGAAGGTAAACGTTTCGAAACGTGAAACTTAAATGAAGTGTCTCCTTGTATTTAATTCCGTCGTAGACAGGGTGAAACTTTAGTCCTGCTCAGCATTGTGGTCACCCCCCTGGTTTTTGACCTGTAATGTGAATTTGAGAACATTTTCACCATTCATATTTTTCTAAGTCCATTGTTATCACGGTGAGTGCTCAAGGAAAAGTTTAAATTGCATGATAAAATAGGTACCACCGATCCTGCTTTGTAAATTTCCCAATATTTTTGTTCATTTCGTTCAAAATCTGTTGGTTTAAAAGTGGGTTTGCACAGAAATGTTTGAATAAACGAGGGATTTCATTCCACTTGTTGTTCATTGTTCAGGGTATTGCATTCCACTTGTTGTTCAGTTTAAATGTATGAAACAGTAAAGCTATGGAGATTTAATCATCTGTGGAAGTTGTAGCTTTTATTTAAGTAGTTTTGAGTTTTCTTATATACAGTGCTGCTTTTCCCCCCTTTTCCGGAGCCCTAGCATATATAATGCTCTCACAGTTTTCATTTATGCCACTTAGTCTCCTTTTAGGAGATGAAAGGAATCCCGCTGCCTATCTTGGCCTTGACCTCGACAGTACAATCAGTTCTGTTTCGGATCCTGATATCAGTGGTTTATCAAGAGAGGATAGGAAGAAATGTGATGGTGATGGTTCAATCTCGAGTAAATTAACAGGCGTGAATGAGCAATCGACGAAGAACAAACGTGAAGGTAAGGCCTGTATTTATGCAACGGAGTTGTTAGCCACACTACATTGAATTATATAACTACTGATGAAGACATTAGAATGGAGTTTTAAAGGACTCAAGTTTCTGCATCTGATCACTTCTGATGAAGATAGTTGACTGGAAGATATGAGGATTTAGATTTCAACATCAGGTCACTTCTGATGAAGACAGTGGGAGGATTTAAGATTCAAACGAGTTTCAATTTCAACTTTGATGAAGACTCTAGACTGCACTATGTGCTCGTAAGGAGTCAAGTGTCAACATCAGCTTGCTTCTAATTAGGGTACTAGGACAAGAGTATGTAAGAGGTGAAGTTTTGACATCAGGTCACTTCAAATTTCAGTATCAGAGCACAACTGATGAAGTCCCTGCACATTATTATACGTGTAATTAAGCTTTAATATGTGATTTCGGTGGAAGACTCTAGACTACGTTTAAGTATGTAATGAGTTCAAGTTCAGCAACTCATCACCACTCATTTTTTAGATACAGATTCTAACTGGGATAGCTCTGAGGTATGTGTTTTCAGCGTTATTTCCAAATTGTGTTCAGTTTAAGATATTGACCCCCTCCATTATTTTCATCTTTTAGGACATTCCACCAATTGAAACCGAACATAAAGATGGTATGTGAGGATCGTTTTTTGATAAGTTCAGATTGCTTGATTTGCCAGACCATGACTACCTAAAGTGTTTTGTGATATCTGAATTTCTTCTTGTCCTTTTTGTCAACGTTTATCATTTGTGGTTTTAGACTTATGTTTCGTGTTAGGTATTTGATTTTCACTGATGAAACGACTTGTTTCCATTTAATGATTTCTGGACTAACTCCGCTACGAACAGTTAGAACAAACCTAGCTATGACCGATCCAACTTAAAACGAAATGTTGTATTTTGATCAACTTGATTTCCAAATCGAAAAACCATCACAGCAATCCAAAATTACCAATTGAACTGCTTTTAAGATATTTTAAGTATCGATACATGTAAGGATGGGTTGTCGTAATGTATTTTGCGTGACACTGCATCAGATTCTGTTCAACATTATTTTACAATGAACAATTTGAACTAAGTGGATGACATATTCATAGATCGTTCACATCATTTTATCACTAGCACAAATTCTGTCTGAAGGCTACCTTCATATGAACATGCCTGTGCTTTCATGGAGCTAAATCACGCAATCTAACTTATCGTCATGAATGAACTTCCTTTTGACCGTTCGTGGAAAGATTGGGACTCGTCAAATTGTTTGCTTAAATTTTGGCGGGAGGTGTTGTATTCAGTTCAGTGGTTGGGACACTAAAATCAGTCGATATTTATAAAAAAACTTCATCACTATAGTTTAACAATGTGAAAGTGTTCTTTCAAACGGCAGATCGCAGTCATTGAGTTCTTCTCTCACGATAATTTTCTTATCATTAAATATTTTGTTTTTTTAGATGCTTCTTTGAAGCCGTCAAAACACGACGTGGAGCTACAGGCTGCTGTGGAGAAACGTCGCCATGCGTTAGAAGAAGCTGAAAACTTTACGAGAAACACGCTTGATAAAGATAAAAGCTCTGCAAACGTTGACGGTGATATTGAGAGCGAAGAGACGACGGAAAGTGAGAGCGAATGGGAAAAAGAACGAGGGGATCGGAGGAAGAAAGAAGTACAACAAATCAAAGACGATGAAGCTAAAAGAAAAGCTGAAATAGAAAAGAAGAAAGACGATGAGCGGCGATTGCAAGAGGTTGAATGTCTTTTATGTTTTGTTTTTGACTCACTGATGTTGTAAAACAATATATGTGTGTGACTTGATGGTTACACACATAGGGATGCAGTTGCACAATTGGAAATGACCAGCCTGCTTTGTCCTTACTGTTTGCCTGCTATATGGGCCTACGTATCTCAAAATGAGGCCAGGCCATGGGTTCGCCGTTCATTCGTTTGACTTGGTAAATACCTACCCTCTTTTCGTTTAAGTTTTCTCAAGTATTAAAATAACATTACTTTAAAAGGTCTCTCCTAGAAGGTATATTCTTTGTTTTGCCAAATACCAAAACCGACAATATTTTTGTCCTTGTATTCGTTTAATATTAGTAAAATTCCACATAGTCCGTTTTAAAAACTTTCAAACTGTTTGGAATCTTTTCATCTCATCAGTGAATAGGCCTGTAATTGGTTATTCGTTTTACTTTAACCTATGTTAGAAAAATTAATAAATATTGCATGGTGCACTTGAGAGCAATTCTCAAGTCGTTTTACCATGTATTGAGTTTTTAGTTTGTACTTTTAACACCAATGAAAAAATAGGAAGAGGAGCGCACCAAGAGAGAAATGGAACGAGAGAGAGAGGCGCAGAAGCAAGAGGAATGGGAGCGAGAGCATCTTGAGAACGAGGCAAAGCGACAAGAGGTTTGGGAACGTGAGAAAAAGAAAGAAAGTGAACTGGCAAACTTGATAAAGAAAGAACTGCAAGAGGAGCTTGGCATTGAGGGCGACGTTGATGGATCTAGCGAAGGTGGTTTGAGTGAAATTCTTTCGGAATCTGCTGTAGATGAGGACGGGAAATCTTTAAGTGGTGAAAAGCTCGAGGAACCTTTGTTTGAAAAGCTGAATCCAACTGGAGACTTGAACAAGGTGATATTGACGAATGGCAACAATCAGGAAAATTTTTCTCGCGACCCGTCAAGTGAACCTTATGCAAAGCATAGAAATGTCGACGTTGATTAAAACAAAAGTCGATGTTGGCAGGAAACGCCAGAGGACAAACTGAAGCAACTGACGACTTCATGGATGATGAAAGTTCTAAGTGGGACACCAGTGAGGAGAATGATGGCGAAGAGGATAGTATGACGTCTACCAGGGATAGCAAGAATGAAGTACGAACTGACGATAGACAAACTGACGTGTTGTTGGTAAATGGTAATGACCGTGGTAGTGGGGAGAGTAAAGGAAGCGACAGTACATTTGATGATGACGTGAAACGTGATAAACAAGCCGAAGATGCTTTGCATGCCAAGAAAATTGCTTCCGAGATGGTTTCGAAGATAGTGTGGGTAGTTTTGTATCAGAAGGGACCAACGTGGACAGGGATGAAGTGATTTCAAAGGGGAAAGATCATGATACACATGGGACAAACGATGATGTTGGGGGGATTGTCAAGACCCCAGCTGTGGAAGAAGAGGATATACTCAAACAGCAAAAAGAAGAAGACGAGCTTCTTGAAGCGTACAAAGCTCAGCAAGAAGAAATGCTCGAGCAAGAACGTGTTATTCAAGAAGATTTGGCACAAAAGGAAGAGGAAAAATTGGAAGAATTGCGTCTGCAGCTGCAGCGAAGGCAGGAGGAGGAGCGACGAAAAATGGCCGAGCTGGATCGGCAGAGAAAAGACAGGGAGGTTGCTATGCAACGAGAACGCGAGGAATACGAGCGGGAAATGAAACTAAAACAAGAAGAGAGAAGGCGGAGGAGGATTGGAAACGAAAAGAGATGGAAAGGTTAAGAGTTGTAAAGGAAAAGGAAGATGAAAGCTTTGCAAGGTTTGCGTTCTTACATCGACTTTCATGAGTTGTTAATTTTATATTGACTTTCATGAATTTTTAATTTTATATCGACTTTCATGAGTTTATTTGTTTTTTGCTCTATTTAAGCCAGTCGTATAAATCTCACAAATGTTTTATGCAATTGACTGAGCGAAGGTTGGCCCTACCTAGCGAGATCTCGCGTGCTGTTAAAATTCCATAAAAAATCACTTTTCGTTTACATGAGCCCTACGAGGGAAGGTTGGCCCTACCTAGCGAGATCTCACGAGTTATTAAATTCCATAAAAAATCACTTTTCGTTTACATGAGAAGAGGGCCAGCACTACCAGCCGAAATCTCTGAAAATTTAATATGAGGCATCGCTAATATAAGGCAGGCGATAAGGCATCGCTTTACAGCAATTGCCACAAGAAAAGGCATCAACTTGAGCAAATAAACTAAGAAAGCGTAAAAAATCGAAAGGCGACAACTATATTGGTTTTTTTCCAGCTATTTTGTATTTGAGCGCCGAAATTCGCAGTTCAAACCGAGCTCTTGATGTAGGGCTAGAATTTTCATGTAAAAGAGAGGTAAAATATAGCCCGACAGAGAGGGCTTGCCCTTTCCGTAGGGTTCATGTAAACATCCCCTTAGTTTTTCCTAAATTTTCTAATTATATCCTTGGATGTTTTTGAAAAGCTCTCTTGCATTGATTGCTCTCAGTAATCAGTGGCATAGCCAGCCTGTAAATTTGGTAATGCTATGTAAATATTTCTTTACTCTCTCACTGTATAAACAATATATTTCTAAAGAAATGAATTACGCTAATGAAAGGAAATTATATGACAGCACGACCAAATTTGTTGGACGGCCACAGCACTGCCTGAAATAAATATATTTGTGCAATCATTATTTTGGACGTGTTTGGATGTGGGTTTTTCTGTTTTTTATTAATTTCATATTTGTTAGGTGGGTTGGGGAAATGTTTGAAGACATTTTCCACTTGCATTGTTTTCTTTTTAGATCGAAAAAGCTGCAGAGTTTACTCTCGCAGTCCGATGGAAATGCCCTCTCCTCCGATGTGGATGATTTTGCTGAAACAAGTAAGGTTTTTCAATATTTTCGCTGCCATTTTTCTCATCATTAACGCACCGTAAGCCATTTTAGAGCCTGTCGACCCATCTTTACGCTGAATTCTTTTTCGTTTTGCAGCAAAATTTATTGTGAAAAATTATATTAAATTGCATCTTTATAATTTTGCACAATATGATTGGGGACTATGACGAACACAAAAAAACTGTTCCTGAAGCCAGTTTCTCAGCGACCTGCGGAGCATTTTCATTGGAATGGTGGGCTACAGACCGCCAATTCAAAAATTTCAAAACGGCTGCAAAATTATTGAGGTTGTTAGCGATAACCCCCAGCACTCTCTCCTCCGCGATCCCTGTTTCTAAAGTGACTGCGAAGTTGGCACTTCAGTGGACGATGTAAAACTAGAGGGAACTATTCTATGACTGAATACAAGTGCCACGTAAAGGATGTGTAAAACAGCTTTAAAAAGTAAAAGATTTTAACATAATCAAGTACAAAATAACGTTTCGTAATTAACGTAAAACATCTTCTTCAAAGCGAGGGAAGAATTGATACGAAACCTTATATATGAATAAAATTCAACTAATTACAAGGTACTATAAAATACTATGGAGAAAACGTGGCATGGATAAAGAGGAGAGCAACAGACCTTCCTTGTATATAAAGAAAGGGTTCGTGTTTCAAAAATACGGAGACTTTTTTGGTTGGGTTCGTGTTTCAAAAATACGGAGACTTTTTTGGTTGAGGTGTTTTTGACTGGTAAATTTTTTGGCATCATCGAGATCTTTATGAAATCAATCACTTTACGTTACTTACCAATCTCCTCGAGTTGGCGCGGTCACAATATGCAAGCGTATTTGTACATGTCCTCCTTGAATAAACACGGATTAGCTAGAGATTGACTTGCATTAACTTTGAACACATTTCCTACAACGGAGGATAGTTGAACTTTTAATTATACCTGAGGACAAGGCATAACATTATTTAACGTGGCATTATATGTTCGTACGCAGGCAAGCCAGCTCGTAGGCAACGTTCATCTCGACTGAATATGTTTCTGCTCCTTAAGATTTAACTCATTTAAGACATTGAACTAATTGCTTCGTGCGTAAAAGTTAAATCTCTTAACAAGTAATGAAACCATGACTACGCGCCGTCCTCATCACTAAACTAATAACTTTGTGCATCTTGTCTTTGTCTTTAAAAGAGAGTTTTACTGTGCGATATTTTCTATGAAAAACTGTTGTCCAATTTTCCAAATGGTTTATTTGTTTCGTCATTTAGTTGGTAAGACGAAAGATTTAACGGCGACGAACTCTCTTGCTTATTATGTTTAGCCATATACTTATTTTTGATCTAGCTCGTTGGTATATAGCAAACTCATTGTTCATTTAAAGATGTTATATAGTGCTAATTGACTGTTGATTTTTTAATGGTTCTGTTTTTTCTCCGTGAATTTTGTTTGCGAGTGTTTGCTTTTCTGACTGCCTTTGTACATCGTTATCATAAAGCGATCTTTGTATATTTTGATGATTGTTGCAGTTTTTGTGCGTTTTTTTATGCCTTGCTTATTTTGTTATTGTTAAAAACTGTTAGGTGTTGATACTATACAATATGGTATTGATACAGTGCTGCTAGGTATTGATACTGTACTTTTAGATATTAATATGGTACAGTTAGGTATTCATACGGCAGATATAGACGAACGTTCGACACTGTACAAACTGGTGTTGATACAATCGTGTTATGTATAAATAAGGTACATTTATGTATTGATACGACAGACTACGGATAGTCATTCGTTACTTTTTACTTAAAACTGTGTATCTTGCAATGGAAAGAATTGCAAGAAAGCTCGCATAAAATAAAAAAATGTTGTTTTGTTTTTTGTTTCAGAAGCCGAACGATCTCTAACTGACAAACATCGAACCTTCGTTGAAGGTGTGGCGAACTCTGCTGTCATCGAAATTCAGAAGGCACAGAGCAGAGGTCATTTAGCCGGTCGGAGTAAAGAGATCAAACAGCGGCAACTCGAGGCGAAAGCAGATTTGGAAGCAGTGCGCTCTAGAACTACAAAGTTGAATGAACCAGTTTTGACGGCGTAAGTTCACTCACGTTGCTGTGTAAAAATTATATCATTCAGTAAGATCCCCACTTTTCCTTCGGTTAGACATCTGTCTGATAAACAATAGTAGTTAAGACTTACACTTTTCTCTCCGTTCGCCTTCTAACTTCTGAACAATAGTAGTTTAGATCCCTACTCTTCCCTCTGTTCGCCCTCTAACTACTGAACAATATTAGTTTAGATCCCCATTCTTTCCTCTGTTCGCCCTCTAACTACTGAACAATGGTAGTTTAGATTCCCTTTCTTTCCTCTGTTCGCCCTCTAACTGCTGAAGAATAATAGTTTAGATTCCCTTTCTTTCCTCTGTTCGCCCTCTAACTACTGAACAATAATAGTTTAGATTCCCTTTCTTTCCTCTGTTCGCCCTCTAACTGCTGAACAATAATAGTTTAGATTCCCTTTCTTTCCTCTGTTCGCGTCTAACTACTGAACAATAATAGTTTAGATTCTCTTTCTTTCCTCTGTTCGCGTCTAACTACTGAACAATAGTAGTTAAGATCCTCACTCTTCCCAACGTTCGCCTTCCAACTACTGAACAACAGTTGTTAAGATCCTCACTCTACCCTACGTTCGCCCTCTAACTACTGAAAAAAAGTAGTTAAGATCCTCACTCTACCCTACGTTCGCCCTCTAACTTCTGAACCACAGTAGCTAAGATCCTCAATCTCCCCTCAGTTTGCCATATCATTACTAAACAAAAGTACTCCCTTTTTTTTTCTGCGGTTTATAACATGCATATATGAATATTTGCTCCAGAAATAGTAATCCCCAGTCTTCTCTGAGTTTGCCATCTCATCACTACATGTTTCGTTAAGGTCAACCAATTTGGGAACATATTCCGCTCAGCCAAACAAAGTTTCTGTATCCACCGGAAATGAAAAAGTAAGTACGCTTACGCTCTTTTTTTGTTGGTTTCTGACGTTTGCGTGCACTGTGTTTGGCTTTATAAATCGAAATGAAAAATAAATATTTTAATCTAACTTTGCTGTCACGAATGGAAAGCTATATACTATTACGCCTTTATCGTAATCATTGTACTTAATGACACCCCGAAGTTTGTCTAAAGGTATGCCCGAAGTGTAGCTGAAATTTAAGTCTTTATTCGAGCTTTATTCCAAAATTTTACTTGGGTTGAACATTTGAGCTAAAAATTTCGAAGCTAACGTTTATCTAAAAAACGTTGTAAGGTTAAACTGTTCTTTGTTTATATTTTTGTCTGTAAAACCACGTGCAAAAAATAACATTGCACATAGAAGTAAACCAGAAACACACGTTTTTATTCTGCTTAAATTATTTTACATGTATTCTTATAATGAACATTAGAGCCCAGCTTATTGCTATAATATAAATTGCCTTTGCAAATATAATATTATTGCAATGAGCTGGGCTCTTATGTTCATTATAAGATTACGTTTCCCGCCTGGAAAATCTATCGCCACTGTCATATTGCATGTACTATAAATTACTTTGTTTACTTGTTTATTCTACAAAAATTTACTTCAACTTTCATTCTATAAACTTTACGTAGTGTCAACCTTTCATATAGTATTAGAGAAATTTAGCAAACACGACGTGTCGTCTAAGACGTCGTGAAAATGGCTTAAAAATTACGTGATATTCCCATATATGGTTGGGTCCACGCTATATTTACGCCATTTTCGCATCGTCTTAGACGATACGTCGTGTTTGCTAAATCTCTCTACTATTTGCACCTAGTGTTAAAATATTTTTTGCCAAGATTATATTTTACCCTTCATTGTATCAACTTTACGTCGAGGCAACCATTCATAGTACCATTTTTCCCACGGTGTCAACCCTTTGCAATGAAAACGCCAATCAACCCTTTGCAATGAAAACACCAACTACTACCACCAGTTTACAAAAGGTTTCTAGAAAAGTAGTAACTCTTTATATTACTAACTTTTAATGTCAATAATCCTAATGCTTTTAAATGCAACGGGCGTTTTAGCTTGTATGAAAATTGTTTTGAGTTTAAAATGATTGAAAATCTGACAGTACCAGCGCCACTCTCAATGATTCCCATTGTAATTCTATTCCTCTGTTTGATTAATTCTCTTCTCAGGCCGAACTTAACCCTCGCTTTGAAGAGAGTTCTGATTGGTCAGCATCGTCAGAAGACGAGCGTGATAGGCGAATGTCGCCCGCCAAAACTCCGCTCTCTGGTGGTGAGACTGGACTGGGTTCGAATTTGTCACCAGGACTTAGTGCTTCGCGACCGTTGCTACTGCACACTCCCCCTCTCTTATCTAGTAGTCCAGCGATCATCGATAGTAAGTGTTGTGAGCATGCGCGTAAACTGAATTGTGCACGTGATTACATTGTGGACAGGCCCCGTAACAAAATCATTTCATTTAAGAAATAAGATGTTTACTCTGTTTACACGGGCTTATGCAAACCGAGGAGACCTTCGGGAGAACTTGAGAGCAGATCAGTGCAAACCCGAGACCGAAGATCGAGAGTTCTCACAAACGTCTTCGAGGTTTGCATAAGCCAGTGGAAACACTAAAAACATCTTTTATTTCTTTTATAAAATAACAATAATGCGAAAAAGATAAACATTTTAATTTTTCCTCTAAAATGTATTCATGATCGATTTGCAAATTCTCTTTGACTAATTGTTTTGATTGATTTGATTGGTTGAGCTCAGATGTGTTTTGCATGCAAACACAGCTCTAGACCAATCAGCGCACGCGTTTCATTGTGTTTATTTTATAATTGATTATGGTGCATGATCAAAAGAAACCAATGTACTTGATAGTCTTATTGTCAAAGGGATGGTACTTATAAAATCCGTGTACTGTCTTTATATTTATTATGCATTTAGCTATATCCCGGTTATTTTGAATGTTATTTCTGTTCTTCAGACTCTCCTGCTTTAATGCAGTTAAGAAGTTCTCTTCGTGAAAACAAAAGGCAGCTGGAGAAAGCACAAGAAAAATTCACTTTAGCCGACGCAAAAGCGAAGCAATTAGAAAGTCATTCTGACGACTTACAAAGGTGATGATTAAGTCGTAAGGAGTTTTTGATTTGAGAGTGATTCTAGTGCTCTGCACCGGAGTACAGGAGGTCGGAGTTAGGCTGGAGCTTCGGATATTTTTCCTTCCGTAGCCGGAGTTTGTTCGTTTCCGGCAAAACTCCTGCAGCAGTTGTTTGTTCTGCAAAATACTGTCAGACTTCTGTAAACATATCCGAGCACAACATTTTCTATTAGAGAACGATAAGTATTGGCTAATGTTGAAAAACTTGCACGAAACATTTTATGCATGACACAACAGGACGCTGGACCGTGACTTGCAAAATTAACCAGCCACAACCAGATATTCGAGTTTTAAAATAGCCAGAGCCGGAGTTTGAAGCCAGAGTTCAGAATTGAAAAGAGGCCAGAGCTAAAAACCGGAGTTTGCACAGCACAACGTCATTCTGATTTTTTTACTCGTGCCCAAACCTTGCATACCGTGTTTTGGGCTGCAGTAATTCCTTTTTTGTACATCGCCACATTCGTTGTAATTACGCTGTCATTCATATCTTCTTTCACCCAATGTATGGTCTCGTCGGTTCTCTGTTTTCCTCATTATCTCATTTCTTAACATGTTTTACGAGCTGTTTCTCCATGTAGATTACCAATGAGATGAGTTGTTAAGCATTTTAAATGGAAATTTTATCAAGTTAATGTATCCTGAGGTACCCTGGGTCCGCTATTGAATTGGGTGTAGTTGCTATACATCTCTAACCTAACACACACATGTTCAATTTTTTTGTGCATTCTTTGATACTTTCTACTGCGCATAAATCTCCCATCTTCATTGCTCTTTTTGATATATGCTCACCCCCCCTGCAATTATTTGATGCTTATGACATTCTAACCTTCACTCCCTATAACATTCTTTACTCTGTAAATATTGTTGGCTGTTCTTTTGCGTTTGTGGTGACGTTTTGTGATCATTCTTGCAGCAAACTTGAAGAAGCTATCAATCAGAAGTCGGTTGTAGAGCGAGAGCTGTTTGAATTGAACGAGGAAAACCGTTTGCTGAAACACGAGTGTTTGAAATCCGTGGAAGATAAAAAGATAGCCGAGGCGTTGATTGGCACCGTCCGCGATCAGATGAAAAGATCAGAAGAGAAACTCACAAAGTTTGTGAAGCATTTTCAACTGACTTTTTGTTTTGAGTTTTTTGATCGGTTCAAAATAAATTTGCAACTAATCACAGCAGAGAAACAAATTGGAGTCGAGTTCAAAGACACAAGTTTCACATGTCATTACTCCTGATGAAGACCTCACTGAAGTATTTAAGGGCTTGAGTTTCGGCATCCGATTACTTCTAATGAAGACACTAGACTGAAGTATATAAGGATTTACGTTTCAACAACAGATCACTTCTGATAAGAACACTACACCAGATTATAAAAAAACTCTAGTTTTATCAGTAGATCACAACATTAGAATGAATTATATAAAGTCTTGACTTAACATCGGATCACTTCTAACAAACGCTCGTTGTTATTCTTTACCAGAGAGATGAAGTTGCGCAGAGCTGTAGAGGAAAGTGGAAAGAAGTTGGAGTCAGAGAGGGCAAATATGGAGAATGCTTTACGTCACATCGCTCAGGAAAATGAAGATATTAAAAAGTTGCTGGAACGAGAAAAGGAACAGTGCAGACTGAAGGATGAGTTATATCGAGAACAAAAAAAAAGGAACGAAGCGATTTTATTAGAATCACAAAAGGTATTCGCTTTTTTGCTGTATTGTGCTTCTATTTTACTCAGCTCTTAACATTATTCTTCATTCTATTCTATTTTACTTCTTTTTATCCCCTCTACTTTCGTTTAACTATCTCGACTTGATTCCCTTGCCTTACTTCATTTTTTTATCATTCCACTATCCTCCAATAAACTCTATTCTTCTTTTTTCTATTGTATTCTATTCTAGCTTTTCTGCTCCTATCTAGTTGCTATTATCATTATTATTCTACATTTGCTCTCTTTACTCATTAAACTTTTACTTATTCCTTACTGCTCTTTCTACTCTTACTGTACTGCATCGTGGCCTACTTCACTTTACCTTTTACTATTTTACTATAATTGCACTCATTTACTTTTTACTCATTGAAATTATTCTGCTCTAGTGTACTCTTCTGTGTTCTACTCTGATATATTTCACTTTCCTGTTATAAAGCCTGATCTATCACTGTAGGTATCTCAAAATCGGTCTGAAATGTTGGCAAGGCTGGAGAATGCCGATGAAGATCGCAAGAGCGTTGAAGCAAGCTCAGAGTCTTTCAAAGAACAATTGATACATGCGAAGGTATTCGTTAATCACTTCTTTAAAAACTATTTATGTACTTTAAAAATATCACTTCGTGAAAACCTGATGAAGTAGTACCCTAGCAATGATTTCTACTTTATTTTATCTTAAGGGTGAAATAGGAAGACTTACATCGCAGCTGGAAAGTCTTTCAAAAGCTTCACAAAACGAGCTGGAGCTTTTCAAAAACCAACTTCATCAACAAAATGAAAGAAACGTAAGTTTAGTATTTGTGGAATCGTAATGCGCATGTGCAGTTTCACGTTGGGAATATCGATTGCTGATCACGTATTTTGTGTAGAGACGTCTGGAAGAAAGTCTGACTCGTGTTCGTTCAGACTACGACTCTCAGATGACGCAGATGCAATCAGCCAACTTTGAACAACAGAATAAACTCGAGTCTGAAATGTCCAATAGACATAGCTTGCAGTCTGAGGTAATTTACCTTTGGTTGTTATTTGTCAATTTTATACATCATCATAGATCGTTAACAGATAATCGCGAATTATTGTCATTATAATTATTGCCAGATTTTTTATGTCATCATTTTGAATTATGTCTGATCATCACAATCCCTAACGGATGGAATTTCAAGAGAAATTCTCTCTGACATTTTGATATTCACGAGTTATCATTTTGTTAATTTTTACTGATGATCATCATCAGTAGTCATCACTGTTATTAATCATCATTGATCCTCATCATTGATCATCATCATTCATTGTCAATGATCATCATCATTCATCATCATTCATCGTCATTGATCATCATCATTGATCATCATCATTCATCATCATCATCATATCATCATCATCATCATTCATCATCGTCATTCATCATCATTCATCATTCATCATCATTCATCATCATTTTCATCATTCATCATCATCATTCATCATGTCATTCATCATCATTATTTATCATCATTCATAAATTTATCATCATCATCATCATCATTCATCATCATCATTGATCATCATTGATATCATCATCATTCATCATCATCATTCATCATCATCATCATCATCATCATTTCATCATTCATCATTCATCATCATCATTCATCATCATCATCATCATCGTTCATCATTCATCATAGTCACTTTTTATTACCATCATTGATGATTATCAATATTGGTCATCGTTATTTATCACCAAAATCATACATTTTAATCCGTAACCACAAATACTATTACCATGTATTTACATTATCCATTTATCCAATTTTCATCATTTTTAAAGTGATCATTATCATCATTGTTATTGATATGGGCATCACTGTCGGTTATCATTATCTATTGCCATTTACATAATCCTTGACCAGACGAAAATTTCGTAAGATATAAAATAAAACATAATCCGAAAAAGGACATCTTGTAAACTTAAATTCAAGTTATTAAACACGACAATTAAAAGTGCAATATTTCGGTTTTATTTCAAAACCATCATCAGACAAAATGGTACATTTACAATTTCATCATACTGATGATGGTTTTGAAATAAAATCGAAATATTACACTTTCAATTGTCGTGTTTAATAACTTGAATTTAAGTTTACAAGATGACCTTTTTCGGATGACGTTTTATTTTATAGCCATTTACCCTAACCATAAATGTCCCTACGATTGTAATCATGCATTCATTCAGTGATCACCATCAACTTCTCTTGCTGTACGATGCTTTTAAGGTGATGTTATTGAGAAGTAAACTCGAGAACACGGAAAACGAGCGCGAGGAGGCACACAAAACCAGAATGGATGCAGAAAGGTAAAGTCGTGTCGATTTATTGAATTTTGTGTTACAGTAATATAAGTTCCATTCGTTACACGTTGATTCGTGGATTTCTTTTCACTTTTGCATCTATACGTGAATATATTAAAATTACGTAGTCCTTCAACAGTCAGATAACATACTCGAGCTTTGATCAGCATATGTCTATTATCCTAGGACTGGTTGCACGGAACCGTGTTATCTTTGAATTAAATATTCTATTGTTTGTTTGATATAGATTGCAGCCTTTTGCATTTCAGGACATTTATATGAGATCGTAGCAGGGCTTCGTGCAATCTATCATTTTAATGAAATCGAAATTTGTACCGTAAAAATTTGTGTATGTTTGCAAAATATCAGCGTGGATGAAGGAATACGTTTTGGTTATTGCACATTTATATATACAGTCGAACCTTTTCTCACGAACACCTATCATAAGCGGATATTTTATACAATCAGACACATGGATGTACGCCCACGGTGGTCCTATGCAGGGCGGATTATCCAGTATACTAATGGCTGATTTCCATTCAGTTCAAATTGACGCGCGATCAACTTTTTGCGATCAGTCTCTTTTGATTTGTGTGCAGTAGTTTGAAACTGTTTCGGTCGAGAACTTACAATTGAAAAGAAATGATTTAAAAAAGTCGATCGCGCAGCAATTTGCACTGAATGGAAATCAGCCTTAAGTGGGCTTAAACGTACAGGCCCGGGCTTTCGAGAGGCACCTTGTATCTGGACATAATTAGGATTTGGACGTTTTTGCTATTCTGGGGTAGCTAAATGTGATCATTAAATCTGTTGAAAACCTTACGAGCAATTGAATGCAGAGAAAAATGGCTTCGTACCATCTGTTGGTCAAATGCGCAATGCTCAGAACTCATGTAGCAGAACTCATGTATTGGCTTTTCCCATTTCCCTGACCATGTCAATGAATTTTGAAATTTCGTTTGAACTTTAAAATGAACTTTTCCCCACTTTTCACCTTAAGAGGTTACAAACATGAAGCCTACAGGGGCCGTAATTAGTTATCTGTCCCTAGTCCGCTTACGGAGGTTCGACTGCATATTATTTTTGTTGATATATTGATTATGGACTCTCGCGTTATAAGTAGCGCTATGCATTCTCTTGATTGATGAACAAAACCAGCTGCAATGTTTTGTGCATAATGAAACCCATCAATGTTACCAAAATACTAAACAATTATCGAAAATGTTTAAGGCAACTACACGCATCGCGCGACGAATTGTACAAGACCAAGAATTCCCTGGAGAAAGAACTTTCGTCTGTTAAGGAAGCTGGTCGAATGACGACATTGAAACTGAACACCGCTGACAATAAGATATCGTCATTAGAAGCCGAGGTATTAAATTCCGCCTACATGACCTGACATAACTGCTTTTTTGAGACATAACCATGAGAGCATATAAATTGGTTTGCCAAGATGTTTAGTCAATCTTAAAAGACGTCATATGATTGGCTTGACAAAAAAGCCTTAGGCGAGTCATCAGTGAATAAGCCAATACTGTTACAGCGGTTTTGCCATTCGTTATTGTGTACGTCATGTCTCCATGGAGTTTTGGGGCTTTTAGAAAAGTTCTTTACCACTGACGTTTTTCAAAACAGCATTTTTTAAAATTTTGTGAACATTGAATCTTAGAATTTTGCGTTTTGTTTTCCTGTATTTTTAGTTACAAACAGCAAACGTAATGTTGGCGGAGAGGACTAGTCAAATGACGATGAACATGCATGATATTGAGAGCAAGAGGTCGTCCATCGGTAAACTTGAGGCAGACTTAAGGGAAGAGAAGGTGATTGGAGCATTTGTCTGGCAACGGCTTCGTCACCAACATTTGTCTTACAACGTTCCCATCATCAACATATACATGACAACGTTCCCATCATCAACATATACATGACAACGTTCCCATCATCAACATTTACATGACAACGTTCCCATCATCAACATATACATGACAACGTTCCCATCATCAACATTTACATGACAACGTTCCCATCATCAACATATACATGACAACGTTCCCATCATCAACATTTACATAACAACGTTCCCATCATCAACATTTACATGACAACGTTCCCATCATCAACATTTACATAACAACGTTCCCATCATCAACATATACATGACAACGTTCCCATCATCAACATTTACATGACAACGTTCCCATCATCAACATTTACTTGGCAAAGCCTCTCTTATTATATATCGCAACCTTCGTTAATTAATTTTGCATTTCTTTGCAGGACAAGAACTCTCGAATTACTGCACGACTTGAAACTGCCACATACAAGTATGAAGCTTTTATGTACATATTTATATCTGTAAGCTGGCTATTAGTTCTAGGCTGTCATCGTGATAGCTGACATACTTGATTCAAATCCTTCTATATGATAAGTATATGGTATTTGCTTTTTGTGTAATCGCCATACACCATACAGTCTCTGCAGGAAACATAAGCAACTGCCTCTCGGGGTATGGATTGTTTATCTTTTTCGTGACGGTGGTCGCCTTAAGGCTGTTTCAAACGTCGAACTTCACATGCGCCGAACGCATTAAAAACAAAAGAAAATAAGCTGAACTTCCTCATTTTCTTCTGTTTTAAATGCGTTCGAATCATGTAAAGTTCGACGTTTTAACTAGACCTTTAGGCGTTTTAACTTTCCTCAAGTACACAAAACTCACCTTGCATTGGTTAGATTGGCTAGAAAATTTTACTGAATGTATGCATCTTACTAATGTTATGAGTACAAGTATTATCCAGAGATGGAATTGCAGACATAATACAACCATTTAAAGGACTTTGATGCGATGTTATTAGTTCAAATAAACGCCGCTCTTGAATATACGCACCACAAACAAGAAGTGCCATTAAAAAACACCCACTGACATTTTTCACCTTTGTCCGCCTAGAATAAAAGATTTGGAGAACGAGGAAAGCAATCTCCGTCGTCAATTGGACTTCGCCATGGAAAAGGTTCGAAGGCAGGAAGAAAACTCGCAGGAAACAGAGGTATTTTTCTCGTGAACTGTGCCATCTTCCCGAATTAGTCGAACTGATTGTCGTGGATGTGAAGCAGTTATGGAGTTTTCTTTTTCAGAAAAAACTTAATTCAACAATTTCTGAAATGAAAACGGACTATGAAAAGGTAGCTGTGTGTTAGGAAAATGTTTTTTTACAATTGCCTTAATTACAAATATATTAATCAAGTATACGTTTCACTGGACATAGTTTGTTCGAGAATTCTTCTAAGTTCAAACAATTTAAGCAAACTGAACGAAACAGTTCATTGAAAGATACTAGAGGCTGTAGCTTTTTCTCCAGCCCACTTGCTAGGAACATGGTAGCAAGGAACATTTTCCTTTGAATTTACAACTTTGACTACACATTCAGATAATAAGCTTGACTGTGCGCAACTGAAGTAGGGGCTCAGGATACGCCGAAGAATGAGGTCAGCGCTCAATAAACATCAAAGGAATTCCTTGTTGGCGGAGCACGAGTGCAACATTATTGCAACTTATAATCTTTAATTGACGGCTTTAGAAATTTGTACACTGAGCTGATAGTTGATATTGTTCTTGCTTTTTACAAAGCCTTTTTTTCTTGAAAGATAACGTCTCTGTTTTGACTTAGACAAAAGGAAAGGTTAGCGAGAACGAACAACGCCTAGCAGGCGCCGTCGAAAAATATAAAGAGGAAATGAAACAGAATTTCCAGAAATTACAAGAAAAAGATGAATATGCACGACTGTTGAGCCAGGTTCTTTTTCTTGAATTTTTATTGAAAAATATTTCCTTTTCTCAAACAGGTCCAGTTTTTCAAGGTCTCCAGTGTGGTCAATATTTCTAATGCACACATTCTAATGCCATTATTGTATAAGCTTACTCACATTCGTAGAGCGTGGCTTCAAAATCACCTCTTAACAATTCGATGACGGTATTTTCAATCCACTGATTGTTTGTTGTGAAAATCATTGGATTGAAAATACCGTGGCTAAAAATTAGTGGACGCACGTTTTCTGTGTGACACTCGGTGAGTGTGGGGAAGATTTAAGAATACAGACGTTAATCTTCAAAATTTATACTTCTCGGCAGTTTGTGCCGAAAAATAATATCTTAAAGAATAGTCACTACTACTACTCAAAAGTAAATCGTCATGCCAGTAAATTGCTTGCGTCATTTAACATGATCGACGAACTTTGTTTCAACAGGAACTAGCTGAAACTGCTCAAAAACTCTCGTTAGCGGAATCCTCGCTGGAGATACAGAAAAAAGTAAGTGGATTTTCCAATTCGCGAGACTTTGAAATGACAGGTTCTCAATGTCATCAATCTAATGTTTACTGTTTCGTTTTCTTACAGACTCGGGATAGTTTGGAAGAAGAACGCGATCACTTGCGACAAACTCTGAGAACTTACGAAGAACAGGTAGGGATGATAGTGAAAATATGAGAGTTGTTTTTGTGAAGAACGGATGGGTGCAAAAATGGAGAAGAAAAGAGGAAGTGGTGGTGAACTTTTATGATTAGTTATTGTGAAGAATAGATAGAAGACAATGATGTAAATGAAAGGAGAGGTGATGGTGAACATGTAAGCGTAATAGTGAGTAGTGTAGCCAGCCTGCAGATTTACTCCTGCTATGTAAATTCTGAAGGATCACCATTATTCATGTCTTAAGAAATCTATTGTTCTCACGGTCAGTGAACACAAAAATATTTGCATAGCGAGAGTAAAATGTCGGAATGGCTACGCTACTGGTAATGACGAACATATGGGGGCAACTATCGGAAGAAAAGATGGAAGGCATTGAGTAATGGTCAACATGTAGGTATAATTATTGGAAAGAAAAGATGGAAGGCAATGATGGAAAGGAAAGCGGGAGTTATGGTGAACATGTGAGAGTAATAGTGAACATGTAGAGGTAAACGCATCAGCCTAGTTATCATGAAGAACATTGGTAGTGATTGAAAAGAGTGAATGAGGGTAACAATAAAACTTTGGATGTTATTGTTGGGAAAATTGGTGGCAATAGTGATTAAGAGAACAAAGTGAAGATAAACATGTGCGCCAGTGACTCAAGCGTAGACGCAAAGTAGATAAAAATGTAGGTAGGTTAAATCAGCTCGTTGGAAACTATCCCATAACTATTCGGCATTTATCAAACAAAAATCTCACAATTAAATTCAACATCAGACTTAACAGTAGTCAAGAAGCAGACACAAACATAGGTAGTTTAAAGTAGCTCGTTGTGAACTAACCCATAAAAATCTTTGGTACGTACTGTGCATACAAAAATTCACGAGTTATTAACATTGTTTCTACCTAATGAAGATTATTGCTATTATTATAAAGTAAACATGCGGGGTTACTATCGATAGGAAAGAGGAAAGGAAAATATTTGGAATTTTGTGCTTGAAAGTCTTTAGTGAAAAACAGAACTCAAATATTTGTTTTATTTTCTGTGTTTGACAAAGTAGCTTAGAAATTTGTGCTTGAAAATCTCAGATCGAAAACTGAACTCAATTATTTGTTGTTTTTTTTTGCTATGTTTGAACAAGTAGCTTCGGCCAGATAGTTAGGTTTGTGAATTCTATGGTTGCATTATAAAATCTAAGACCAAGTAGTAAATGGTAAAGCTAGCCAGACCTAAGAACAAGTGGTTACTGGTTAAGTGCATTGGCTGTATGTCCAGGTAGTAGATGGTTGTGTTAGTGAATTTTTGGACAAGGTAGTAAATGATTAAGTTAGTAAGTTTTACAAACAAGTAGTATGAAGACAGTTACGTTTGCGAGATCAGAGACCATGTAGTATGTAGATGGTAAAGTTAGCTAGTGTCAGGACATGGCAGTAGATGGTTAGGTTTTCGGTCGAGATAAGTACATTATGTAACATGCAAATAGCTGCCTGAAATTGAAGTCTAGATGTATCACATCACCATTCATTTTATAGATGACTGTCAAAATAAGCGAAAACCAATTAGTCAACGGTCATGCAACCACTCTTAAAAACGAACTTGAGCACTCTCGAAAGGTATCTGAAGAAACGAATCAACGACTGGCCACCACTGCTTACGATTTAGAAAATCTTGAGAAAATTAAGGTAAAGCTGTGCAATACTAGGATATTGGTCGTGTTTCAAATGTGGAATGCTAGGATGTTGGTAAATACTATTGTATCATACTTTGTCGTTGATGTTATATTGAGAAGTTTGTGTTAACTTATGTATTGAAGGTGTAATATTTTGGCATTGGTGATATGGTGTCTACTATTCTATGATATGTGTAATGTGTTGTTTTATCACTCATTAATAAATGTGTGTGGTGTTTATTGCTTGTGCTTCATGTAGGTTGATTTACAGGAAGATGTTGCGAAATTGAAAGGTGAACGTGTAAAATTAGAGGCAACACTTCAAGAGGAAAAGGCGAAAACAAATCTATTATTAAAGGAGATAAAGGAAAGTAATGAGGTTTGTTCTCTAGTCATTCATTTTTGTCCATCTTGTCAATCATGTTTGTCCATTTTGTCAATCATGTTTGTCCCTCTCGTCAATAATATTTGTCCCTCTAGTCAATAATATTTGTCCCTCTAGTCAATCATGTTTGTCCCTCTAGTCAATCATGTTTGTCCATCTTGTCAATCATGTTTGTCCATCTCGTCAATCATGTTTGTCCCTCTAGTCAATCATTTTTGTCCATCTCATCAATCATGTTTGTCCATCTCATCAATCATGTTTGTCCCTCTCATCAATCATGTTTGTCCCTCTCGTCAATCATGTTTGTCCCTCTCGTCAATAATATTTGTCCATCTAGTCAATCTTGTTTGTCTCGTCAATCATGTTTGTCAATCATGTTTGTCCATCTCGTCAATCATGTTTGTCCATCTCGTCAATCATTTTTGTCCATCTCGTCAATCATGTTTGTCCATCTCGTCAATCATGTTTGTCCATCTTGTCAATCATGTTTGTCCATCTCGTCAATCATGTTTGTCCCTCTCGTCAATAATGTTTGTCCATCTCGTCAATCATGTTTGTCCATCTCGTCAATCATGTTTGTCCCTATTGTCAATCATTTTTGTCCCTCTCGTCAATCAAGTTTCTTGTCTGATCAATCAAGTTTGTTTTCTTGTCAGTAAAGCTTAAAACCTTTTCTTCGGTCGCGATTCTCCTCTCATCAATCATATTTATTCTCTCGTCAGTCAACTTATTTATTTTTCCAATCAAATTTGTCCTCTTGTTAACGATATTTGTCCTTTCGTCAATCGAGTTTTGTTGGGTCATTTTTTTTGTAATTGTTTATTAAAGAATTTCATCTTGCAGCTAAACGCTGAATTACATAAAATTTACAACTGTGAAGAACGTCTTACAATTACGTAGATGTTTACATGAAAAGGAGTGAAAAAGTCAGTTTAGTTTGTCTTCTTGTCAATTATATTTGACATCTTTGTAAGGTCCTGTTTCTCATTTCATGTTTCTTCTTTCGTTATTTGTATTTGTCATCTCGTCAATCATGATTATGTTCTCCAGTGACGGATCTAGGATAGCTCAAAATAAATTATCATTATTAAAGTCTTTAGAGGTAGGAGTTGCAACATACGTGCAATTTTACAATGTCAGTTATACTATACTTACAATATTTACGTCAGTCAAATTTATTACAAAACTATTTATGTAAAGTTAAGAAATATTAAAAGGCATGTGTTTACATAGGATCGTTTTAATTGTTTTGTATTAATTTGAGCTAAAATAAACAATGTTTTTATAGAAGCTCATTTTAACTTTGACAGACTTCTTTAATGCTGTTGGCTAGAAATTCCTAAAGAATATTTCAGACTAAAATACTCCCAATAAGAGTTGCTCTAGATAAAATATTTCAAAATGGAAATATATTTTCAATAATGTATTCTGACCTACCCTGGATTTGCCACTGATGCTCTTGTCACTCAGGTTGTCCTTTCATCGATCAGATTTGTCTTCTCATTTGGCTTAATTACACTGTGTTTATATACGTTGTGTACATATCTGTTTCCTCCGGCCGGACCATTCAATGGCAAAACCAAATTACCATTGATTCCTGTGGTATGAACAATGTCAGTGGTCTTATTATGGGTTGTGAAATAATTTCTGTTGTCCTTAGAAATGGAAATGTATTTTCGACACATTTCTTCATTTTCTGTGTTTTATTTGTTACTCTTACAACAAAGGTACTTAAATATATTTGTGTTTTAGGGTCGTTCTCACCTCGAGTCTTTACTCTCGGAGATAAAATCATCCAATATAAACCTCGAAGAAAAACTTCGGGTAAAAATTCTGATTATTTTTGTTTGGATAATTCTGGATAGGAGTCGATTTTTTAATAGTTGATAAAGACACTAGGCTGGAAAATGTAGAGCTCAAGTTTCAACATCAGATCACTCGTGATGAAGACACTAAGATGGAGTATATAAAGACTCAAGTTTTATCATCAGATGACTCCTAATGACAATACTCTGACGCTTGTGGGAACACTATAAAAATAGGAAAACGACTAAAGCAAATAAGTTTTGATTTCGTCATGAAGTATTTTCTTAAAAGAACTGTTTTATTGAGTCTGTTTTATTTCCATGCTCGTAACTTTTTGCCATTAAGGTGGAGTCTATAGATAAAATACAGCTAGCCCGTGAGGCAGATGAGGCTAAGAACCTTTGGGAATCGGAGGTTCGTGCAAGGTCGAAAGTTGGAGCAAAGGTGCGAAGTCTTTTCTTTGTGTTTCTATTTGTTTTCACAGATATTTCATTTTCACCTTTGGTCTTTTAAGATTCTTGAAATGGAAGCGAAAGTTGAAGAGTGGAAAGCAGCTTTAGAAGAGGTTTAGTATTTTTCTTTGCTGTTTACTGTTTCCATATTCATCCCGATATGGTCGGTTATGATTGTTTTGAATAAATGAAATACAATACGCCATAAAAATGAAAAGTCTAAAGTAAAGAGGGAGAAATTAAGGTTTGTCTTTATTGTCTGATTCATTCAATCAGGAAACCATTCATACCAGATTAACTTTGTATTAACGTTATGAAAGCATATGTATTTCAATAAGAGGCTGATTACATGAGCCCGGGTAGCCGGGATTCAGCGAAGCATCAATTGATTTTATCAAATGGAATTGGAAACGATTCAATACTTATTATCAGATATATCTTCTTGAGAAATTTCACAATATTCTGACTTTAGAAATACGCAAACATTTAAAATGAAAACAACCAATTTGGCCTAAGTTCAGAATTACAACAGGAATGACTTTCGGCACTTTACGAGTAGTTGTAATTATTCCGCTTGAAATTTTGACTCTTTTTAATGCCTCAAAATCCTTTCACGCCTTACTGAATCTTAGTTAGCCGGGATCATGTAAACAGCACCTAAGACCTTACATCTTCGTCAGAAAAATACCCGAAATGAGAGATATTTTGTTGCGATGAGTTGCATTGCGAGTATGCAACATACAACCGACTTTTTCAACTCTCTCGGCTCCCCTGATTAGGACGTTTTATATATTTTATTTGAGTGTGACTTCTCACTAAAAACATATTCCGGATCCGTTTGTTGGAGAAATGATGGGTGTCAACCGACTAAAACTGGGGGGTTTTCAATGAAAAGCGTCATTCGTATATCTCATTTCTAATAACAAATATTAAACGATGAGTATCTGGGGCTAAGGGTCATTCTTTTCGTGCGCAATGTTTATGTTTTCATTCGTGAACTTTCGTGTGAAAATTGTAGTTAACAAAATTAAAGTTAACATCTGGAGAGTTTGATATATCACTTCAATGCTCATGTCTCGTGGCCAGTTCTTCAAGGATTTCACTCTGCTGCCTAATCTAAGTTGCGTGGTTCGGTCTAGTTCATTACCTACCCACCCCCCTTATATTGACCAACCAAGCTCGCAAAGCTTGATCCTGATCCTCATTCTTCAGCCGAGTGATCATGAATGAACCATCGAATACAAAGGTATTATATGAAAAAGGTTGATTATTGAACAATGCAACGTTTTCTCTTAGACTCTTGAATAGCATTGTTCAAATATTCTGTAAATGTCCTTTTTCAGTATCTTTCTAATTTGATGGCCTTTTAAAAGAATTTCGTGAGGTTTTAGTATGTATTGGCAGAATTCGCCTTTCGCTCGATCCCTGGACACTTTTCTACGTTTTACATCGTGTTTAGGAGAAAAAGAAAACGCGAAAAGCTTTGGAAGGTCGGAAAGTGATCAAAGGAAAGTTGGACATTTACGAGAAAAGGTCTGTCCCAGCTGCAGTCGATACGAGACTCTGCAACAGAGTTCGTGAGGTTCATTTGCTGTTTACGTTTTTACATAATCCATTTTATCAATTTATGCAGAGCAAATCAACACGAAAAGGAAGTACAGACTTTAAAGACGCAAGCTAAAACTTACAAACGTCGTTTGAAGGTGATAAAGACAAGTTTTTATCGTCGCATTTTTTATGTAGCCTTACCTTTTTTTGTTTTTTTGTTTCACATCGTTAAGTTAGACTGCTTGATGTCAACACGTTGAGTTTTGTTCTGATTAATTGTGGTCTCAAGTACCGGAGGTTGCAGTCTTATAGGACTCATTATATTCCCTTTATTTTCTTCGAGTTCTAACTAAATTTCACCATTATATAAAATATCGCCACCCAATGCATGATGGTACTTGATTGCTGTGGTTTCAACTGTGCGATCAAAGGCCGAGGAAGATTGAGAATTGGGGGGGGGGTCATATTCATAAATTCATATGTTATAATCAGTAATCGCAATTGATTTTAATAGAAATAATAAATTAGAACGTGCATGTGTGAATATTTCTCGTGTAGGATGTATTGAGTGGCGAGAAAAGCCCAACCGTTTTACAAGCTCAATTTAATCGTGATATCCAACAATATGAAGCAATGATTTCAACACTCCGTAATCAGGTATTACAGAATTATACGTCATTATGTCTTAAGATGTCTTAGTTTTTAACTCTATCAACATACTATTGTATATTGTATCTATGATTGTACATTGTTTTCATGATTGTACATTGTATCTAAGATTGTACCCTGTATTCATGACTGTACATTGAATCTATGATTGTACACTGAATTCATGATTGTACATTTTATCTATGATTGTACCCTGTATTCATGATTGTACCCTGATTCATGATTGTACATTTTATCTATGATTGTACCCTGTATTCATGATTGTACCCTGATTCATGATTGTACATTTTATCTATGATTGTACGCTGTGTTTGTGATTGTACATTGTATCCACAATTGTGCACTGTTTCCATGATTATACGCTGTATCCATAATTGTACGCTGCAACCATGACTTAGCCATTGAGGAAATTGCCAAATATGTTTTCTCGTGTTTACATCGTGCAGCTTCGTGAAGCAAACGACAAGTTACGCGAAGAAAGCGATCTTCGGATTTCTACAGAACGTAAAGGACAGCAGTTGGAAGAAGGTATTTATACGTAGGAATGGAAAATACTACGGAATCGATGATAGAAATTTAGTTTGGAGTACGTATATTCAAATCTTATATATCAGTACATTACCACATAATTTTTATTTGCAATATACGTACAACACATTTTTACTGCTTTTTCCAGACTTGGAGTTCAGCAAAGCTCATTCGAAGGTAAATATTGTTTTGATATATTTATTTTAAATAATGTCTTTATAAAAGTGGTTTCATCTATCTTTCTGTCACGTGACAAGTCAGTGTTGAATTTCTATGTTTCTGCGCTTTTGTCGTTTCTGAAGGATTTATCACGGCAAGTTCAAAAACTGCAAAGAAAGAACGGATTAATGGCGGATGAAATGCAAGAGCTTAAAGTATACCGTTGTATTATATATCTTGTGTGTCATTGCTACAACTGTGAAGTTGTTAATTTGTGTCTGACTATTAGATATATTGCCTCATAGTAAACTTATGATCTCGAGATCAGCAAACTTATGGTGACAAAATAGTAGCTATATGGTGATCTAAATAATCTACTTAAATAGCATGCGGTTTCTCAGAAAAGAATACATCAAATCAATATTATTGGTTGTTTTAAACGTTACATCAGTGCTTACTCGTTCTTTTAAACGTTAAATGTTTTATATTCAAATACTGCAGGCCTATTTTGCCGAAAATTGTGTGGAAAAGACCCAGCTTGATCAGATGAAACTCGATCTCGAGGCTAAGGTTTGTCCAAACAAGTTTTTTTTGTTTGACGTTGTAGGTTTGTCCGTGCTGATTTGTGTTTGGTATTTTTCTTTTCACTCTGCAATATATAGTCGCGTATTGAACTAAATCGGAAATTAGCCGACGTAAATACTCATTTAGAGGAACAGGTATTTTATTAAATCTCTTGGCTTTCTTGTAAACTGTCGTAGTTTTCATCTGGAGTGCGCAATATGTGGTGTTAAAAGATGTTGTGTCTCTTTATTTGCATTGTGATGATAAGGTTGACAAGACAATTTTATAATTTCAGCAGAAAATCCCAAAATATCCCACATTCCATGTTTTGTTAAAATGTGCAAATTAATAGTATCGACTTATACACATATAATACTCATAAATGTCTATTTCGATTCGAATCCGAATCATCTTCTGATCCATATCTTGTGAAATTTCTGCTGAATACAATATTGATTTACACATTGTCAATTTTCCGAATCTCCCACGTTGTATTTTGGTCTATTTTCCCATGATGCAATGCGTTACACAGTCTTACTATTTTCAACTGTACAACATCTGTGACAGGTTCTATTGTAAACCAGTTAATGGTTGGACTTTATCTATTCTTTACATTTCTACCATAGGCTTTGGCAAGAGAAGCCTTGGAGCGTTCTCGAAATGAGCAAGAAGACTTTAGGATCAAAGATTTGGAAGAAACCATTTCTAAACTTCGGGTTCGTTGATTTTTGCCATGTGCAGACAGAAATTATGACCAGTGCTGGTGTTCCTAAGTTAGTTTTTTCCAAGCTACTATGTTTGGTGTCCAAAGGTAGTGTGCTGGATATTCAAGGCTAGTATCTCGGTTGTTCTAACGAACGTGTTGCATGTTTATTCCAAGCTTGTGTGCTAGATATTCAAAGCTGGTGTGTTAGTTATTCCAAGCTAGTGTCTTAGTTACAATCTACCGTGTTTGTTAACGATAGCTAGTTTGTTGGTTATCCAAAGCTATTGTGTTTGTTTTCCAAGTCTAGTTTGATGGTTATTCAAAGCTAGTGTGGTGCTTACAAGCTAGTGTGTTGGTTAGCAAAAGCTGGCGTGTTGGCTATTCAAATGTAGTGTTTGTGTTTATTATCCAAAGCCATTGTGTTCGTTATGCAAGTTTAATATATTGGTTATCCAATGCTAGTGTATTCATTGATGGTTATTCAAAGCTGGTCTGCTGGTTGTCCAATGCTAGCGTGTTGGTTAATAGAAGCTAGTATGCTGGTTATTCAAAGCTAGTTTGCATGTTGGTTATCCATAGCAATTGTGCTTCTTATTAGAGCTTGATTCCGAGGCACACCACCATCACTACCCCTGCATACAAAATAAATTTGTAACGTGTAGGTCAGCTAGCACTACCGGGAGGGGAAGCCTGGTAGCCTTAAACCTTGCATGCAAATAATGCCTTTCTTAAAACACTTGATTTTGAAATTGCATGCTCTGTAGTTCTCGGAGGCAGTAGCTAAATATCAACATTACTTTGATAGACGGTGGGTGTTCTCTCATGAAAGGGAGAACTTCCGATACTTTATCAATATTTGCAATATTTTCTAATCGTGGCATTTCTTTTTCCTACGTTAGAAAGAGAACGACGAATACAGGTCGAGATTACATCTTCTTGAAGCTAAAAAAGACACTGTTGAAGCTGAAGCCGAGCGATTAAAGGTGGACACAGTTAGTTTATTATTGTTTATTGTTTTATATAATTTACTATTAAAGTTATACAAGCTAGTAAAGAAACAACAGAGCATTACAAGCCCGATGTCGAATATCGAGTGTTCGAACCTGCTCGAGAGCTCTTACCAACGTTCACGTGGTTTTCCTAAGCCTGTGCAAACACGAAAACGTCTTTATTGTTTTTTTAATAGCAATAATGCAAATTTGCGTTTGTTTTTCCTCAAACATGTATTCATGATCGAATTTCAAATTGATTTAATTGATTAACCAATCGGCTCGCACAGCCTAATGCAAACTCATCTTTTGATGAATTAGTGTTGCCGTTATATTGTTGCTCTTTCGTAAAGTATTTTTTTGTTTGGCGTTTATGATTGTCTCTCATCACTGATAGGATATGTACAAAACTGAAAACAAACGGAAAGAGAAATTAAACAACCTGCTTTTAGAAGAACGACAAAAATTGGCTGATTCCAATTCAATGCGGAAGTAAGGGCCGCTAACCATGCCAGTTTCTTCAGAAAAATGTAATGCTAATAATGTACTCTGTAGTACTCTAGAGAGATCCCACTCTGAAAAGATCCTCCGCAACTCCAATTCATCTCCAAGAATACCTCAAAGGACAAATATGGATCAAAAAAGTCCCGGACGCCTCCGCTCCGAGGTCTTTATGATCATGAAAGGTTTTTGATGAGCTCTCTTATAAATCTCTTATAAACCGAATTATGTTTTAGACTAAAGACCTGTTGCTGGAAAGTGTTGACAGAGAACTAAGTAAGAGTATTAAAAGACATCTCGACACAAGTAAGTAAAAAGCTTAGGATTTTAATTAAAGACTATATCAGCTCCTGATATGATACTATATCTTCGAAATTTTTGATGTATATATTTCCATTTGGTTTTTACTAATTGATTAAGTCTCGGACTCCCTGGAAATCATTCACGGGCAAGTGAAAAATCATACTACTTTCATAAAGTCTCAGTGCTTTACTGTACCTCAACTGTGAAGAGAAAGCGTAGTAAACAGAAATTTATCTAAATTATCATAAAATTTGAATGCTGTTTTTTCAACTTAATAATGTTCAGGTTAAGCTTATGCGTCTAAAGGTTGCATTCGTGCATGATAGCTGGCGTGAGTGCTATTTCTTTGTGATTTGTAATATGTTTTTGCGCTAAATTGAGGCCCGAACCATTGAACGTAACATGTAACTGGATGGCTACCATAAATATATATGTCTATAGTTGCATGAAGCCAAACTTTTCCTCCGGACGCTGCATATCTGCATACCGTAAATCCACGTTATAAGCATCTTTCTTTTGACCGTTCTTGGAAGGAATTAAAATATTTAAAATTCTGGCTTTCAATTTTAGCTGGAGGTAGCCCCCTTAGTTACGTTCAGTTAAAATAGCATCACCATGGTTACCATCAGTATGTTTTCCAGTATATGCAGTTGGTAAGTCAATTGTTTCCAGTGAAAATATCTAATCCACGTGTTTTCCCGTCACTTATTGTTGATCCCCTTGGATAATTTGTTGATCCACTTGGATAATTTTTTATCCACTTGGATAATTTTTTATCCACTTGGATAGTTGTTGATCCACTTGGATAATTGTTGATCTACTTAGATAATTGTTTATCCACTTGGATAGTTGTTGATCCACTTGGATAATTGTTGATCCACATGCATAATTGTTGATTCACTTGCATAATTGTTGATTCACTTGCATAGTCGTTGATCGAAATTTAGCTGTCCTAACTTTTATGTGTTTTTAGTTCCAGCGAACGACCCCTTAGATTGGTGGGCGAGCAAAAATTTCGATTATTCGTCATCGCCTTTGTCAACGTCAAACCGACAGTACCTGGAGACATTAAAAAGAAAATATTTTGTGTGATGATTCAATTATGGTTTTCTTCGAGCGATTTCATCTTTTCTTTCTCTTCAACTATCCAAGACTGTGTAAAAGTATGATGGGTGAAACGGGGCTTGCTTCGCTTAGAAAAGAGGTTGCCTATTTAGAAATGACATGTAGGCCAGAATAGAAAGGTATAAATAATGAAACTGAATATCCTGTGAGGTTTTCTTTCTTTCAAGCGAACGTCTCTCTCACAAATGCTATTGTTTGGTGAGCAAATGGCTGCCTTTTCATACTGTAGGTAGTTTAATACTTTGAGCACGACATTAACTGATGAACCTAAGATATTTTTCTTACCGTGCTTTGTGGCAGAAGAGAAACTTTTGTGCTGCCAAAACCTATCAGACCTGCCATGCAATATTATATTTTGTAATGTTTCCATTAATTTGAATAGAATTGTATAGTGACATTTTCGAAGAATTTTTACATTTATAAACTTAGTTATCCTTTAGCGAACATATTTGACGACGTGAAAAAGTAATGGCTATATCTCGTGGAGTCTTATTTCTCGATCACTGTTTCCATGTCAACTCACATATTTTATTTTTTCATTCAAAAAGGAAAAGTTTCAGCGACGTGTTTCAAATAGATTACATCAAGTATTTGCTACATTGGACCAATATAGTAAAACTTTTCTAAAGCGAAGCATTTTCATTAACCACGCCAGAGGGTTTTTTTCAAAGGTTCAACATCGAGGGCTCTCTATTACTACTGCTTGGGGGCTCTCTGATATAAATTACTACTACCAATACTACACATCTAATACTTCCCTCCCCTCCATAGCCAATAACCCCCCAGCTAAAATAAGAGTGACATAGCCAGATAATTTGGGTTAAGAATTCTGGATTTTGGTAAGTGGCAAATGTACAGTTATAAGGCAGAGCCAACGACCCTTTTCTACTGTGTCCGTTTGGTTCATTAGTTTAAGTTCTCGTTGTATTGAAATAATATAATTGGAATCTGAAGTTGATGGGTGATTTTGTTTCATGAAATTTTGATTGAGTTCAGAAGAAAGAAAATTTTATTGTAAAAATGTACATGCTACGGAAAACAATATCTTGTAAACTCAAAGTATGAGCTTGCGATGGTATTTTGGCTTTATTCCAAAGTCGTCACATGATAAGACAATTTTACTAGTTTGCTATCATTCTGTGTTTGATTCCATAATCTAGAAGAGGTTTTATGTATTCTATGTATAAAGCTTCAAGAAATAACAGGACATTTAGGAATTAATGTATTTGAAAGTGTGAAGAGCGCTTTGTCAGGAGTGATTTTCAATCTTTACTTAAAGTATCACTGTTGTTGAGGTTGTCAAAAAGATTGTTTGTTATTATTAGCAGACAACTGGAAGACTTTTATGAAAAGAATGAATAAAACTAGTTTGCCGCTAAAGGTTTTAGAAAAAGAAAATTTAAAATCTAAAATTCCAATCTTCCACCATGTTTTTCCAAATCCGTCACGTGGTTTGTAACGCTATGAAGAAGTAAACATGGCCGCCACTGAAGTGGAAACAATCACGAAAGACCTCAATTTAAACGAGGAATTGGAACAGTATGCGGAGGAGAAGGACGAGGAAATATCACGAAACGGTGAAGCAACGTCTTTGAAAAAGAAGAAGAAGAAAAAAAAGAAGAAAAAAGGTTTGGGCAGTTCGAATTAAAGCTTTACATTGCACGTGTGTACAAACTATGAATTCGAATCCTGTCACTTTGATGATTTAGCTGCTGATGCCGGAGTTAATGGTGAAAGTGTGAATGGAGTTGTAGGCAAAGAAGAAACAATCAGCAATCACATAATGAATGGTATTTGTTTTAAATTGATTTTTTTTTCATTTGAAGCATTGCCTATTGAATCGTTATGAGTTGAATGACGTTTTTAATTATTACGTAATCTTACAAACGGAGAGAAACGGTTTTATGAAACAATGCATGATATACCCCAGTATGAAATAGCATACATTATATGATTTACCTTTTTAATCCAATATTTTGATGACTTCATTGACTAAAGAATGTAAATGTAATGGATATTTTCTTATGAAAACCTTTATAAAGTTGGGTAACTCTCTGGTGTTGAACTTTGGCTAAGTTCATAGATTTTTGACTGCTCTTTTACCAGTCTGGAAAGTATGCTTTTTGCACACCAGATAATTTTTTTCCTATTATATTTGCCACACACCAAGCACATTTATAAATAGAGAGAGCCATCATTAAGTTTGTCATTAAAACTGAAGTCAAATACAGTCTAATGCTGTAAAGTGATGTTATTTATAGGAGAAACAAACAATTTACGAGTAAACATTCGAATATTCGAATCAACAAAGACAAAATTTCAAGTATTTCACAAACACATATATAATATTCATCATACTATTTTGGATTGCTGTTTGTGTTGCTCCATCAGCACACCAATAATTTCATTGTGCACACCGGACATCTTGTTGAAAAAGGATATACTTTCCAGACTGGCTCCTTTACTTAAATTTATCAGTTTCCCTTTCCCAACATAAATAACCTGGTATAGCCAATGCTGAAAGAAGTATTTTTACAGAACCAGTTCACTTATAAAGTGTACTAGTTGCTCAAGCAGTTTTTGAAATTGTTCAAATCCCTCTTCAGACAGTGGCTTAGGCAGCCTGCAAATTTGGTTCTGCTATGTTAATTTTTCTGTGTTCACTCACTGTAAAAACCACAGATTACTAGAAAAATGAATAATGTTTATTTGACGTTTTGGGCATATTTTCTGTGGTTCCTTAATTTCCTCCATATATGGAGTTCTTTAATGAACAATTAATTTATTATTATAGGATACTGTATTATTTTTTCCGGAAAGGGTTTATTTTCTTCTCAGGCAGTCTTGTACCTTCTTAGACAGTTGATTTTCCCAGGCAATTTTAAGCAGCATCTCTTTTGCTTTTATTGCATATTAGTGGGTAACTTGAGACAAGAGCATTTCTTTTGAATGAGATATTTTCCATGGACCATTCACAGTTAGGACTAGGTCTTACAGTCATTTCTGTTTGTACAAATATTTTTTTGCTCATGATAGTATTTTTCAAGAAGTGTGGTTTCATGTGATGTTTGTAGCTTCCTCCCATGTTCTGACACTCAACAGGGCTTACATTATTATGTTGGTTTTTTTCTCAGTGGCAAGGGGTTGAATTCAAATACTAAATTTTGAATTTTTAAAATAAATTTTTACTGTTAAGTAGCAATAAAATCTATTCTCATCATGTTTTAGGTGATGAAAATGACAAAGAAAACCATGATATTGAAGATGATGCAAAAACCACAGCCAATGAAAGTAAGAAAAAGAAAAAGAAGAAGAAGAAAAATGGAAACACAGGTTGGTATCTCTTATTTTCTTTACACGTGGAATAATGTGTTACCACTTGGTAGCATTGTTTATATATCAGTCTTTTAATAATGCTTCAACTGCTGCATAAAATTATTTATGTCATTCATTGATATCCCTACTACCATTTTATGTCGTGGTAAATATTTAATGAGATGGTATTGTTAACCATTCATAATATTCCATTTTTTATGTTATGGTTGCATGGTGTAGATCAAGCTTGTTGAGCATAGTTTATCTACACTTCAGCTCTTGTACATAGAGATATGTACTCTAATCGATAATATATTGAACATTCATTAATATTTAACCTGAAAGGTTTTGGTATTTGGCCTTTGATGGTTTTTAGTTAGAGCAGAACAAACTTCTGCTTTTTCAGCTCCAGCTCTGGCCTCTTGTCAATTCTGAACTCTGGCTTCAAACTCTGACTCCGGCTATTTTATAACTCAAATATATGCTTGTGGCTGGTTAATTAGTAAAATTTTATTTGTGAAGTTGAATTTCCGCACTCTGACTTTCAATCATAAATTAGCATGTATGAATGCAATCTCGTATCATGCTTTTTCATGCATAAAACGTTTTATTTTCATGTAAGTTCTTTAGTTATAGCTGATAGTTATCATTTGTTCACACAAAAAGTTTTTGGTTGGATACATTTATCAAAGTCTTACACTGTAGTATTTTGCACCACAAACAACTGTTCCCGGAGTTTTGCCAGGAATGAACAAACTCCAGCTCCAGGAGGCAGTAATAGCAAGTGCTCCAGTTCTACAGTGCACAGCACTACTTTTAGTTTTGATATTAGTATAGAATTTGGTTATGTGGTGACTTCATATCAAATATATGTAAACAACATGAAGTGTAGGATTCTCATGTAGTTCTGTATAGTTATATAAGGAGACATCAACCAGTTTGATTTGAATGCTTTCTTATCTGCTATTTTTTGTTGATGTTTTGCATTTCATGCCTTGTGTTTTTAGCATTTTAATTTGTTTATTTTTGTTTATTGCACCACCTATTATAGCTGCAACACAAACAGATCCACCAACTGTTGCAATCAGCGACCTTTTTCCAGATGGAAATTTTCCAGTTGGTCAAGTTGTTGACTATGCAGACAAGTAATTTATAATTATTGTACATTGTTTTTATACTGAATGATTTTATGGTGATTTACATATTCTTTGACTTGAATCGTAGGCGGCCCAGAAATCAGTTAACATTTTTTATACACATCATCTTTTTGTAAATATCCTCTTTATTCATATCTGTGGGCAATGTTTGTCATCACGTGCCCAATAGTCATTGGTCACGCGTCGGTTACATGTATGTATATTTTGACAAGGTAAACGACTCTCACCAACAAATGAACGGTCGGTTTCACAAAACGGTAAATATCTCATGGCAAGAAAAAGAAACACAATAAAGACACAATAAAAACACAGCACAATAAAAAAACAGCACAATAAAGACACAGCACAAATGTGTTTCTATGCGTCATGAAACACGCGAATGTCTTTAGGATTGGTGGCAAATGCACTGTACTCCGTCAAAATAAAGGACTGTAACACAATTCATACGTGAAAGTCACGCATGATCAATCACTATTGCGCACGTGACAAACATTGCCCGCTATGAATATATTTACATAAATTGATTGTAAATGGTTTGAACCCGGAAGTATCGTTACATGTTTGTTGATGTAGATTGTCCAGGTTAGTATAGTCCTGAGAAGGACTGTTTTTGTTATTGTTGACTGACGTTTCGACAACCTTAGCGGTAGTCATCTTCAGAGTCAAATGAGGAGTAAACGTCAGGCTAGCCGTATTTCTTATCTGGTTCTTACGTCATTGTATTGTGTGTGCAGGAAATGTGTGTACACCCACAAGAACCAGATAACAAATACGGCTAACCTGACGTTTACTCCTCATTTGACTCTGAAGATGACTACCGCTAAGATTGTCGAGACGTCAGTCAACAATAATAAAAACAGTCCTTCTCAGGACTTTACTAACCTGGACATACATCTACAAACAAGTAATAAATTGATTGTATAAGAAACTTAAACTGATTTCTGTGACGTTAATAATCTGATGTCATTACCGAGAGTCCTTTGTGGATCTGTCTATTATATGTTGAAATCTGGTTGAATGGATGTAAATGGTTCAGCTTGAAATCCTTATCAGAGGTGATCAGATGTTGAGAATTGAGCTCTTAGCTACATGCTTATCTCGTGCCTTATTCAAAAGTGATTGAAAGTTGAAACTTTTGTTTCTAATTACTCCACCTTATTGTCTTCATCAAGAGTGATGTGATACTGGAACTTGAGTTCTTATATAGTCCAGTGTTGTGTCTTCATCAGGAGTGATCTGATGTTCAAAACTTGGGTTCTTATATACTCCAGTCTACTGTCTTCATCAGGAGTGATCTGATGTTTTCCTTGAGTCATTATGTTTTTAAAACGTTCGTCGTTATCAAGGGATATTTATTTTTACATGAAAATCTTTATCCTTTAATTTTTATAGTAATTTATGGCGTGTGACGAATGAAGAAAAACGTGCGTTGGATCGTTTACATCTTGATCTTTACAACGATGTAAGACAGGCAGCGGAAGCTCACAGACAGGTATGGTACTCGTGTGTATAGTACTAGTAAAAGTGCAGGGAAAGAAGTTCTATAGATAATCAAATAGATTTTAGGAACATTTTCAGTATATTTAATAGCTCAAACATTTCATTTTAATGGGCCTTTTTCAGGCGTTAAACTACGTGATTCAGATGACGACGTGAGAACACGCTCACTTCGTAAAGTATAAACTTTCAACGGAAAATAGTGTCCGACCAGTTCTACTTTTTAAGCGTTTATTGTTTACGATTAATTTGTAACATTGAAGCTATATCTTCAATGCATTTGTTGTCCTGTGTGCGTCACTTCAGGCGCTGAGCCATCCACTTCTAGTTTCGAAAAGCCCACGAAGATAACATTTTCGTTCTATGAAGTTTATTTTAAATGATGTTAAAATCGATTTAACAAGTCATTTTCGTGATCCTGATATTGACAATTTAAAGATAATTGTTGCTTTAATCTAGTGGTAAATTTTATAGGTGAGAAAGTATGTACAGAGTTTTATCACTCCTGGACTGACTATGATTGATATTTGGTGAGTTTGGCTTCGTATGTACAGTTTATTTCTGGTGATGGATCCATCAAAATTTGGTGGAAGGAGGATCAGATCATTTTCACCTAGCTTAACCCACTGTGGGATGGATGTGTATTTCCCTGCATCCACCATTTTTTTATTTTTGTTTTTCTTCATCTTGCTTTGTAAGTTGTTCATTTTCACTCAAAACTCAAACTTGATGTTCTGTTGCAAGTTCTGTTTAGGATTATTGCAAGTAAATATAATTGATCTTCGTATACTTAACTTCTTATAAATCAATGTACTTGATGTTATTATATTTTTGCCATATTCACGTACTTTTCGGTATAATTGAGCCTCTTCATGTAATTGCCGTAGCTAAGGTGTAGCAGGCCATTTTTTACCGATGTTGTAATTCAATGTATATAATTGGCGATGCTCAGTTAACAAATAAACCAACCTACGTATACGTAGATGTTTTATGTTTATTATTTTTTTTAATATTTCAGCGAAAGACTGGAAACCGCCTCTCGAAAACTGATCAACGAAAAAGGTCTTGAAGCAGGTAGGGTATGATTTGTTTTGTATTTCGTACCTACATTTACAGCGTTGATATTTCGAAACTCTTTGAAAGCTATTTAAGGATATATACGTATTTCGAGTCTTAAGTGCAGTCTTGTACTGCGTGGCACATATGCAGTGTTGTAAATTTTTGCTTTGTTTTTGCGCACTTTAGTTGGTCGTTACAGATTTTTTTTATTGTTATTATAGACCTTTATAAAATAAAACAATAAAACACATGCACTGATTGGTCTAGAGCCGTGTTTGCATCAGCAAGTGCAAAAGAGATCTGAGCTCAACCATCAAATCAATGAATCAATCAAAAAATTTGCAAATCGATCATGAATACATTTTAGAGGAAAAATTAAAACGTTTCTTTCAAGTTTGCCTGTTTCGCATTATTTTATTTTATAAAAGAAATAAAAGATGTTTTTCGTGTTTGCACTGGCTTATGCAAACCCGGAGACGTTTGTGAGAACTCTCGGGCAGGTGCAACCCTCAACCTTCGGTCTCGGGCTAGCACTGATCTGCTCTTCAGTTCTTCCAAAGGTCTCTTCGGCTTGCATAAGCCTGTGCATACACAGTAAACATCTTTTATTTCTTAATTGCTCTGTTATTATAAATTATTGCAATATTATCTCGTTTTTAATCATGTCTGAATTTCTTTAATGTATACGCTATATGTTATAGGACTTGCGTTTCCCACGGGTTGTTCTCTCAATTATTGTGCCGCACATTATACTCCAAATGCCGGTGATAAAACTGTTCTCCAATACGACGATGTCTGCAAGATTGACTTTGGAACGCACATCAATGGTGGGTCTTAAAATAGTGGAACGAGTTGATAAAGTGTCTAACAAAAAATGGAAAATTTCAATGCTCAGTCGTTTTTATAAGTGTTTAATTGTTCAAAACTCCTTAAGAGCCGTTATATATGTTTGTAGGAAAGTAGTTTTATTTAGACGTAAAGCTAATTTCGTTATAGCTCTTGGGCCAGCTGCACGAAATCAGGATGACGTTATCCATTGGATAGCAAAAATCTTCAAACTTGTAAAAAAGGTGTTTATGTTTTTCTTACGGCTAAGAAATTTCGTAATCTTCGAAACAATATTTTCTTTCAGTGATTGTTCGGTTCGAATCTTATACTTTTTACTTTTTAAAAGGTTTTATAAAAGTTTAAAAAACTTGCTATCCAATGGATAACGCTGTCAAGGCTTCGTGCAGCCGGCCCTTGTTAGCTACTAACTATAGGTATAAAAAAAATTCCCGCTCTTTTTTTGTCGTATTTTAATCATGTGTTTGTTTACCAATCACAACACATCTACATTACATCTGTATTAGATACAGCGATGTTTTGTTGACGAATCTCATTATCCGAATTAGTCATGCTAGTCGTTTCGTCCATTGTATTTTTACACTCGTTGGTTTTCGTTGACACACGTAGGACGCATCATTGACTGTGCATTCACAGTCGCCTTTAATCCTGTGTACGATCCTCTTCTTAACGCTGTGAAGGACGCCACCAACACTGGGATTAGGGTGAGCAAACCAGCTGAATACCAGCTTTATTTGTATGTCATAGTTACTGATCTGTAGCTACATTACTTGGATACAGCATGTCGTTTACATTAATCAATGTTTTGAGAATGATTTTCAAAACTTAGAATGAAGTGCTTTTAAAATTTACATTCCATAGGCTAACATCCGGGGATTTTCATATTTTTTACAGGGGTGTTGCTAAAAATTTTAGGGGGGGTGAGCTGCTAAGAAAGTGACGTAAGACAATCTAAGGGTCTAGAATTTAAGGTGGTTTGATAGTTCAACTATCAAAGGTTGTGTGGAAAGTTGAAATTTTGCCCTGAAAAACTCAGTTAAACCCTTACTACTGATTTGCTTTATTAAAAAATTGCTGGGGGAGAGTTAAAATATCTCTTGGAGAAGTGAACAATTTCTTTAAGGGGGTGAAATGTAATGTCTGGGAGTGACTCCCCACTGCACACACACACACACACCCCAAGTAAATCCATTCATGATATTTATTTTATTATGAGTAAATGATAGTGGGAGATGTTTTCATACTTTGGGGATAAAGATTAAATAACACGTGGGACTTCAGATGATAACGACTAGTCGATTAACTGATCACTTGGAATATATGTAAATGTATTTCAATCATGATTATATTACTTATATGAGCATGTTTTCATTCGTAAAGATCAGTTCACTTGTTCAAGTATTCGTGTGTTGCGTTCTAGGAAGCTGGAATTGATGTGAGATTATGCGACATTGGTGAATCGATTCAAGAGGTTATGGAATCTTACGAAGTGGAAATAAATGGCAAGACTTATCCTGGTAAGATATCTCGGTGAATTCGAACTTTCACTTTTTTTTCAATTATAGCTTTGAAGTTATTGTTCATCAACTCTGACCGCTAAATTGTCACTTTTTCAAGCCTAGGAATAACTTTTTACATTGTGCGGCATTTTGTGATTGTATAAAAATACATCGTTAGGCAAAGAGCTATTATTTGAACCGGCAGTCAATTGAATAAGGCGTTTATTTTTCGAAGGTAACGAGATTTTATTATAACAAAGACATATGCACTAGTCACTCTATTGCGCTGGAAAAATCATTTGGAAAATGCTTTTTTGATCATTTAAACATACGTATACTATGACTTTAATTTCACATTGAATAGAATCAAGCGGAAATTTCGTGCGCTCCGGTTCTGTTTGCACTCATTTAATGGATAGTTTCGCGTAAATTTCCCGGGGCGCTTTTCAGCCAGTTTATGACTTATTAATATTTTATACAACTATTTGTACCCACAGCCATGTAGTTGCAAGAGTTAGGACGCGTACTGTTGTCTGCATTTTGCATTATCAAGGTGATTGGGTAGATATGGTAGATATGGTCACATGGGCACCCAGCCGCTATTTTTGTTCCAATAGGGTAGATATGGTAGATATGGTCACATGGGCACCCAGCCGCTATTTTTGTTCCAAAAGTGCAAATTATAACCATTTTTTACATAGGAGATAAATTATAAAGAAATGTTTGCAATGATTTTATGTTGCGTTACAATAGTCCCAGTCAAAGCGATGAAGAATAGAAACATACGCGCTCCTTGTGGCAAAAACAGTATTAAAGGCGTATAAATTACATTCACTGCATTAAATAAATGTTTTTCTATTATTATGACGTCTATTAAATACTGAATTCTAAATGTAGGGATCGCTGTCTATTCATGAATAAGAAAATTCAACAGAAAATTTGTCTTTCCACCATTTAATGCTTTATATTTGTTGGCTTTTGGAACAAAAATAGCGGACGCTAAGGCAACTTTACTTCCGGTGTCCCAACTCTCCTAATATAGGGCTCTGTGTGTACCCTGTCAATTATTTACGCGACTTTAAGGGCATCTTTAGATTTCTTCGTATATTGTAATATTTTATCGTTTATGTAGCCATATACTGCACTATTTGCGTGTATTTTATAATTCTTATTATAGTTGATTATTGTTATTTTCTAGTGAAGGCAATCCGAAATCTTAATGGTCATTCCATAGGTCAGTACCGTGTTCATGGTGGCAAAACGGTACCCATCGTCAAAGGTGGAGAAGCCATCAAAATGGAAGTACGTATGTGTAATCTATGTTACATCCTGGTCACGTGATGTCCTCATCAGGAATGATGTAATATTTGAAATTCATTAAAAATTTATTCTTGTGCACTGCATACTGCAGCAGTTATCAAATGTGACCTGAGTAAGGTGTTTTTACTATCTTCCATGTTGTTAGAAAATCCATATAGCTACGTAGCGAAAAGTATTTATGTTGATTTCGTTTTCTGTTGAACACCGGCTCTTTAAAGTAACCTAGCAACATGGCCGCTTTGACGTCACATGTAAACATGCCATAGGCATAACTTTCTGTGTTGTTATAGGAAAACGAGTTTTACGCGATAGAAACATTCGGGAGTACAGGAAAGGGTTATGTTCGTGATGATATGGAATGTTCGCATTACATGAAGAACTTCGACGTGGGACACGTACCGCTGAGGTATACATTGCTTTTCGTAACTTTATGAAAGTTGTAGCATAATTTAAGCATATAACGCTAGCATTGGTTGCGAAAGATAAACAATTTCTCATAACCACGCGACTCAAAAATTTATATCTTGATAACCTCAAACATGCTGTCGTGTATTGAACTTTCCTATTGAAGAGTCTTCGCACAAAAGCGTCGAATCTGTTTTTTTGAAGAGCAATGATGAAACCATAGCCAGCCTGCAAGTTTAACGCCTGTATTCTAAAAGCTCACTTCACTAAGTGGAAGGCTCAAAATCACCTCTTAACTATTCGAAGACGATGTTTTTACTCCGTGGATTGCTTGAATTGAAATATTTAGCGAGAATATTTCCATCGATGGAGAAATTAGTTTACCATCAATTAGTGGGAACGCGATTTCAGTATCGCATTCTATGATTGTGTGTAATAGAGAGCTTTTACAATACAAGCGCTAGTCATGCTATGTAAATTTCAATTCATGGCTATCGTTGCTTTTCATTTCTTTAGAAATCTCTGTAATGTCCTCCGTACGTGGACACCTAAAATTTACACAGCAGGACAAAATTCGTGGGTTGGCTACGCCACGCGTTTGTTTGAATGTTTTTATATTTTTTCTAACGTTCTTCATTCATGCAGATTACCTCGTGCAAAACAACTTTTAAATGTGATCAATGAGAACTTTGGCACCTTGGCTTTTTGTCGAAGATGGTTGGACCGAATAGGCCAGGTAAAGTTGCCAAACCTTAATCATGGAGATAGACTGTATTTAGGTCTGACAAATTTATGATATGGGGGGGGGGTGAGGAGAGAAAAAAGTTGAACTCAACAATAGCATACTGCACAATTCACTATGTAAAAAAGGATACGAGGAGGTGAAGGAGGACTGAAACTAGCTGTGATATCTAAATTATTTCTTGTGCACTATATGTTGATGGAATAGCACATGTTTCAATAATAAATATGATTAATTTTTAGACAAAATATCTCATGGCTCTAAGGAATCTCTGTGATTCAGGATTGGTTGATGCCTACCCCCCTCTATGTGACATCAAAGGCAGTTATACTGCACAATTTGAACACACGCTGGTGTTGCGACCCACAGTCAAGGAAGTATTAAGTAGGGGTGATGATTTCTAAGCCCATTACTACATTTACCGTAGTAATCAGCTTATTGTCAACTACATTTATCGTAGAGAAATTTAATGAATGTGTATATTGTAGGTGAAACGTGAATATAAGTTTTGCCAAAGTTGACCATCACGCAGTGTTTAAATATATATGCTAGAGGCCTGCTTTTTACACTCAAAGTTGACCATCAGTGTTTGAATATAAAGGCTAGAGGCCGGCGTTTACCCTCAAAGTTGACCATCAGTGTTTGAATATATAGGCTAGAGGCCGACTTTTAACCCTCAAAGTTGACCATCAGTGTTTGAATATATAGGCTACAGACCGGCTTTTAATCCTCAAAGTTGACCATCAGTGTTTGAAAATATAGGCTAGAGGCCGGCTTTTAACCACAAAGTTGACCATCAGTGTTTGAAAATCTAGACTAGAGGCCGGCTTTTAATCCTCAAAGTTGACCATCAGTGTTTGAATATATAGGCTAGAGGACGGCTTTTAATTCTCAAAGTTGACCATCAGTGTTTGAAAATATAGGCTAGAGGACGGCTTTAACCCTCAAAGTTGATCATCAGTGTTTGAAAATATAGGCTAGAGGACGGCTTTTAACCCTCAAAGTTGACCATCAGTGTTTGAACATATAGGCTAGAGGACGGCTTTTAATCCTCAAAGTTGACCATCAGTGTTTGAAAATATAGGCTAGAGGCCGGCTTTTAAGCCTCAAATTTGACTATAAGTGTTTGAAAATATAGGCCAGAGGCCGGCTTTTACCCCTCAAAGATACTTGGGAAATATGACAGAGGGGTGATTCCACGAAATGGGATTCCTTCAGTGGCGTTGCCAGTCTGCAAGTTCTTTCGTCTATGTAAATTTCAGATCATTAGCATTAGTTATTTCTTAAAAGTAAACGGCTTCAACCCAGGAGTATCGTGACATGTATGCAAATGTAGATCGTCTAGGTTAGTAGAGTCCTGAGAAGGACTCTTCCTGTTGATGTTGACTGACGTATCGACAACCTTAGCGTTAGCTTCAACAACAGGTGATTGGAGCATTTGCTTGGCAACGGCTTCGTCATCAACATTTGCCTGACAATGTTTACATTATCAACATTAACTAAACAACGTTCCCATCATTAGCATTTACTTTGCAAATACCAGATAACAAATACGGCTAACCTGACGTTTACTCCTCACTTGACTCTGAAGATGACTACCGCTAAGGTTGTCGAAACGTCAGTCTGCATCAATACCAACAGTCCTTCTCAGTACTCTACTAACTTGGACGATCTGCATCCACAACATTTGTTAGTTCTTAATCGAGAAATATTTTGTTTTTACCACCATGTCACGTACCATGACAAAACTCAGTAACGGATCCAAGTTTTGGGTATACATTACTGCAGCTCATTTTTGCATATACTTAGCTACATTTCCAAATACCTTATTGGGAGAACTTGATTTGTGAGTTTTCTTCTTTAGAAATTCATAGCCAATAGTTTTGTTTTGAAGGTATTTTTAATTTAAACTGAGCACCTTTAATTTATCTTGACTAACGATGGTTTTGCCTATGAATTCATTCACGTCAATATTCTAAATATGTCAAAAACTGCATTGGTAAAAAGGGCATATTATGAGGATTTTGTTGCGATAAGATTTCGGCGGAGTTTCTTTTCGTCCGACAAGTAACGTGACCAGTGACACTATATACATTTGTTGGCGTATGCAACTGGATAAAGCATCCACGTGCAAAAAAATAACACTAAAATTGAAGCAGGAAGTTCGCTCGTTTGCGTATGTTTTATTCGTGCCACTTTACTTGGCACACTTTGGTAATATAAAGTCTCTTTTTTGTTTTTACTTCTTGAACAAACTTCTGAAAAAGAAAAAATACTATCAAGGAAGGCTTGTAAAGCATTTATAAAGGATCAACCAGCAGGCATTTCGCACGTAACCGGCCATTGTTTAAAGCACGAGAGAACTTGCGAGAGTATTTGTGATTTAATCCTTCGCTATAGCTGCAAATGTTGTTGAATAATTATTTTAGTAATAATAGTTGATACATGGATTTCTAAAAAGTTCCTTTGCTCGAAGTATTGCTTGTTTCAAAAGACAATTTCCTCGAATACCACCGTCGACCAATTCATTGCCAATTTTACTGGAATGTTAAAGTATGTTAGAGCATTTGAGGTAGCGAGCAAGACGTCGCAAACAAACCTTGTAATTTTTGTAGTCTTGGCTTGCCGTATCGAGCAGCACGAGATCTTCGTTTCTGCCGAGCCTTCTGGCAACAGCTCCCGCAACATTTTTCAAAAGACTTTGTCCGCTTAAATCACTTATGCTGCATTCACCAAACTGATCCTTTAGGGCTTTCTTAACGTTATCTTGTGAATATGATACAAGTGGGATGTTGGACAACCATAATATGTGAGATTGTAAACAGTGGCAACATGATTTTTCAATATATCTCTAGTCCTCTTGAGATACATCTGAATGCATTCGTTCACAGACATCGATCGCCTTTTATGATGGTCGTTTCCAACTTTATTTTCACCAACTAAACCAAACGCGATCAGAGCTCCTGTGCTGGTACCAACTATCACGTCGTAAACATCGGTGGGATGAATGAGATTCTGAACTTTATCCAAATCTTTGATGAAACGTTGTCGAACGGTTTGATCTTCTAAGATAAGTAAGTGGCCTCTTACCATTTTTTTCTTCTGCAAGGTTGTTCATTTTCTCGTCTAGAATCTTTACTTCCATTACACCTCGACTTCCTCCACCATCGAAAGACAATTTGTCAATCCTCTTTTCTGTTGAAAACATTTTTCAAACCTTCGCTAATTTTTTTTTTCAGACGGTTTATTCTAGTTCGTCTCGTTTATATATGTTGTAAATGTGTTCAAAGCCAGTTTCTGCGCTTTTTAGTGTTTTCCGCAGCCTTTTCCTTATAAACTGTATTTTGACCAAATTTTCAAAAAAAAAATTATTAATTTTTTGGGAGCCTTAACTATTTAATTTTAAGACTTTATCGTTTATATTTTGAAAAACATTATAAATTACGGCCAAAAAGCTTTCAAAGCTATGTTGTTTAAAAATTTACTCCATAGCAACGGCCTAGCAACGCATTTAGGTTGAGATTTCCTCAAAATTTGGTCGAAATATTGGTCAAAAATTGTCATTTGTTTCTCCTTTGGTGCATTGAATCCAGAGTCTTTTGACATAATTGTATTCTAATTGGTTCCTTTGGGGAGCCATGGCTATGAAAGTCTTTTGTCTGTCTCGAGATCGATGCGTTTGCATTTCTGGCGAAGTTGTCTACAAATTTCTTAGTTTTTTTGTAACATTTCAAGTGCTAAATTTGCTGCTTTTATTTCCCAACTATTGTTTTTGTTATTTTGTTGGGGGATTTGAAGTTAAATGATGGGAAATCCTCAAAATAGAGGTAGAAAACGGGTGAGAAAAAATGGCAAAGAAATGCAAAAATGGCGAACCTTGTGACAAAGAGGTTGGATCTTCCGGTGCGAAAATTGGTAATCAGACAGCAAATTTTGCTGTCCATTCCATCATTATAACAGAAGGTACTATATTTCTGGACTTATCAGTTTTATTTATAGTCTTAAATGAGATTCTGAAATGTCCGGACGGTGGGAAAGCAATGAACTCACATTCGGAAGCAGACTGCGGAAACTAAAAACCTCGAACAAAGGGAGAAACCTCTCGGATGGTAAAGGTTTGTCTGGAAAAGGTCGGCTAACTACGCAAAAGATGGACATTCTTCGAAACTATTATGGTTTGGCAATAAGGGGAAACCTTAATAGTGTTGAAGAAATGGCCAAAGCTGCTAGGGCATCTCTTTTCTATGTTGCCTCCTCAGAGAAGAATCCTCAGCATCACCTGTGTCCAAAAGGAAAAGATAGTTGGTGTGGCTACCTAAGAGATCACACCACCTACCAACACAAGACTGGTATTCCTGGGCCCATAGTAGAAAAAAATTTTCTTTTTGTCATTTTCTATCACCCATGCCTTTCAGAAAATGATATTTTTGCCTAAATTTACTTAAAAATAAAAAAAATTGTTTCAAGAGGTGATGACCACCTTAAAAGCTTTCACATCCTTTTTAGAAACTGTCAATAATCGCTTTTGTTGACTTGTTTTCAAAACCGGCTTTTAATGGCGGCCATATTTGTAGAAACTATTATCTGTAGGTTATGACGTCACAACCTACAGATATCAAGAATTATCTGCAGGTAGTTGACCAATCACGGCCGAGAATGCTCACATAGTGAATAATAATAATAATAATTATACGTGAGTTGTATCTTTTTGTGAGCTTTGCCACTCTCACCCTTCCCAAACGTGAAAGTTTTTCTGCCTATACTTTTTTTGTCTTGTTTCGTGACGTTTCCTGTCCACTTCTATGCTTTCAAGTGATTTTAACTATTTCCTATTGGTTGCGCGAGGAAAAAGTTGAGAGAATGAAAAAACTTGTTTCAACTCCATTTGTAACGAAAGACTTTAAATGAAGTTGGTGGTACGCTCTCAGTCATCTGTGCGCGAGTAAAAATTACAATATCTATATAATCAGTAATATGATGCTATCAGGATGTTGTCTTCTACAAGAGATGTCTAAAATTATACTTTATTTTTGTCTTTAAACATATTTGCTACTTCAATGGTTAGCAGTAATATTAATGGCTGACCGTATTAATGGCTGGCTGTATTTTAGCGGGTATAACTTTAATATAAAATACATTAGTGTTTCGCCTTAACAAAAAGTGACCGTATGATCGTGTCACCGAGATGACCATAAAGCGGAGTTCCACAATTATGTATGCTTTAATGCATATTATAAAATAACAACAATCTAACGAGATATACTATACGTAACGAACAAAGGACTTGAGCTTCGACTCGAACTAGGACTCGTTCTTAGACTCGTGGTTGGATTCGAGCCTGGACTAAAAAGTAAAAGTAGGCACGCTTTGCGTACATGTGAATAGCTTTTCAAGTGTGTGGTCAATGCAAATGATAAACCAGATTGATCATGGTGCTAGACATGTTATACAATTTCAACACTATTAACATCAAACTTTAAAATATGTTGTGTATTTCTAAAAATATGCTTTGTGGTCACTGCCAGTGAATCTTTTTGCATTTGCCGACTGCCCTTGCTTGGATTTTTTGTCACTCGACTAATCACATTATCCTTGTTGGCAATGCAGAGAAATTTGTGATTTACAACGAAATAGGATTTAATTAGTTGAATGCAGCTACTCGTGAATGAAACAATCCTTCACATAAATATTCAACTTATAATTTATATTGCATTCCTTACATCTCCAACTTTATGAAAGATACCACCTCATCCAAATTATGCGGATTTTCTTTCATTCTTTTACTGCTTTCTTGATCTTTTACGTCGCTTGTCCTTTGTCTCTTCTGACTTGTTTTCGTCTCTAGGACAAAGGGTGGATCTAAGATAGATTAAAATAAATGACAGAAGATCGTTGAAAAATATCTTTATGACAATTAATGCTGTTGGTAAGAAATTTCTAAAGACTATGTAAGGCTAAGTACTCTCAATATAAGATTAACTCTAAACTATTTATAATCGGAACTGTATTTTTAGTAATGTATTCTAACCTTCTCCGGATCCGCTACTGTCTTCGACCATTTTCTTTATCCATTTCGTAGTGACTTTGGCCATTTTCTTCATTTCGTTTTCGATACTCTTTATTTTCATTTTATAATTTTCAGCCTCCCTCTGTTTGCCGATTTCCACCTTATACAATTCGTAAAGCAGCTGATAAATGTCGATCAGCCATGGGTGATTTTCCGAAAACAAATTTTCGATCATATCCGAAGCCTCTAAGAGGCATTTCTTTGCTTCTTTATATCCGGTTTTAAAAAGGCACCCACCAAGAACTGACAAGGCATTGGCGATTTCAAGACAGTTATAATGCAGGACTTTTTTTTCATCTGTTCCAAAGCTTCTTGTGCACGACTCAAGGCGACTTGGGGTGATTGCTGTGAGGACGGGCAGCTTGCCAGATTCGTCAATACCATGGCAAATTTAAGTTCATCAGTGATTTTTTGCCTTTCGTATATGGCTTTTGCTTTTATTAGATTTTCATATGCGTCGTCATATTCTTCCTTTTTCATCAAGAATGATCCGAAATAGTTGAGAGACTCGGCAACCAGAGGATCGCTTTCTTGTTTCATCTTTTTTCTTACATCTTTCGCTTGCCTTATTAAATTTTTTTCGTTAATCCCAAGTGTTAAGAGACACAGTCCCTGATTACTAAGTATAATTAGCATTTGTGCTTCATCAAGGCTATTGCTGTCTACTGGGCATTTGGATGCCTCCCAGTAGAGTTTAAAAGCTTCGTCTAGTTTTCCTTGTTGTTGCTTGAACCATGCTACATAGATAATGACACGTACAAATTTCTTCTTCTCTTTAATGTGTTTTTCGAGTACATCATGCAAATATGTTTCCGCTTCAACATATCGAAGACAAGTTGTGCAGCATTCTGCTATGCTCAACATGGCATCAACAAGTAGCTTTAAGCAATTTGGGTCATCTTGATGGTGAACAAGGTGCTTCACGTTTGATTTAAATAGGTCAATAGCGATCTCGTAGTTTCCAAGTTCTTTCTGGCATTTTGCGATTTTATAATTAATCTTAATCACACTCAAATTATTGTCGTGTTTCTCGTGCAGACTTCTGCTTGTCTCGTAAGAAACATTTGCCCAGTTTAATTCTTTCCTACTTTCGTAAGCACATCCTGCAGCTTCAGCAAGTGGTGCTGCAGCTTTCAACGTAAGATAATTTTCCTGAATATTTCCTGTTGCTCCCGATGAATTTTTGCTTATATACGCGAGAACAACAACCATTGCAGCAGCAACAACGTCGACAAGAAACATATCGTCCTTGGACTTCGCTTTTTCCATTTTCTTCTCCATCTTTCTGATATTGGTTTCATCAAGTTTAATTTTTTTCAATTTCTTACCACGTGGGGAAAATCTTTGAAACAAAGTTTTGTTCCTTCTATATTGCGCCACAACATCGTTGTATACTGCGTTTCCATTGGTGCACAAGTGAAATAAATAACATAACCAATGAAGAGAACTGGAATCATCAGAAGGACCTTTCGTTGACAGTGGGGGTGCGATTGATAAAACTGAAAATATTTTTACGTGTTTACCGTCATCACCAAAGATTTTCATTGCTCGGGGAATTGCTTGTGCCAAAGGACAATTTGCACCAACACCACCGTCGACAAATTCATCGTTGCCAATTTTAACTGGAGTGTCAAAGTATATTGGAGCATTTGAGGTTGCGAGCAAGACTTCGCAAGCCTTGTGATTCTTGTAGTCTTCGCTTGCTGTATCGAACAGTACCATTCCTTCACTTTGGCTGAGTCTTCTGGCAACAGCTCCGGCCACACATTTTGGAGAACCCTTTTCCCGTATGTCACTTAAGCTGCACTCATTGAACTGTTCTTCTAAGGACTTCTTTACGTTGTCTTTTGAATATTTAAATAGTGAAGTACTCTTGTTCCAAGACCTTTCGAGTATCATCTTTGTTTTGCTGCGATACATCTCAATGCATTCTTCCACAGTCATCCGTTTCCTTTCATGATGGTTATCTCCGACTTTATTTCCACCAACCAAACCAAACGCAATCAGACCTCCTGTACTGGTTCCAACAATCATGTCGTAAACATCGGTGGGATGAATGGGATCCTCAACTTTTCTCAGATCATTGATCAAACGTTCTCGAACGTCACGATCTTCCAAGAAATTTACTTCGCTTTCGTCATTGTGTTTGTTTACAAGGTAATTCAATGTCTTTGGATTTCTTAACACAATTGTTGCTAATCGTAAAATATCGTCCAGAATCTTCAACTCCATGAAGCCTTTACTTCCTCCACCATCGAAAGACAATATGTTGATATTTTTTTCTATTGAATCCATTTTCACGTTTATGACCTGAATGCATGAAAGTGACATCAAATCTTGAATTATTTCAATTTATAACTTTCAACCACATTCCTCACCCTTGTAGAAAAATGAGCATTAAATGTTTTTTATGTTTATATAGCTCTTCACATGTATATAGCTAGTAGGACGGCATCAAAATATTTTTAGCTTTTGTAGCGTAAAACAGTTCTCGGTGGCTCTAGTGTATTTTACGGCAGATAACATGTTAGCCCAATTATGCCTAACATAAGTTTTGTAGTATTTTGTTAAGATAATAGCGTGGTTTTTAGCGCAATTTGGGGAAAAAACAACATACAGGAGTAGTAAATATTTTACCGTCATGATGACAAATTTAAAAATCGTCTTAAAAAGAGCAAGTACCATGGTGAATGGCTAAAATAATAAGATGATAGTTCTTAAAAGAACTGTTTATAACCAGTAATTCTAAAAGAACTGTTAAGCACTAACCCAACAATTCTAAAAGAACTGTTTTTAAAGCTAAAAGACAATATATATGCATTTCTGCAGACTACTCATCAGGTGTCAAGTCTGCTAGTCCCGTCATCTGCCGACAAAAGGATTATAGGCCATGGGCCCACATCGAAAATTGTGATTTTTTCATGCGTCCATCGAGGAACCAAAAAAGTTTTTAACCATCATGTTGCTATAGCAGTACTTATCAACTTTAGCATGTATGGCAATCGTATAACTTGCACATTAAAAAGAAAACTCGATTATTTTATCTTGAATATATGATCAGAGAAAGTTGAAATCAATGTTATGTTTTTACGTCTTAGCCAATCAACGCAAAGAGAGTCTTGCTCTCAACCAATTAGATAGCGTCGGGGTGAAAAGTCTTTCACTACCCTATTTAAACAATGGCAAACAAGAAAGCTTGCCGATGTTGCTCACTCAGATGACGAGTTTTTTGCGTTATATATAAATCAAAAATAGTGCTAACTTAGTAATAACATTATTTGCACTTGCTTCTTGGTGTATATTTACTTTTGTTAATATTAAATGGAGAAAATTCCATGTAATAAAGCGAAATAGCGTTAGAATCCCGCGTCAAATTCTGGGGCTAATTGACGATCTTCACGTTGACAATTTGCCTTTCGCTGAAAATTTTCGCTCTTCAGAGTGATTTCTACCCATACCGTGGCCCGCAACTTCATTGCGATTGTTAAAGTCGGCTTCGCAATATCCAAATGCTGAGAAGAGAACAGAACAGGCAAATAGGGATAATGAGAGAGAAAAACAAGATCAACATACGGAATTTTCAATTTTGGCGACTTGTTATTTAGTATACGTGAGATTATTTGGTACCAGTTGAATTGCAAAGCTACATTTCCTTTCAATTTGAGTTTATTACTCGAAATTTACTTCAAATACTACTCAGAATAGTAGTGATTCTAAGTTCCCTTTTTTTGTTTCCATAAGAAAAGAAATACATATTGTATAAATTATTTTTATCGATGTTGCTTCAAACTAAAGCGATTTGTTATTTCGATATTAAACTATAATTTTGATAGATACTATCTTAGATGTCGTGTCTGCTTTCTTATGCTATGCCATTTGTTGAGCTATGAGTCCATTTTTTCAATTTTTGATCTTTGTTGTTTATTAACCTTTTTATATTGTAATTGGGCGATCGTGACTAAAACACCACACGAGTACATACGAGTACATACGAGTAACATACAAGTACATACGAGTAACATACGAGTACATACGAGTGACATACGACTATTTTCTGGTCAACAAATGATAAACAACACAATTTCTTCAATACATTGATATTTGCGTTTATTTTTCCTTGTATTTGTGTGGACTTTGGGGCAACCATTCGATGGATTTAAGTACTGAAAAGGTATTTTACTTTCATACTACATTCATTTGTATGTTTTAGTTGAATTTGTTATAGATATTTTGTCGATGCAATTTGCCAGTGTTTGAGCGCTTTTTGACACACTTTCACCTAGGAAATACATATTTATGAAAGCGATTATACATTCATTTTGGTCTTTAAGATACTGATTTTCAGTTAAAGACTGAATTATATCAGCTAGAACTTTAAAAACAATAAAAGTAAGCTGAAATTGTACGCATAATATGATACGTAACACAGTGCAACTCTCTCTTTGATTCAAATATATATAATGTACATTTATTTCATATAGCACGTTTTGAAAGCATTATTTATACGTTGTTTATTTAATCGCTTTCATAAATATGTATTTCCTAGGTGAAAGTGTGTCAAAAAGCGCTCAAATACTGGCAAATTGCATCGACAAAATATCTATAACAAATTCAACTAAAACATACAAATGAATGTAGTATGAAAGTAAAATACCTTTTCAGTATTTAAATCCATCGAATGGTTGCCCCAAAGTCCACACAAATACAAGGAAAAATAAACGCAAATATCAATGTATTGAAGAAATTGTGTTGTTTATCATTTGTTGACCAGAAAATAGTCGTATGTCACTCGTATGTACTCGTATGTTACTCGTATGTACTTGTATGTTACTCGTATGTACTCGTATGTTACTCGTATGTACTCGTATGTACTCGTATGTTACTCGTATGTACTCGTATGTACTCGTGTGGTGTTTTAGTCACGATCGTAATTGGGCTGTCATGTCCATTGAGCTCTATAAGACCTGGAGGGGCAAAGGGGCCTGGACCCCGTGGTCAAAAACATGGCGGTAATGGCGGATTTTGGTGGTCAAAACTTCCACTTTAAAAATTTTTTTCAATATTCACTCCCTCCTGATTTCTAATACTGTTTGTATGAACGAAAACAAGTGAGAAAAAAAACAATTACGATACCGACAGCATATCATGTGAAAATAATGCTTCAGCATTGCGTGAAAAACACAGTACAGACACACATCAAAATAAAGAAGATCGACGGTAGAGAAACGCATATTTTGGATGTAACATTTAAGTTATTTTATGACATTTTAGCCTTTTAAAAGTGAAAATCAAACGGCATTCTTTACTAGACCTGTCAATCTCGTCAAACTTATACATTATTTCATGCTTTTGTGTGTTTGACTGTTTGTAGACAGTTTGGTGCACCTATTTTTCTTGCTTCAAATGGATAAATCTGTAAAAATGCTCCTAAGGAAGCGAGAAAATGTTTGCTTCAGTCCTACGACATAAGTCAACTGAAAGTTTACCATGGATAAGTATCATAAGTGTATTGTCATTACCTGATAAATCTACTGAAAACTCATAAAGAAAGTATGTTGAACTAGAAGAGCTACAAAAGAAAAATTCAAAACACCATGACACTGTTGCTTGGTAATTTGTATTTTGTAAACAGCTTGGCAGAATCTTGGATCTATTACTGAACAGAACTACATTAATTTTCCATTGAAATTACAAACTTGGAAACTAAAGTGCATTGGTTTCTCTGACAAAAACACTGTCTATTGCTGCATGAAGGCAAAATAGTTATTTGACAGTGTAGGTGAAGAAATTTATCAAGTTCAATAGATATTATTGTGCATTACTTACAGTTTTTTGGAATTATGTAATATATGTCATGAACAAGATATAATTTTTCAAAAATGCTAACCCCTTCGAGCACTACTACTCTTCTGTTTTGCTTAAACAACTTACAGCTACCAATACTAATTATTTATATGTACAAACTAACATTTGGGAATTAAATGATAAACAACTTGTTAAATCTTTGTATTTTACATCAAGCCTTTGAATTAGTTCCTTTTATCTCTTGGTAAAAAAATATTAATGAAAGACTTAAAAAAGTGTTTATGTTAGGAAAATAAATAGTTTTGATATTTTCTATACTCGCTATCGTGGTGGTCAAATCAGGGTGGGCGACAAAAATTTTATTTCATGAGCCCGCGTCTCTCCGCTGACTTTGACCACCAAAATCCGCCATGTTTTTGACCACGCAGCCGCGCGCTAATAATTTATACAAATTTTGTTGACGTTTCCCCTCCAGTTATTATAGAACTCAATGGTCATGTCCAACATTCACAGATGTTTGCATTGCACACGACATCTTTGTTGTATTTTTGAAATTGCTAGTTGAGCGCTGTGCTACTACTGTTTCAGTATACTGTACATACAGTATGATAAGGTTCCAAATCTGTCCTCATATTGCAAGTAATGACGAAGATAAGAAGGCTTCTGGACAGAACTATAGTCTTGTTGTTGACAACTTGACAACTAAACGTAGTCGACAAGCAAAAACCACCGTCTGTGGATAACTTTTCGACAACTAAACGTGTAAAATTGTAGTTGTCGACAACAAAGCGGTTTCCCTTTTTTGCAAGGGAAACTGCAATCACACAAAAGTGTTGTTTGTCGACTACATTTAGTTTTCGACTACGGAAAGTTGTCGACGACAAAATACCTACTCTGTGGAGGCCCTTAGCAATTTTATTAACAAACCGAAGAAAAATATACTTGGAGCATGGTATTGATGATTTTTGGTTCAATGAAGCAGAGACGAAATGCCTTTTTTTCATTTGTTCGGTGAAATAACAGTTTGAAAACGTTGATAAAACGTTGGCTATTATTCCGAAAGTATATATACTTTTGAAATTTTTTTTTGAAAATATACTATTGAATGTTTTATAAGCCGTCTTTTTATCACATATTTTTCATGTTTTTCTTTGTGATGACAATTTTATAACTGGTGCACTTCACATTTTTCAAAGACTTCTTTAGTTGATAACTTATTTCTTGTGTGATAATTTCGAGGCTATGTGCAAGCGTAGCGATTTTTGGTTTCAAGATGGCAGACATCGTTGTACAACAACACAGTGAAACAACGCCATTTTCTCCTTTATGTGAAACTTTTAGATTTGACATACCTTCGGGAAGTGATAAATATAATATTAACTATCTATGTTGTAAAATTCAGCTGGTTCCTCGGTGGACGCATGGCGATGTTATTTCTAGACGACTTTTTGCGATTGGGCCCATGGCGTATTAGCTACGTGTTTAATTTATCTCTGCTTTAAGCGTCATCTCTCAATTTAGAAATGACGTTAACTTTTCCTAACATTATTAATATCGCATGATTTTGAAATTCTTATTTAGCAGACATTGACATCTGATGAGTATTCTGTCGAAATGCATAGTGTCTTTTAGCTTTAAAAACAGTTCTTTAAAAGCAGTTCTTAGAATTGTTGGGTTAGTGCCCTGGTTTTAAACAGTTTTTTTAAGAACTCGCTATCATGTTATTATTTCAACTATTCACCATGGTAGCTACTTGCTCTTTTTAACAAAGTAAATGGTTAAAAATGAACCAAACAAGAACCAAACAGAATTAAGAACAAAGTAAAAAGTTAAAAAGGAACCAAACAAGAAACTTCCTTTACATCAAAACAAATGTGCTGCTTTACAGCTTCCCTTTTCTCTATTTGTTCGCATGTCTGCATTTTTCATTTAGTAATCGCCATGGCGAACAATTCAACCTGTTAGTGGCCATTGCTTGCGCGAGCAATAATCACGAAACGAAACTTATTTGAGAAAACATCTGGCCCCAAGGGAGTCACAACACGATGCTACACAATCTCGAGTTCTTTAACGCAGACCGCATAGAGTAGTTACATTATGATGCATTTCACTACATATGGCCCTTAGAGCGTTAAGTACAAGTTTCGGTTAATAGAAAATATATAACATTAACAGGGACCTGTTATGACTCACATCACAGCAGTTTTTCTCAAGAAATCCCATGTCTGAAAATAGTGACATTTAAAACGGTACGAATCTTATCCTGTGAGAATAGACGAACGTAGTAGCTATAATAAGAGCAACAAGAATCACTTTGGCAATATCGCCAGACATCAGAAACCAAACAATTAAAAAAATTTTTTCTTTGAACAAACGTGTCTACTTAAATATGGCAAAATTCGTGTAAATCAGACGTACCTGTGTCGAGAGAAGTGAAGAGCTTGTTCAAATCAGAAATTTGTCATTATACCGTAAAAAGTCTTGAGAAAAATGATGATATCTGTTTCAATGCGATTGCTTTTAGAATTTGTGAAGCTCCTTATCATAGCAGACGTAGAGTCGCAGTCAAACACTGCAGGTTGCTATCTAAGATAGAAGGAATTTTGATGAAATTAAACGAATCTTATTCGTTGGCAAATAATTAGTTATGCTACTAGCAACTGTTGCTACGATGCAAGAAAAATTTTTAATTAAAAACAGTGGATTTTGGTAAATTGACAGCTGTTTACATTTGTAGTTCCCCATTTGATCTAAACTCTCGGAAATTATGTCCTCTCATCTCCATTGACATAAAGAATTAGCATATCTTATAAAACTTAAATAGTCTGCAAGTGAAGAATGCCAAGTCACGATAAAATTTTTCCATACATAAATTATTCGTAATAACAGGAGCACTACATGCGGTCGTTTCCACAAGAACCAGCTAATGCAAGCCTGAAAATTTAACTAGCAATCTTATATTCTATAATAATAAATTACGTCAAAATGGTTTCCATCTTAGTTTTCAGTGTGTTCTCCTCGAAACACTCCTTATTCATTTCACTTTAATTTAATAGTGGAAGAAATAAATGAAGTTCGTATTCTTCTCTTGCCCGAATACCAATTACTGACAACTTTAATTTGCATTATATAGAATAAAAACAATAAAACGCCTGCGTTGATTGGTTGATGGCTGAGCCTCGTCAATTAAATCAATCAAAGAGTATTTGCTAATCAATCATGAATACATGAGATAGAGGAAATATTAAAACCTCTGCTTTGAATTTATCTTTATCACAATATTGTTATTTTATAAAAGAAATATAAAGATGTTTTTGCCCTGATCTGCTTTCGAGTACTCCCAAAGGTCTCCTCGGTTTTCATAAGCACAATAAACATCTTTTATTTCTTAATTGAATATCTGCAAATCTTGCAAAGTACACCGAGCGGAAACATTTGTTTCCTCCTTAGAAACGTACGTCAATTTGAAACCTCCACAGCAGCAAACGTGATTATGGCACTTTAATAAGTTGCCACAAAATTAAAATTTTGCTAATTGAATTGTGCTTTTATTGAATAGTGAACACAAAAGGTCTGTCCATAAGCTAAGAGAGGATGAAAAAGTTAGTGTGGCTAAAACCTGGGCCTTTTTAATTGAATACAAACACTAAATATGATGGTCCTAGCTGCTCCAACTCTTAAGACATAAGTGACTTAAATATGGAGCCTAAGAGTTTGGACAAGTATATATATGATAAAATGGTCGAAAGAGACATATAAAACTAATTGCAAACAAAAAGTTAAAAATAACCATAATCCGTAAAAGTACTTGTAATCTCAAATTTAAGTTATAAAACAAGACAATTACGCTGCAATATTTCGGTTTTATTTAAAAACCATCATCAGAAAGAATGACATATTTACAAGTTGCCAGTTAATTGTACATATATATACATAGTTTGTATATATATACAGGTGTTCAGTTACAATACGAGAAAATTTAACGGGTGTTTACATGAGCCCGGGTAGCCGGGATTCAGCCAAGCGTTAAATGATTTTGGCAAATGGAAAAGATTTAATACAAATCGTCAGATGAATGTTTTTCAACACTTTCGCAATATTCTGATTTAATAACTACAGGCAAAAAATTCAAAATCGAGCAACAAATTTAGCTTAACAAACAGTTGTAATTTTTACGCTTGAAGTTTCGACTCTTTTCAATGCGTCGAAATGATTTTACGCCTTACTGAATCCCGTTTAGCCGGGATCATGTAAACAGCCCCTTATTGGCTATATTTACGATTGTTAATTACCAGAAACGTGTTGCTATAAGTTTAGAGAAACGTGTAAAATCCTTGCTAGTTAATTCTAGACTTGATCCAAAATTCAGTTAGCAATAACTCTAAATATTGAAATTCTTAAAAAATGTGTTTAGCGTGAATTGTCGTGTATAGTTTTCGAACATAATAGTCGAACATAAGTTTTCAATACTTCATGCTAGTGATTACGATAAAATCTTCATCTTCAATGCGAGAACTAAAGCCTAAATTTTTAAATTTTGGGGGGATAGTTTTTAGAATTTAGTTCCCCCTGACAGTTGAAATGCCAAGGCCCTTATATTGGAGCCACTCATTTAAGCCCTTGTCCTTCGAACTCTAAGGGAAGGTTGTCCTAAAAATAGTAACCACGAGGTTGATAAATGATAAATTAATCAGCTGAATTTATAATTAATTTATTAATGCGAACTTATATTTTGTAGATTTTACCACTATGTACAGGGTGCATCAAAAAATTCCAATTCAAATTTGGGGTTCAATAACACAGAATATATTTGAAAAAGTCGTTTGGTTTTTGCACTATTGTTAAGTCCATTTATTTACCTTTCAAGAGATATGTTGTACGAATCTTTCATTTGTGAAATGAAGGAGTATTTCTTTACAAATAAAGTTCATAAAAATCATAATTTTCCTCCAGTGGGAATTCCATTTTTTTTCTTTCAAATTTACTCCCATAAGGATTTTAAATGCTAATCATCACTGCAGACTTAATGCAAATTAAACTTCTTCTTGTATTGTATGCTTTACTAACACAATGGTTTCAATTAAACATGGCAGAAGGCACATTTCTTGTGAAAACGTTTTTTGAAACCAGTCGCTTACAAAAAACACGCAATCAGTTCAAACAAAAATTTCCAGAACGACAAACTTTGGCCCTCAGTATATCTGGTAAACTGGTACAACGTGCGTAAATTTGAGCAGAGTGGAACAAGCATAAATCGTAATAAAATTATGTAAATTTTTTTCGAAAACGAGTTCTTTAATGCTAAATTGCATTATCTTTTGTTTTGACGTCTCACTTCAAATTCCTTTTGGCGGAAAAATCTTATTTCAAGCTATAAATTTGAACGGAAGATTACGTGGTTAATTTTGATAGAATCGTCAGTTAAGGTGTATAAACAGAAGCCTAATAGGTTATTCTTTACCACCATGTAAAAACTATAAGCTTCACTCAAGTATGCTGCAGGCAGTTACCGAAAAAAGTTGGATTCGAATTTTGTTGATATAGCTACACTGTATTGCTTGCCTCCATTATTGTTGCTTGCTGTGCTGAGAATCATGATTTGTGAAAAAAATCAAGATAAACTAATGGTTAGCTATCACTATTATTACCTGGGTAACACAAAACTTTAGGAGCTTAATTCTTTCGACATTGAAGTTATGTTGCATCATATTAACAAGCTCCACTTTACACTTTCTTTCTAAAACTGCCTAACTCATAAAATTATGTACCATTGTTTACACTGTTCTTGTTAACACAGAACCTTGGATCTTGATTTTTTCAATATTGAAGCTATGTTACATCATGTTATCTATCTATATCTTACACTTATTGCTAAAGCATCCTAATTCATACAATTATATGTAACATGATTAACAATATACTGAAAACCTCTCATATTTTTTTATCAGTCAAAGCCTTGGAATATTGGATGTAATAGCAAATTGGTCGAATAGCATTGTTGATGAATATTTGATGTCGTGTCGATTACAATTCTCACCGCAAGTACAATAAGATTAGGGTGCTATGAAAAAAGACCGAAAAAATGAAAGGTAATAAATTTAAATAAAGTAGGTAAAGTGTTTTGTTTCATGCTCTGCTGTAGCATAGCCAGCCAAGGGCAAGTTAAATGAACATTTTTTGAAAACAAGTTAATAATGCTTAGAATTTAAATAGTCAGAGTAAAGAGTCAATGTGCAAGTTGGCTATGTTACTGATGTTAACCAGTCAACCAGTAAGTTTGATATTGGTTGATCAATGACCTAGATCCCAGTCTACTGGGTATTTGACTCCGCCGAAATTGTATAGTAATGAGTGAGGCAAGCCCCCATCTTAAAAGATGGCAAAACTGACGACATTTACGACTAATATCTGCTCTTGCTGAGTTGATATATATTCGCGAAGTTCATAGTCCGTGTTTGATTCTTAAAATGTTTGATAGAATGGTTTTTTAAACTTTGTTTAACTTATTTTTTATTTTGAGTTTTGCTTTTTGCCACCTTTCAAGATGGCGTCCTTGCCGCATCTTGACATCGAGAAGATTGGGCTCTAAATCATTGTGGTTGATAGTTCACCCTAATCATGGCAACACACATATCATTTGTGCAATAAACACTAAAAGTGCAAGTTGTTAATCAGTAACACCACTCACCACCACCCCGATCCTGTAAGTGACAAATGCCTGAGAAAAAAGTTTATCATTTCTTTGGATGGTATATGCATTCAGCAACAAAAAATTGAATCTTAGAACAAACTCCGTAACATAAATCAATGTGAAGCTGAATGAAATCACATTGAAGTTTACAAAGAATCTTAAAATAAACAGGTACATTAGGTATCTCTAGATTCTAGCTTAGAGGTACAGGCTGGATTGTTAGATACTGCTGACTATTGTATTAGCTCAGCATTATGGCCAAATTGTAACAAATTATCCGTATTTTTTGCGAATGCGTGACAAAAATGTGACAGAATATCATGCATCCAATGTGTATGGGCTACAAAATACAAGGATAAAACATGAAGTTAATTGAACATTGCAACGTGTGCTGATAGCGTTGGTTGGGCCTTCCAATTCAAGTAGTGGTTTTACAATTTTTGTATTTATGTGGCTAGGGCGAAGGAAGATCGATAGTTGGAGCGGGGTGGAGGGGTGGGGCTCATATTCATGTATTCATGATAGGCAGTATTAGTTTTTTGAAACCATTGTTTTTAAAGGATTATCAATCTTCTTAGTTCTTACGTCCATTCAAGAGTAAAATACAAAATAAGGGTTAAATTTAATTAGCACAACAGGCTGTAATCATATTCCATTGGCCTGTTCAATATCAATTTTCATTGTATATAGGTTTTTTTCTAAATTCTGAAGACCTTCGATATAGGCTACGCTACTGCAGTGCTTAGGCATGAAATTTTTACGCGGATTTTTTAAGAATTAAACTTCACTAGTTGATCCATTGTTACTTTATTACTATTGTACTTCACTATAAAATCGATTGCCTTTAATGACAATATGGCGACTGGTAAATGATAATGGTTAGAAACAATG